GTTGTTCGGCTATACTATTTTATAAGAAATATTAATAAAATCGAGTATAACTGTGAGGCTATACTATTTATTTATTTTTAAAAAAGAGGACCGTATAGTGATTAGGCGCCCACGTTTCAAAATAAGTATAACTGAGCGGCTATACTATTTTAAAAAATAAATAAAAAACCGATTATCGCCGCGCGGCTATACATTTTTGAAAAAAAATTAAAAAAAGGGCTCCCTAGCGATTAAGCGCCACATGCCAAAATAAGTATAGCCGACTGGCTATACTATTTAAAAAATAATTAAAAGGAGTACAGTTACTGGCGGATCTATTAAGGAGCAAGGAGGTGCAGTTGCACCTCCCCTCGCCAGAAAAACTATTGTATGTGTTTGAAATTGCCCATTTGCTCAGCTGGTGGTGATGTATAGATTACCTTATTTCTATTTTCAACATTTAAGTAAATGTCTTTGTCTTTTTACTTTCATTTATTTTTATATTACTCCATTTACTTAAGTTTACAATGTAAATAAGGAAGTACCCCCCATTTGGATTCAAATAAAAATACTAGAAAATCAAATTTCCCCCAAATCAAAATTTGAAAAATCGATTTTAGTGCAAAATACGATTTAGGCTAAAAATGATAGCTCATTAAGTCAATATATATACTTCATAATAAAATCCCATAAAATCAAGTTTTCTTATTTGATGTGTAAGGAATAAAAGCCGCCAAAAATTATCTTGAGAAAATAATTATTCTGAAAAAACTATTTTTCATACTTAGTCAATATTTTTACATATAACAATTTTTCATGTATGATATGAATGCATGAAGGGACCTAAGGTCAATCTAGGTAAAAAGCCTTAGATGTTCAATCCAGAAAGAGTTTTTAGCCTTTCAAAATTGCACTTCCGCTAAAAAATTCCTGAATCCGCCAGTGAGTACAGTCGAGCGCCTATACTATTTAATTAATAAAATTAAGAATAAAGTAACCTCCTAGTTGCATTATAAATATAAATTTGTTAGTTTCAACATATCCAGAAGAGATATTAATCGACCACTATTAACCGCGCGGCTATACTATTTAAAAAAAATATATATATCGAGTATTGCTGCGCGGCTACACTTTTTAATTATAAAAAATAAAAAAATAAAAAAGGGCTTCCTAGCGATTAGGCACCACGTACCAAAATAAGTATAGCTGCGCGGCTATACTATTTTTAAAAAAGAAATTAAAAATGAGTACAGCCGGGTGGCTATACTATTTAATTTTTTAAAAAAATTAAGAATAAAGGAACCTCCTAGTTGCATTATATATATTAATTTGTTAGTTTCAACATATCCAAAGGAGATATCAATTGGCCACTATATAATATTTAAATATAATTGTTTAAATATATATATTATTTTTATTCAATAATATGTGAGAATTATTGGTATAATACGTTAATTTTGTGTGTTTTATTGAAAATTTTGTAAAAAATATGTGTATTAAATATGAGAAATACGTACGTACATGTATAATAAGAGTATTGTACGTTTGCTTTTTAAAGAAAATGTTAATTTTACCGAGTCTTTAAGACGTGTACAGAACAATGATTTATTATTGAAAAATAAGCACATACGTGTATAATATATTATTAAACGTGAAAGTGCTAAATTTTTTATACGGGTAATAACTGTAGAAAAGTAAAAATTAAAAGTGGACAATAGACACTCAGGTAATAAGCGCCTAATAGTAATGGATAACGCTCTAAACTACTCTTATCAATAAACGAAAATATGGAAAAAAAATTTAAAGAAAAATAGGATCCCAATATATACATATATATATATATATATATATGTAGTATAGCCGGTGAGCTATACTATTTATTAAAAAAAATATAGTATAAAATTTTATTAACAATTTATTAATAAAAAAAATCCAGTATAGCCGCGCGGCTAGACTACTAATGAAAAAAAAAAAGTTAGCCCCATAGCGCCTAGTTGACCACGTGTAAAAAAACGTATAGACACCCGGATTTATAAGAAATATTAATAAAACAGTGTATAGCCGGTGGCTACTATTTTTTTTTTTTTTTTTTTTTAGAGAGGGTCCCTAGCGATTAGGCGCCGAGTATCAAAATACATATAGTGGGCCGGCTATACTATTTTTTTAAAAAAAAATAACAAAAATAACTGAGTATAGCTGCACGGCGATACTATTTTCTTTTTTTTTTTTAAGAAAAAAGGGCTCACTAGCAATTAGGTGCCACGTGTCAAAATAAGTATAGCCGCGTGTTGGACAGGATAGTAAGTCTGTTTCTTTGCACCCAGGAGTAATTTAGATTATTATGTCATGTATCGGGGAAAAATAAGTACCAAAATATCATTCATAAGATTTGAGCTTGAAACCTAATCAAACAAAAGAAATGACTAATTAATCATTAGACCAAAAGGTGAGTATCGTAGAGTAGCCTTTTAAAGACACAATGTTTTTCACGAAAATGCTGCCACATATTCTTCCACTTGATTATATATATGGTGGTGATGCAAAAAGTAAGAAGCTGAGCCTTTATATTTTTATGCCAATATTTGAACCTTATTAATCATAATCAATGTAATTATTGGGATTAGATTACTCCAAGTATCATCAACTATATATATATATACAAGGGCGGAACCACACTGAGGGCTACAGTGGGCTGTAGCCCAGTGTGGTTTTTTAAGAAAAAAAATATAAAACTTATATATTTAACTTATTTTCAATATTAACCCAGTCAGTGACGCTGTACAGATTACCTTATTTTCATTTTCAACATTTAAGTAAATGTCTTTGTCATTTTACTTTTATTTATTTTTATATTACTCCATTTACTTAAGTTTACGATGTAAATAAGGAAGTACCTCCATTTGGATTCAAATAAAAATACTAGAAAATCAAATTCCCACCAAATCAAAATATGAAAAATCGGTTTTAGTGCCAAATACGATTTAGGCTAAAAATGATGGCTCATTAAGTCAATATATACTTCATACTAAAATCCCATAAAATCAAGTTTTCTTAGTTGATGTGTGAGGAATAAAAGCCGCCAAAAATTATCTTGAGAAAATGATTATTTCGAAAACCCATTTTTCATACTTAGTCAATATTTTTACATAAAATAATTTTCATCTATAATATGAATGCATGAAAGAACCTAAGGTCAATCTAGGTAAAAAACCTTAGATGTTCAATCCACTATGGTGTTAAACCCTATTTGGTTTATGTTAAAACTTATTGAAAATTAGTCTATGGAGCTATGAACTAGCTTGGTTTATATGATTTAATGTTTACTTTTATTTCTAGAAAGACTATAGAAATTGTAAGTACCAAAACCAAAATTTTAAAGCTAATAACTTTAGCTAGCCCACCCCGTTGAAAAATTCTTGGTTCCGCCCTTGTATATATATTATATAGAAAATAAAGTTGAAAGATCAGTTGCTATAGGATTAGATCCTCTTGTTATTTTATGTCGTGTGGAAGTCAACGTACAAAAAAAAGAGAAAAAAGATTCTTTGAAATAATGGCTGTGGTTTATCTTAGAATGTTTTAATGTAGCACTATGGCCACAGCATCAAAGTCGTTCAATTTATATATATATATATATATATATATATATATATAAGAATGTATTGAATCTTGTTTTCCACCTTTCTCCTTTTGTCCAAAAGATCAGAATTTTGTTGCCAGTGCTGGCCAGGCCTTGAAAAGGACGTCAAAATCTTGTAGCAAATTTGGTTTCCTAATAAATATTTTCATAGCTAACGAGGTCTAGTTTGGTAAGAAAAGACCTTGATTTGCATGTTAGTGGTCTCAGATTCGACCCATGACACTTTGGCAGTATATGTCAATCTCAAATGAAAAACACACAAATCTTAATGCATGTCATTGTCAACAGCTAAGCTACTTAGTGATCACCACAACTCAGAAATAGCACTTTCAGAAGTGAACTGGAGAACCTTTGTCAATCTAAAAGTATATGTGTAAATTGTGAGTTCAAGAACAATGAAAATCGACCGTACACGTAGTCTTGGCTTGGGTTGATTTGGGTCCCTCCCACTTCGTGAGTGCCAAATGAGTATTGCTAGCTAGGGCTTAGCTAAGCTTTAGTTATGTATAGAGCCCACGCATGAAAAAGGCAAAGCCAAGATTTAGCTTCACCTTTCATGCACTCAAGGATTGAAGATTTGGTGACTTTACTTCCAAGGAGCTGACTGTTTGAGAACTGAAACTAAAATAAAAATTCCTCAACTATGTGGGGAGGGGGAAAGGGGGGTTGTTTATGTCCTATGATTTTCAGATATTATCTTGTTCGGTGATTGACGAGTTAAGACATATTGTATTAAAATGGACGAGTGTTCTAACTCATGTTTGATGAACTTAACAATAATGGGACTAGACTCATTAAACCTTCTTAATCACGAGTCTTTTGAACCTTTTTGTGATTAGTTTTTGGAGACCATCTTAATCACTTGTCCTTAGCTTTAATTTATCCTCTTGAACTAATTGATTTTGCATTTATTCTCTTGGGGGGTTAATTTATCCTCTCAAAGTCAACAACTTTGTGCACCTGATTTGCACTACGCAAAGCAGCCAATGCCAACTGCATCAAATTAAAATGGACAGGTTAAAGATGATGTATATATTATCCATGAGAGAGAGAGAGAGAGAGAGAGAGAGAGAGAGAGAGAGAGAGAGAGAGAGAGCAAAAAGTCCAAAATCCAAACTCTACCTAGCATGGTGAACTTCAGTAAAGGCCATATTATTTTTCTTATCTTTCGGTTGGGCTCTATCTCGCTATATACAAAATGACCAACTTCCAACTCATAAATTTCATTAAATGCTTGCTGCTCCTATAACGCTAGCACTCTCCAACCAAATCCTAATACTCAAACCGAAAATGGGTTAAGTATTTCGATTCTTTAGCGAAACTTTCCAATGAAGTTGTCTTTGATATTTAAAATTAATGACCAAATTCTGAGCTTGAAGGGCTAGAAGCTTGAACGGCATCGTACCCGCCCAGGAGGGAACAGAAGTGGTGCATCCGTGAGCATGATTTTATCCACTTCCATCTTTGCAGCATGAAGCAAATTCTACAAAACATTCCATCAAAAAAATATTTAGCTGGTTAAGCAAAAGCCAGATTACCCTATCCGCCACAAAGCTGATTAGTGATATATGGCTCATGTGCAGGGGAGTGGGACTTTCGGAGTTCTTCCTTTGACAGAAGTGAACTGACATAGCACTACCAATCTCAAAAAATTCCTTGGAATACATTGTTTGTGACTGGCTATTGGTTATTTAAAATGATTGCAGCAACTCAACAAAGAAATACTCTTAAAGATTCAGTCGAATAGACGCCATGTAACAGAAGAGAAACTGAACACACTATTCAGCCATATACAATTAAAATAACAGAGCAAGCAGGAACAATATGGTTGAGAGTTCCATGAAAATATGACTATAGCATCTCGAGAGGCTTACTCTGTTTACCATGAAAAATGGAATGCCTTTTTAAGTTTTTTTCTTTTCTTTCATGATCTGTTATACTCATGAGATATATTATCCAAAGGAAAGGGAACTTATTAGTACCTTGAAGAGATTCTAACTTGCTGAAAAATCAGCAAACTTGGGCTGAAGTTACCCTTCACACTGACATACGATTTCGAACCTTGAGAGGTTCTAGTAATTCAAATACATCCTCAGCCTAATGCTATTATGCAATTGATCTCTAATAATGCTCATATTTTTGCTACTTGGAAAAAAACGATTGGGAAAATGGAAAAAAAGACCCGACCATTCCAGGCCGCCTAGGCGGGCGATTTTTAATATCTTATGAAAACTAATCATATACAAGTATAACAGTAAGCATAATTGGCAATTGAGAAAAGAGATTGAAGAAGAAAACCTGTTCCTGAAGCATATTCCCACTCCTGCTTTCAAATCCCAAGTTTTCTAAGATTGTTTCGGCAGCTAAAGGATAAAAGCTAGGGTTTTTTTTGTTGACGACAAGTTTGGTAATGTGAACTTACCTTTGTGAAGCAATGTGAAGCTGAGAGAGGTACAGAGAGGGTCATGGATACAACAAGGCAAGCCATTCAAGCTTTCAACTTTGAGTCTCTTTCTTCCTACTTCTTTTCCTGACCTCAGTCTCAGTACTGGGCAGTAATAAACGACTCTCAGCCCGTAGCATGAATTCTAAGCCTAAAGAAGAAATATGTATGGGCTTGAAGGTTCAACAATGAAGGCCTTTGGTTTTTTTATTTTTTATTTTATATTTTAAAATGCAAGCGATATTGGTGGAGGGGTATTCGTACACATGACCTTGAGTACAAGGATACCAATATCTCACTTCACATTGATTTTCTTACCAGTTGGTGGATTAGTTGTCTTCTGTTAGGGATGTAAATCACTACAACAACAAAAAGGTCAGTAGTGAACAAATCATGAGTGGTCACAACTAGTGTTAAACCAGTGACCAAATCTATGAGTTGAGTCACTAATTCTTCATGAATTTTACTGAGTCTTTAAGATGTGTACAAAACGAGGATGTATTATTGAAAAATATGTACAAACGTGTATAATAGAATACTAAATGTGAAACTGCTAAATTTTTTATACGGATAATAACTCTAGAAAAGTAAAAAATTAAAAGGGGACAATAGAAACTCGGGTAATGGTATAATAGTAAGAATAGTAATGAATAATGCTCTAAACTACTCTTATCGATAAACGAAAATCGGGGAAAAAATATAAAAGAAAAAAGGATCCCACTGTATATAATATATATATACGGCTATACTATTTCTTTAAAATAAAATAAAAAATTAAACTCAGTACGCCGAGCGGCGATAATAATTTTTTTATAAAATATAAATATAAAAATATATTTAAAAACATAGAAAAAATCGAGTATAGCCGCGCGGCTATACTATCTATTAAAAATTATGGTTACCCGCATAGCGCCTACTTTAAAAACCGTATAGCCGCCCGGTTATACTATTTTTTAAGAAATATTTAAAAAGGGGTATAGCCGGCCGGCTATACTACTTTTTGAAAAAATAAAAAACCGAGTATAGCCAATCGGCTATACTATTTTGAATTTTTTTTTAAAAAAGGGGCTCACTAGTGCTTTGGGGTCACGTGTCAAAATAAGTATAGCCGATCGGCTACACTGGTTTTTAAAAAAAAACAAGAGGGCTCCCTAGCGATTTAGGGTTTAGGGGACATCAACACTAAAGGTATATATGCGATTACTAATCCAAACAGTTCATTAATTTACACGATTTTTCTTCATGTTTTGAATTAATTGCGTGAAAGATTCAGTTTAGCTATTACTTGTGTAGGTTTTCTTTCTGAATTCTACTCAATAAATATGGTCATGTGGAGATTATCCATTTTAAGTATAAACCCTTGTGATGGACATTGTAGAACTGTATTTAGACTCTCTCTTATTTGTGTGTTCTGATGGTCTAAATTACTTCAATTTTTTCATGCAGGTTCAGGAAGCAGTCAAAGAAGGTGTGGTCAAACACGAGATATTGAGCAAGAGATGTGCTGGTTGAAATACATTTATCAATTTATTTTTAGATTTTGTATTTGAGAGATGTATGTCTTGTGAATTTGTTGGAGGAATGTTGATACCTATATAATTTTGGGACATTTTGGAAAAAGCAAAAGGAGAGAGAAAAATTTTAAAAGAAGCAAAAATGGACCAAAATGCCCTTATTTATTTTTAGATTTCCTAAGGAATCCAATACATTTGCATGTCTTTAATTTGAAAGTTGAGCGGTTTTTTTGTCTTTTTTGAAAAAACTTTGGCTTTTTCCAAAAGTGAAAATTTTTTTATGTCTAAAACCTAAAAAACCTTATGTGAGTTTATAGTGTTAATAAAGAGTAAATGGACCTAATTAGTCTCCAATTGTTCTACAGACATTTAGTGACCAAACAATTTGGTCAGTAATATGGGCACGTGATCACGTTTTAGTGACCAAATTGCAGGTTTTAGTGACTAAATTAAAAGCCTTTTAGTGATGAAATTTGCGGTCACTAATAGTAGTGACTAATAGAGGTAGTCACTAATTGTTTGCGTTTCAGTGACCAATATTTGGAGTTGGCAGCTGAATAGAATTTGTGACAAGCTTCTAGTGACCACCAATATTTGGACACTAATTATATTCAGTGACCAAAATCTTTACTTTTTGTGACCAACTTGATGGCCATTAATAAACATTTTTCTTGTAGTGAATTATGGTTTAAGGTGAATAATAATGTTCTACGAGTGTTTGGCTACCTGTCGAGCCCACTGAAAGCTGAAGATATATAATATAGTAAAAATGATATTTTTCTTTTGTAAGTAGGAACTTCTACTTTCCTGTCAATCACGGTTTGATATATGTATGTAAATTTTTACTGTATATGTATTTGTGGGGGACTTTTTCTTCCGACAGCTGTAAGTGGGCTGAGCTGCCGTAAAAGGCAGACTGATGGAATTGTCCCCTTTGTCTGAGTTCGAAAATTAAGCCCCGAAAACACTTCGAAAGGATAGTAGCGCCTTAGGAAGTATTTTGGTTACCTTCACCAACCAAAATAATAGCACTTTACAGGTAATTTCTTCTTGCTTACAGATAAACTCTTAAGCTCAGCGTGAGTGGCATGTGGCATGGAAGCAAAATCAACATGAGTTTAGCACTAAGAGAAAATTTAGGCTTGCTTTGAGGGAAAATGAAGTGTTAGGTTAAGAAAAGAGAAGTTTTGTGAGAGATTTGGCTAAGAAAGAGGAAATAGAGAACAACGTTCTTCCGGCAGCTCAACAAATGCTCTGTCTGTCAGAAGAGAAGAATGGAGAAGAAAGGTGAATAGTGCACGAGGTTACTGGGTTTTTGCAAGTCAGAGAGAAAGCTTGCTCTCCGAATCTGAGTTCCATTTGTTAGGTAGGATAGGCTTCATTTTATAGCCGCTGGAAACCATCACTTCCCAAGAAACCCTAATGGTTTCTTTCCAACTTTGCCAAGCTTTCCCTTCCTTTCTCCTCCCATTCCTTGACTTTCCTATCTTAGTAAAAATTGCCTCTATTTATTTGCACGAAATTAGGAATTTTGGGAGCTCAATGCCCTCTTTCCCGCGGCTGTTTAGTGGGAAGCTCCATTCTTGGCTACTTTTCTTATTCTTTCCTTCCTCCTTCTTTGGCTAGATCTGATGAAGGAAAGGAAGTGAATATACATGCTGGTTCAAAGGGTGCTTCTGACAGCTTGCAGGCTAATATTCCTTGTTTCTTTGAACGTTTCTGGCTTGGAACTTGCTCCCCCATGTGCTAAAACTCCAGCAGCTCTGTTCAATGATCCTGCAGACTTTCTCTACATGGCTTATATTTTTTCCAGCAAAGGGCTAAGGCTTTTGTGGCTTATTTTGGAGTTTTGTATGGGCCAAGGTAGTTCCTTAAGCAAGTGGGCTATTTTTGTTAAACATTAGGCTTTTTGGTTGAGTCAATGCTATTTGGGGTTATTTGGGCTATTTCTTTTGACTCTTGTGCTCACCCATATGTTTGGGCCTAAGAAATGGGCTTGAGTCCCGAGGCTCCCAAGCAACCCGAGACTTTCCATTTCTCGGCCCATCAATGGGCCTCATGTTGATTCATTACCGTCCATACCACAACCCACTCAAGCAAGCCCCGGGCATTCGAGTGGCTTGGGCCCACTTAGGCTTGTAGTGTGGTTGGGTGTGTAATAATGATTTCCTGCTTGGCATGACATGTCGCTTGGGATGCTTTTAATTATTATGTTTGACGAGATAATTAGCATGGATTTGCAAAGATAATTCATTTTATAATCTTAATCTCGATTCCTAGTGTGACAGATTATTTATTTGGCATGGCGCGTGGAGTGTGACTCATGCATGGCAGACTTTTGTGTGCTCCAAGTCAGGTTTTTTCTCAATAAGGTATTGCGCTGGGCTGAGAATTCATTTGGACTAAGCCGCGGATTTTTTGGGCCTCAACAGTATTAAATTATGATTTGCAAGAAGAGAAATGTCTCCTTACACAAAAAGAGACAAGCAATGTCTACTATATATCATTATATGAGTTATTTACTCAAATGGTCCTCAAACTCATACCCGAGTTGCATTTTGGTCTCTCAACTAAATTATTCATTCAAATAGTCCACCAACTCTTTATTATTTAGTGAATTGGTTCACCGTTACATTTTCTGTGAGTTTTAGTCATGTGAGGAGAATAGGAAGGGTAAATGCGACTTTTTCATAATGGAGTTTTCGTTTCCCTTGTTCTTCTCCTTCTTCTTCTTCCTCTTCCCTCCTTTTACAACCAAATGACAGCAGCGCTGAAAGACAACTAGTTGGCGCCGAAGAGATGACAACGACAGCAGCTTCATTCAAATATGATTTCTCCGACTTTGATGGCCAAGGTTGCGGCACTCGTTGAGCTCTGCGACAAATTATAATGGTGGAGCTGACTTGTTGCACCGCTAAATTGTAAGAAATGGGAGCAGAAGATTGAGGGAGAAGGCACATGGGTGCCTAGATCAATTTATGGTATTAGATTCCTCTCGCTGGAGTTGCAAAAGTGGAAAAAGAAAAAAAAAGGTTTCTCTTTTGTTGCTCTGTAGGATAGATGTGGGATGAGATGAAGGGGATATTTCTTGTTTTTATTTGTCACTTGTTTTTTTATCTGTTCTTCATTAAGAGAATGAAGAAATTTATGTTTTCTCCATGATGAGAGAAAAGAAGAAGGCAGAGCCACCCCCACCACCAGCCCTAGCCCGCACCCATTGCCCATCCCCTTTGCGTCCTTCCTTTATCTCTGTTTTAATTAATTAATTAATATTTTAGTATAAATTGGCGATTTTAACCCTCAAATTAACGACAATATTGATGGAGTGTAATGGTATGACCAATCCGTTGATTAATAAAAAGTTGGTGGACCAATTAAACGAATAATTTAGTTAAAGACCCTTTGAAATTCATGTATAAATTTAAGGGCTTGTCTAATATAGATCCTTACATTTTCTATTTCCTAGACATATACCCATCACTCTATAAATCTATGTGTAAAACCCAATTTCAAATTTAAATTACCAATAGGATATAAGAGGTCGTAGTATTTCTATGTTTTTACATCGTTGCCACTAAACTTCATATTTTATTTATAATTTATTTCAAACATTTCATTAACTGCCATAATTGTAATTAATATACTCCCTATTAATAGCATATCAATCACCCCATTTCTTTTAGTTGTCATTCCCTCTCACATCTTGCCCCTAAAATTGCAAACCCAAAAAAAAATCTGTAAATTACATATCCAATAATGTACCTATGAAAAATATAATATAAATATATACATATAAACTATAGGTATATTATTTACCCCAAAAAAAAAGTTAGTTACTTTGTAATTGCGTATATTTTTCATAATTAAAAATAGGTACACAATAATTTATATAAAATATAGGTACATTATTTGGAGAGGAAAGATAGGTACATTATTAGAGGAAAAAAATTGGTAAGTTATTTGGAGAGAGAAAATAGGTTAATTTAAAAAAATTACGTTTAATAAAACAAATAATAGGTACTTTATTCAGAGAAAAAAGGCTATATTATTTATAGAAAAAAATAGGTACATTATATAGATAAATAATAGGTACTTTATTCGTAGTAGGTATATTATTCAAATGGTAGGTACATTGGATGACATATATAATACCTAAATCCTAATTGTAAGTACATTAAAATTAATGTAGGTATATTGGAATAGATAATTATGTACACTTTTCATACTAGGTAAATTATATTTTTCATAAAACAAATAGGTACATTATTTTTTCAACATAATTATTATGTACAGTTTTATTCATAAACAATTATAAAGTGGATTATTAGTCATGTATAATTCATAAAAAGAAAATAACATAAACATTTTATTAAACAAACCAATTACCGAAATTTGAATTTATTGTTAATTTTTTTTTAAATGTTCCAAAATTAATTCCTATATCCATTACAACCATTTGAAGATCTTTCCAAATTCAACATCTGTCATTATATACAATCCAATTAAAAATTGTTTCCATATTGATTCCTACATTAATATACAAAATGCAATAATGGCTTAGTTGGGGGTATTTTTGGAATCTGAAAAGTACAATAAATCAAATTTTATGCTTAATTAGGTAACTTGCTGAATTGGATCCTAGTCATGGGTTTTTACTTATACAAATTGGGTATTATTTATAGGAACAAAAAGTGAAGGGTTTTAGGTATGACAAATTGAATTTGAAGGGTGTAAGCCAAATTTACTAAAGATCATTTGAGTAAATAACTCATCATATTATATCATATCGTATTGGAGTTAGTTGGAAATGGTCCATCATCATGACACCAGTATGTGGAGCCCTTAAGCCGATAATGTGGAGGCAAATTTATGGTTTCTTCTCATATGCAGATAAGTTTAATAATAATAATATTATTTTTATTTTTATGAGTTGGTATGGTTGGAAAACTTGGAAGTGTGTGGGGATCTTCAAGCGTGGATGGATGGAACAAGTGATGGAGTTTTTGATTTCGATTTCTCCAGGCTGTCTTGTAACTATTGTGTCCCCAATAATACGAGGGAGAGATGCCTTTGGTTCCCCTTCATGAGCGTTGCTCCTATTAGGATCAGCCACGTTTGGCATCAAAGAATCTTATATGTTATAAGAACCAATCACATTCATCAACTTTAACTTTAATCTGCATTACCAAGAAATAAAACAATTAAGATGATACTTTTTTCTTTTTCTTTTTTTTTGGGTATGAGGTTATGCGGGGGCATACATTATACATACCACTTAAAACTCTATAAAGACAATTATAAAATCAACAACACAATGATAATACGAAATTAGTACGCTTGAATTTATCATTAATGTTGATGATATGATTGCGAATATTGGATTGGATTAGCGTCAACCGTACATAACCGTTTTCCTCTCCATTTCTTAGTATGTATTTATATTCTCTATTTATAGGCGTAATTTCAACAATTCTCTATTTACAAGTTCAATTAAAAATTTGACATAGTCGCCTATGGGGTCTAACCCAAAGAAAAAGAGTCGTGACTTATGTATCAAATGTCTCATATTCAAATACTCATGATATTATAGTTGTGTGTGTGTGAGAAATCTCCCGCCAACGAAATTAACTAAGAGTATAATATGTGACAAAATATCACTCGAGCTGTAATTTAAGGACCATTACTATATTTAAGTTTAAAATTATGATATTAACTTTTTGTAGTCGTAGGAATAAGAACACAATTTCTTTTAAGAAAAATTAAGTATTAGACATAATTAACTTTACTAATTAGTATTTGAGACATTGGGCATTTTTATTTGGGTTTTAATACCTAGAAAAGAATTGTTATTTTGGATTAGGCCAAAGATGAGGCCCAGATTCATTAGGCCTGTCAAATTTATAAAGGTAAAATACATTTGTACCCTTTTTGTTTAAAACCCTTCCAAAATCAGATCTCACCTGTTCTTTCTCTCTCTTGGACAGACACGGCATAGCAACTGCCTTAGATCATGGCTTCTCGGGCCACCTGCGATGACGACTGGTAACAAGTAGGGTACAGTCTATGCTGTTATGGTTTCTAACTTTCATACGGTTAGACTTGAGCTATTTTCTACAGGTTATATATCTGATTTCTTTCAATTTAACAGACTGGTAAAGTTGCTTGAGGATATCATGGATGACATCAGAATACTAATATTCATGGATACTAAGAAAGGATGTGATCAGATCACTCGACAGCTCCGCATGAATGGTTGGCCTGCTCTCTCAATTCATGGAGACAAAAGTCAAGTAGAAAGGGATTGGGTCCTCTCTAAGTTTAAAGCTAATGACTGCAACAGATGTTGCTGCTCATGGTCTAGGTATGGAAATAATTTCTTTTGAGTTTGTCAAAAGACTTGAAAGGAATTCTTGTTTTGTGTAAACTTAGGAAAATATCAAACCCCCACCCTGGACACCATTTCATTTTGCTCTTTCCTATGTTGTTGGATCAATTTTGCTGGTGTTGTTGGATCATTTTGCCCTTAAGATTTTATAGGTTTTTCTTTTTCTTTTTTGTTTGTTTGTTTGAAAAGATGGCCTGGTGTTGTTGGATCAATTTTGCTGTATAATTGCCTTCTTTTTTTTTCTTTTTGATACAAGTGATTATGTTTTTGGTCAATTTTGTGAAAATCAAAATACTTGAGAAAAAAGAAGCTGCTTTGAAGAATCAAATTCAATTTCATCTAGCTGCTTTGGAAATTACAATTGGTGATAGTACATCATATGTAAGTGTGAGGTCGATCCCACGAGGATTGATGATAGATTTTTCAATTCGATTCCCTATACAAAATAGAAAACAAGAAAGAAAATAACAAAAAACAAGAAAGAAAGAAAATAACTAACTTAAGCAAATTAGTTAACAAGTTCAATTCAGATTTACAGATTGATTTTAGCTAAAGTATGATTAAGCACAGAAACTGCAATGCAGTTTGTGGTTCACTGCAATGCAGTTTGTGGTTCACTGCAATGCAGTTCACAGAAACTGCAATGCAGTTTGTGGTTCACTGCACTGCAGTTTGTCTTTCACTAAAATGCAAAAAACAGAATATACCAGAAAATATGCATCTACTTGACATGAAATTGAAAGATCAGCATAGCCAAAACAAGAACTACAAAACACAACAGAAACTACATAACAACATGACGTGAAATAAGCAACATTCAAGAAGCACAGAAACTGCAATGCAGTTTGTGGTTCACTGCAATGCAGTTTGTGGTTCACTAAAATGCAAAAAACAGAATATACCAGAAAATATGCATCAACTTGACACGAATTTGAAAGATCAGCATAGCCAAAACAAGAACTACAAAACATAACAGAAACTACATAACAACATGGCGTGAAATGCACAGAAACTGCAATGCAGTTTGTGGTTCACTGCAATGCAAAAAACAGAATATACCAGAAAATATACATCAACTTGACATGAAATTGAAAGATCAGCATAGTCAAAACAAGAACTACAAAACATAACAGAAACTACATAACAACATGACGTGAAATGGAAAGAAGTATAAATAATTTAGCAGAAACTACAATGCAGTTTCTGTTTTCTTCAGTGCAGAAAACAGTTTTGATGCTCTTTTGTGATTTTTCGGTTTCTAGAGGTTTTCAAACCAAAACTAAACCCAAAACCTAAACTACATTGCAGAATGACAGTAAGTAAAATTTTAGAACCCTAAAATCAAAGGCAAATTTGTGTTAGGGGTCATTTTCTTACGATTTTTTCCCCAAGAGAGTGCTAAACCCTTCAATTGTCGTCGTTGCTGGTCGTCACTTCTGGTCGTCGCTCGTCGCTCGTCGCCGTTTCAGATTTTGGGGGAATAGGTTGGAACTGCTGAAAGAGAGAATGAAGAATCGGCTTCGATCGTTGGTGGTCTTCGATGATGGTCGCACGAATGGGTTGCTGGTCTTCGATGATCGTTGGTGGTCTTCGATGATCGTTGGTGGTCTGGAGGTTTCTGGAGGTGAAGTTGAAGAGGTTTCTGGAGGTGAAGTTGAAACGTCGCGCGAATGAGTTGTGATACAATTTTGGTTTCGGTTGATGTCGTTTTGGTTCAGTTTTGGTTTGATGTCGTTTTTCAGTTTTTGTTTAAAACTAAATACTGAAAATGGCATATGTTGTAATTTTCATATTTTCTAATGGTATTTTTGTTACATTTTGGTTTTTTTCCTTTTGCTAATTAGACTAAATTGTATTTCTTTCTACTAAATTAGTAAACTATATTATGCTTTAAAACTAAAGCTCCCTTTCTTTTATTATGAGAGAGGTGCATGAGCGAAAAATTGTTTGGGAATAATGAAAACTAATTAATTAAACAAGTTGAACTTGAGTTGATAATTAAGAGGACCATTAAATGAAAAGAGTCAAATCAATACTGCGCGAACCACAGATTATAGCCAATCAACCCACTAATCCTGAATTAAACTAGATGGATTATCCGACGTCTACTGATTGTACGGCTTCCACGTCATAATCCCATCAGTCCTTACGAACGTGTTGCTATCATCTGCCCACGTGGCAAGAGGGAAATGCTCCTCTACTCTTCACCCACAGTTACCAATTTCTCCAACCGAGCGATTTCAGCCAACAGTTATAAAAAAACATCACCAAAACCACTGCCTATCAATCTCGAATCTTCATTTGCAATGAAACAGTTCCCAGTGGGGACCATACGCTTCTGTCATATCTACAGTAACGCCAAATCAGCCTCGTCGCTCCATCATTTTTAAATATTATCTTCTGATACTTATAGATTCCGAATTACAAGCATCGAGCCGTTGATCTATCCGTGGGTCCCACACCGACTAACGGCCTCGATTTTCCACTCTCTCTCCTGGGTGACTGGCGTTAACGATGACTTGGTTCATCATTATAATTATTGGCGCTTTTTACAGTTGGACCCCCGGTAAAAGATTCGCTGGAGTTGAGAAGCTTCCTGGTGTTCGACACGTGCCTCCTTTTTCGTCGGTGCCCTTATCGCTGTCCATGGGGGGCTACTTGTAGAGTGTTTTATTTTATTATATTAAACCAGATCTTCTTATCTGCTGCTTCACTTCACTCAAAAATAAAGCTCTCAGTAGACCTAAAATCCCCAATTTGGATTTCCAGAATTTTCAATTGGATTCTAGGGTTTCTGAATCGGCTCCCACAATCCACCATAATTGATGCCATTCTCCTCCGCCATGTAATGTAGGGTTTCAATTTCAGCAAATATGGATTGGGTCTGGTACGATACGAAGCCAGCAAAAGTTTCAAAGAGGGTGTGGTTAGTAATTCAAAAAACGATGGGGCTCCTCGTGGGTGGGAATCACACCTCCTCCAGGTTTTGCACTCGCTAATCTACTCTCTCATTCTGTGTTTGGCTTTTTTCCCTCGCAAAGTTTTCTTATAGAATTCTTTACCAATTAAACAAAGTTCCCAACTTTACTCTTTTTGATAAAAAGAACTGATCTTTGATCGAGAAACCCCATTTGCTTGCGTTACGATTTGGGCCGTATGTTTCAGTGCCGAGTTTTCAAAATGAAAACAATCAAGGATTTGAAGGCTCTGAAATCGCAGATCCTTCATGGGTCTTTGGCCAGGCGTGTGTTTTTCCGCGCTTTCTTTATCGCCTCGGCCATGTCCGTTATACCCTTGATTCACATTTTGTCGGGACCCTATATGACAATGTTCACTTTTGTGAATCCGGGTGACTGCGCCTCCGAATTGGGCCATACCCATGTCGACTTAGCCCCGGGAAAGTTCAACTTTCAGAGTCGTTACCTGAATCCCTTTTGGGGCTCTTTCGATTCGGACCGGTGCAAGCAAGATGTGAACTTGACTGTCAGTGTCGTCAGAGAGCTTATGGGCAAGCAGCTATTGAATTATGGTACAAAAGCTCTCTGTGTTGGAGAAGGCTCCGCCTCAACCGTGTTGGCGTTGCAAGATTTGGGTTTCCCCAATGCTCGTGGTGTTTATCAACGCCGGTTCTTCTCACTCAAGCGCAAACAGTTCGTGTACGAAATTGACTATGAGGACAAATCTTTTGATTTTGTGCTCTCCAGGGATCTAGATAAGGTTTCTGTCCCTGCGCTTCTTGTGCTCGAGATCGAGCGTGTACTTAGCCCTGGTGGGATTGGGGCAATACTTGTGGGTAGCAGCATTTCCGCCCCGAATAGCTTGATTAGGTCTGCCACCCCAATTTCTTCTTTACTGAAAAGTTCCAGCGTTGTGCATGTTAACCACATCGGTAATTTCACTTTGGTTGTATTCAAGAAAAGTTATGAAAATGCTGGGCTTTTTGAGAAGTATCGCCTTCCGGCTGACTGCCAATCTCTCACAAACAATCGACCTTTCATTGGGAAAATGGAGCCTCTTGTGAAGGAAAAGCCAGTCGATTATGGAAAGAAGTTCAATTATTTGCCTAATTTTGTTGATCTTTCCTCAAAGAATCGCTTGGTCTATGTTGATATTGGGGCAGCGGAGCACCTGAACTCAAATGCTACAAATTGGTTCCTGCCCTCTTATCCCGTCGAACGCAAATCTTTCCATACTTATTTTGTTGACCACAACACTTCTGTTCTATTGTCCTATGTCAAAAAACCAGGAATCACCTTTGTTTATCATCCAGGGCTGGCTGGAATTAAGGCTCAAGTCAATGTTACAACTGATGGAGAAACAGAGCCATATGTGGGAGATGAAGGGTTTGATTTCCATGCCTGGTTTAAGGAAACAGTGCAGTTTGCAGATTTCGTGGTCCTGAAGATGAATGCAGGGAATGTAGAACTGAAGTTCCTCGCGGAGCTGTTTGAAAGTGGAGCCATATGCTTTGTAGACGAGCTGTTTCTTCATTGCTCCGGCAGTGTTGATGCAGGAGGTGCAATGCCGGTGGACTGCATGGACATATTCGGAAGCCTCCGTAGCAGTGGTGTCTTTGTCCATCAGTGGTGGGGAGACGGCAACCCTGTTGATGTTCTGTGATCTGTTCGGTTTGATCATGTTTCAACCGTGCTGTTGTGTTATGTTGTTGAACTCGGTAAGTTACCATGTAGGATGTGGGGGACATTAATAGTCCCTACATCAAAAGTTGCTTTAATGGTTGGGCACTTAGGTTAAAATAAACAACCATTGTTATCTTGTGTGGTGTGTACTGTTTAAGTACTTTGTGTAGGATGAAAAACATCCAAGTATTTGCTTCATGATTGGTTGGCCATTTGAGCTTTCCAACTTGGTAACTTATTAATCGTATGTTCTTTGTGTGTTTTATATGGTTTGCCTTTGATTCTTTTTCTTGGAAACTCGTTTAGAAATGCTTTCTAGGCCCTGCCGCCGAAGAACTTGATATGCTTAAAGTGGTGGAAGGAAAATTTAACCCCTAATCTGATTCAATCTCCTGTTTAACGTCTTATAATTATTTGTTTATGCCCTAAGCACAGCGTGGTGATGGACTTTGTTATGAGCTTCATGTTTTTACCCCACAAATGAAGGCGAAGTTTCTTTGCTTTATTTTTTCGCCCTCGCCTTTGTTCTCACCCTGGCTTTAGTATGACCACTTTGTTGGCATTATTTCAGGGCTCACAACTGCTCGAGGATTGAAGCAATCAGCGACTTCACTGGCTACAATCAACACTAGAAAGTGATACACCCATTTTATCGTTAGAAAGTAGACTAACATAACTGTACATAAAATGTAGAATCAGAACTGTACAGAAGCTTGATTATAGTTTCAAGTGAAGTTTCACTTTGGTCCATATAGTTTCAATTGTCGTGATTTAACCTCTGTAATTTACTGATTGTTGCAATGTGAGCAAAATGGCTTAGCTCAGCCACTATTTCAACGGAATTAGCGTGTGTGTGGGTGGCGTTTTTATACTTCCAAAAAGGCCAATTTACCCTCTCCTATTTCACAGGCAAGCTAATTATGTTGAAGAAATGGACAAAATTAAGTCGTTTAATTGAAAATTAATTGAAACCACAAGGATCAAAATGAAACTTGGCGAAAACTAGGAGACCAAAATCATACCTCTTGAAGGCCAATCACAATCTACTTGAAAATGCACACTTGGAGACGACCTTTGAAAAAAAAAGGGACCATGGCAGCTTCAAGAGACTTGACACATTCATGTTTGCTGATATAAAATAATGAAAGTGATCGACGATCTACCGCACTAAATTGTTATTAGTAGCAATTATTTAGCGCCATTAAGTTCACTGATTCATATATGGCCACAAAAAGTTGATAATGAAACCTCTCTTCGACTTTTGCTAAATTGTGAAGATTAAGCTGTTTTTGCCGTCAGTGGCAAGTGCCTGATTTAGTAATTTTACCTTACCTTATAGCATAGAAGCCTCAAGTTACCTGCTCACCTGTGGAAACTAGAAAAGTGTGATAAGACAAACTCTCTTCAGACTCCCCAAAAAAGTCAAATGGACCAGAAAAAAAACTATGTCTTACACTTCTCTTTGCCCAGTTGGAACTGGAAAATTTGTGCCAAATACTGCAAATGATTATCTACATTAAACTTTCTTGAACGAAATAATTACAACAGTAGAAGCAAACCAAATGTAGAACATGTATATTTATGAAGCATTGCCACTTGACACTACATACAGCATATAACTTGCCTTTTGATTCTTGAAAAACAAATGAGAAGGAAGAAAGGAGGGGGTGGGGAAGGAGGGTGCCATTAACCATACAGAATGCTAGTGGCAGAACACATCCTCTCATTCCTCCGGACCATTGTTGACCTTTATCTCCAAAAGCCTCTCAACTGGTTGTCGGCAAATTGGGCAACGGTTTGTCTGGAATCTCAAAACCTTGGCACACCCACTGCACATGCACTGCAGCAAGAAAGAAAATCCAACCAATAATCAGCCAAGAAGAATTTTTTATTCATGTTGAGTGAATTTCATTAGTTTGTCAAGATGATAACTCGATGGAAGCAAGTTAATGTAATCCTTTAAAACCTACAAAAGATCCTCAGCTCATTCCATTTGCAATTGTGACAAACTTTGAAAAGAAAAACAGGGAAGTATGATTACCATGTGTCTGCATGGAAGAACAGTTGTGTCCCGTGGTTCAGACAGGCAAATGACACATTCTTTTCCTGGGTCATTCCCGTCCAAGTCACCCTCAACTGAATTACCAATGCCATATATCTCCTGTAGTTCATACCTCATCCCATTCACCCAAAGAATCTGCTTGACAACCCTCACCTGGAATTCACCTTTCTCCCTCTCAAATATGGCCTGAGTTATCTGGGAGTTCGTTGTTACGGATACAGGGTTTCCCTCTGATCCATCCTGGTTAGGTGGGGATGCCTCTGCCTTTACAGCTATAGGATAGATATCCAAGTCCGTTACTTTCAGTAATTCTGTCTCCTCAAACATTGAGAAATTAATTCCAGTTCCAGAGGGCTGTCTGAACTTCTGGCCGAGACCTTGTTGAAAATGTACCGTCACAGGTGGAAGGTTAGACTTTGTTGGTGTCAGGTTACAGTCCTCACTTTCTTTTGCAAAGAAGATAATGGTGATGCTGTTTCACAGAGCCATATATTAAGATTAAAAATAACCAGATGATCAGATAATGTTAAAGAACATAAAAATGTAAGGATCTTAGTGCACTACAATCTTAATAAAGCCTTGTCCTCCAACAGTTATGCATGTAAATCAAATGAGTTATCAACACCTTGGCCAAAAAAAGATACCATTACTATAATTCCACATGGAAATGTCATCACAGCATGGTATTTGAGTATGATCTGTGATGCATAAAGTATCATTCCTTGTGTACCTCAAACAAGGGAAATATACTAGGCTGTGGAATTTAAGTACCACAAGAATATACCGAGCTGAAAGATTAGATGGCCGCATATATGAGAATTTCTTATATCTCAACACCACCAAAACCATACAGAAACCTAAAGTCCTCACATCATCATCTTATATTTCCTAATCGACATTTCTGAGGTAAACACCCTCATTAATCCCTATTCATTGTCACCAATCACACTCTTATCCCATATGAATTGTCTAGACACTTATGCCCTTTCACTTCAGTAAGGTTCCCCAAGGAAATTTTACCTATTTTATATACTATAATCACCACTGAGATCATAGATGACTGAAGGTCACTTGATACATATTGTTGGTTTGCCACAGTTCCAAAAACCTTGGTAAACCAACAAGATTTATCTTAGTACCATAGAATATGATTCAAATCCTGAAAACTGAAAGATAAGAATTTATGTAAAGGTCCACATGTTAGGGAGAGTGTTAGAATATTAAAAAAATAAAAATAAAATTGGCTCGCATCCTAACAGCTTAAGCTTTTGGAAACAATTAGAACTGAAAAACCAACAAAATCAATCATTGGTACACACCATCAAGTCACCTATCCAACCTGTTAACCTATCCATCTTGCCTTCTTCAAAAGCAATACAAATGGATCAAGCTAGAATGGCAATCATCACTTCAGAATGGTGATGAAAGTCATGTGCTTTTCAATAACACTTGGATTCTCATCAAAATTGTCTTCCAAACTTCCATAACTAGTAATCTACTATCAAATTGATTACCAATTTCCCTCAAAATTGCTACTTTTCCAAACTGTCTCAGTCCTCCAAATTCAATCTCCACATTCCACCAGTCCAAGCTAACACAACAAAATAAAAACAACCAAACCAATAACAATATAGCCCAATTAAGCTAATCCCACATAAAACCAAATATCAGCCCCCAATTAGGCATTTAATGCAGAAACAAAACATAAGTTAGTGAAAAAGCAAACTTAAAGTTCAAGACAAAAGCTTTAAGCTTCATATGATACCTCCCAGCAACCGTGGCATCAAAAGTAAAAGAGACAAGGAAGCTTCCAGGGTTTTCCTCATCGGGCTCGACCTTGAGAGATTCCTTCTTCAGATTCACATCGTTCCTTATAGTAACCGCCTTCTGATGCTCGACATACGGCGTCGGAGCCTGCATTACAGGACCGCACCGGTACCGGCCGCCGGCCCAATTTGGATGGGCCGGGTCCATATGCGGGTGGGGCACACGGTGGTGATGATCGTACGGAGCAGGCAAAGGCATCGGCATAGGCGGCGGCGGGTAGTAGCCCGGGTACTGGTAGTACTGTGGCGGGTTCGAGTTCGGGTTCGGGTTCGGATTATGGTTCTGGTACTGAGACGGGTACGGGGTCGCCGCGGCGAATACGTATCGGTTTGGAGAGATTTCGGGCTGAGGCGGCGCGGGAGGCGGCGGAGACGGATGGTTTTGGCGGGCCCCATGTCGCCGCCGGGCGGCGTTGCTTCTACTGCCGCTGTTTCCCATGTTGGGTTTGGTGGTGTTCAAAAATTTTCTCGGGAAGCAAACAAATTCAGCCTGAAAACCTTTGGTTGTGTTATCAGACAGATTTAGAAGATGTGAAAGATTTTTTATTTTTTATTGCTCAGAGAAGATGTGAAAGATTGGAACTTTGTTTTTGTTTTTATCTTCGTGTGCTGTTCCAAGTGAAAGAGAAATTTGGATACTAACAGAGAAGTATAAAAATGAAACCCAAAAAAAAACTAATAATAATATATAGGAAAGGGACTTAAAATAAAAATAAATAAATAAGACACAGAGAGAGAGAGAGAGGAATCTTGTAGAGTTATGTAATAATAATGGGTGGGTGGAGATTGGGTGGAATGGGTTGCGTAAAGCTCCACCCAAAACACCATCCATATGAGATGATGGGAATTGAGACTAGAAAGAGTTTATGCTCCACAGCTAAAGCTAACAGCTTTTTCCTTTTTCTAATCTGTATATGTCAACTTTACTAGATTACACATGAATTCATCAGACCAAGAAGAAAGAAGATAAGATTAAGTACATGAAAGAGGTTGTAATTGCCAGAATGAATTCTACCCGCAAGCTTAGCATGGTATCAGTCAGAGCACGCTTAGTAGCAGTACATGTGAAAGTCGAATTTGTATCTGTTCTCATGCATGGAGAGGGAGTGTCTTGCGACTCCAACCTTAACGCTCCAGGCGAGTGTTCGCATAGTCTCCCGTCGCCCAGAGTTCTTCGGCATATGTAAGTGGATTTTGCAAGGACAAGTTCTAACTGTGTACTTGACATATATGTTAAATACGCGCACGTTGAAGCTAGCATCATATTCATACCAATACCAATGCCATGCATGCATGTATGTTTTTGGCTTGAGGAAGAAGAATGCAAGTTGGCTTGCTTGGGCATGCGACTCATGATTCATGATATGCCTGATTTTGGTTGCCAAGTTGCTATTCATATCGAGGCAGTGAATGATGATGTCAATTTGTTGGCATTGGAGATGGGCATAAAATGAAAATTACTATCATATTGATATTCAATGGCATCTTTTTCCCTTGATAAGAATTGAAAATTTCACAGATAATCATGTCTTTATAAATAAATTAGGAGAAATGATGCATTTGTGGCCCAAAAGAACTTGGATGTGTCACAAGGATAACACTGTTTTGCTATCTCAATCTAATCATGTTTCGTCATGTAAAATCATTATCAAGCATAATAAAACGTGATTAATTAGGAAAAACAAAACAATATTATTCCGTGACATACAAAATTTTATCTTTTTTAGACAAAAGTGAATGTGGTTCCCACTTTACAAGCAACTGGGCAATCTAAGGACTAAGTGTGTTGAACCCCCACCCCACAAGAGATATTTTGAGTGATGCATGCCCCTTATCTCCCCATGTCATGAATTATGTATTATTATGCATACATAACCTTTGTGTGATATTCTACGTTCATCCGTTGAAATTTGAAAATTTTATAACATATTTCAATACAAACAAAATCATTATAAAAAAAATACTCCCATGAATATCGTTGTCGTCAACCAAGTTAAAGTTTCACATCAAAATAATAAAATCCATTTTTTACTGTTACTTTCTGATCTTTATTACCTTTACCATCTTCTTTTTCCTGATAGCAACCATTAAAGTATAAATTACTGAGATAGGTAATATGCAGCACTTATTTCACCATCTCTAGTTAAACTCTACCTTGTTGAAAGTCAAAACCAGTCTCCATCACCATCTTTACAAGCCCAGCAAAAAAAAACTTACCTAAAGGCTGTTTGTGCCTAATTTTGCACTTGTGGCGTGAATGTTAAAGGATATGTTATATGCCTTACACGTGTAGTCCACTATAATATCTAGCAACATGAACTATCCATTTTTATTCAGGATACCTAATCCCATTACATGGCTTACTCGTTTCCTTGCAAAACAAGCAACCTAACATTGAGACTTGACAACAAACCTACTTGTGTAATTTGAAGACGATGGCATATCCAATCCCTCATCTATCTCACAAAATTACCAAACTGGCCATGAACAATATTTTTTTTTTTTTTTTTTTTTTTTTTAATATAAATATAGTGTGGACAAAAGTCAAGAAAACCAATTTAATTGAAGGGGGTTTATATATGATATGCTTGATTTTGAGTGTCGATTTTGATGGCTATCTTCTGTAATGTATCATGTGTATAGGTCTGTTTCAACAAAAGAGGCAAGGAAATCCAATTAAGGTCCGAGGATAAGGAAAACGTGACAACGAAAGAGGGGAATTTCAACTGCTTGTAATTAAAGCCATCCAAGCTAATGATCCAAAATGCTAAGTTGGTGTGTGAGAATAGAATCTTAAAGTGTGTTTAAATGCCTTGTTGATCATGAATTCATATATAGAAGATTATTGTCTCCCTTGATAAGGGTGATCAGAATATATTGAATTCACGGGAGCTTTTACGATGAGAGAGATTTTGGCAAAAGGGTACTTAGGGGAGTTCGGTAATGTTTTCCAAGCCCGTTTTCTGTTTTCTAAATTCAAAATTCATTAGATACACGTTTGTTCGGTGGGTTTTTTTTTTCATTTTAAACATGTGATACTATTTTAAGGAAACAAGATAAAAATAGGGTGTAAAACTGAGAACACATTAAACATGTTTTCCCATGTTTTCAACGAATACATACATAGCTCCTTTTTCTTAACAAGCACACTATTAGTGGGCCAATTAACAAGGGTAATGAGCTTACAAATTCAACAATTTACTTAAACATGTGACTCAAAACCAAGAGGATTTTGGGCTAAAGAAAGGTGATTCACAATGGATTTGAATGGCGTGGAAATTTGGTCTAGCCAATTTTGTCATTTGTCACGAGATAGAATTGATCAAATCAAAATTTTGTCATAGTTTATTATTCTAGAAAGGTCTTATTCTTGCACATTCATATACTTACTTCGGCGGATATTGACTTCTTTGACTTCAAACTAAATAAAACATTTCGATGCGATTATTTATAAAATCAATTCCACCGTGTAGGGTAGGACTTGTACTGTCCAACAACAGACCACAACGCGTATAGTAGATATTAGATATGGTGTCGTAGAGACCATAGACCATAGACTAGACCTCCTAGTTTACTAGACCGGTCCCAACTTCCAAACATAAATATTTTGGATATGTGTACCATCTACGAGAGACTGTTGACAACACTCCATTCCTCCTTTCAAACTTTGATTCATTCAAATGTGTGAACAAGAATTTCTTATCAAACCACAAGCCAGGTTTGTTAATGATTGCGTACTTTGTTCATTGGAAAGACAAGGGTGTTTTTGTCATATGAAGTTGACAGACTTGCCACATTACACCATGACTGTGCCTTGACTCGGCGCGATGATGACGGTCGTCTGAGTAAATGCTAGAGAAACCTCATTTTTGATAACATATAATTTCATTAATTAATCACATGAAGTAAAGTTAATGAATTTTATGTTGCGTTTGGATGAGGAAATTTAAAAATACAAAAGAATTTATAAATGACGGAATTTAAATCGAAGGAATTAATGTTCTATAATTTATAAAGTTTCTTGTTTGGATAACAGATTTAAAATACAGAATTTAGCATTTATTTGTAAAGTTATTTGTTTTAAAAACTCAATTTCTCTTGAAATTTGAAAAATGACTACTTTTATATAGAATTTAAAGTTTTGATTTATGACCTCCAAATTCCTTTTTTTTTTTTCCACAGGAATTTCTAAATTTCTATGTTTTTTTATATCCAAACACGGGAATTGATTCATATCAATTTAGAAATTCTGACTTTTATCAAAATCTCAAGTTTATTTCATTCATCCAAACACAGTGTTGCATACTTTTCATTTTATTAAATGAGATTATGATTTCAATTTTCGTGAACGATATTTATTGCAAAAAAGAACAGATAATAGAAATAAAAAAAAGGAAAGAAACAAAAAATATGTTAACGTTAGTAAATACTAGAAACAAAGAGTAGGCTTTCTACACATTAGCGCGTTATGTAATCGTCTGAAACATGTGAGAAAATTACAATCTCTTCAACATATTATAATGTTGTCAATGGAATTTCATAATCTGGGGGAAGGAATTGTTAATTAGGAGAGAAAAACAGGGTAAAAGGGTATGGCTGACTCAATCCTTCCGTATTAGTTTCCAAAGACCTTCCTAAGAATCAGTATTAACAATTGGTCTCCAAACAGTCTTTGCACGTTTTGGTAATATGACTTGCTTCTCCCTTTTAGGCGTGTTGATGTTAGGCAGTTAGACGTTTAACTTTCTAAACCAATGAATTGTGGTTTTTATTTTAATACAAGTAATATTATACTTTAAACTAATCTAAAATGTGAGGAGGAGGATTTGAATTCAGATACAGAGTGGGGAGCATATCCGCTCTAAGCAATTTAACTAAGCCTATGTCTACATGAAATCTATTTTTATCTAAACCTAATAAAAATTGAAATAATATTTCTCGATGAATTAAGTTGATACGGCATCCATAGGATATTATTTAAAACATAACTAGCCCCTTGGCACATGTTCAATTGGTTTGTTTTTTTAATAACATGGGTATTTATAAATTTGTATATTTATATTCTATAAAAGTATGACATATTATCTTATTTTATTTTTAATTTTAATTTTTTAGTATGAAAAAATGTGAATTTATCATATCATCCTCATTTAATTAATAATTTCAATTCTTAATGTTTAAATTAACCAATTATATTTCTGTTATTTTGAATGTTTCACCATTCTCTGTCTTTTGCTTTATATATATATATATATATATATATATATATTAAAAGGCCAAATTCTATTTAATGAAACTCATAATAGAAGTTGTTTACTAACATAAACCATGATAAATGCAAATAATTTTACTTCAACCAAATATGAGGGTGAGGCCAAATTACGTACAGTAACAGACAGACAGACAGACAGAGACCCCTTCCCAACAAGAAATATAAAAATTCTGATGGAAAAGAAAACTGAGTTCAAACTATGAGAAAGTCTGAAGTCAAATGCCGCGGGCAATATAATAATTATAATTCTGCGTCTCCATTTCTGTTTTCCCCAAAGCTTATTGTTTCTTGGGTTACTCTCTATAAACTTTAATCCATTTTAATTAGGCCAAAGTTTCAAGATTTTAGCTTTCAAGTACATACCTTGGGCAAAATAAAAAACTGCAACATGAAGTTCCCAATTCCCTGCACAGGTTGCTTCTTCTCCTCACCTCAAAATGTCATGGAACAAGGGATGCAAGGTATTAATGAGATGTCTGCCTATGTGTTTTGTGTGTTTTTCTTGGGTTTTTTTTTGTGATTTTACTGTGTTCTTGATTGCTTTTTTGTACTTGGTAAATACCCAGATGGAGAAAATCAAGAAAGCTTCAGAATTTTCTCTTCCAAGGAATTGAAGTCTGCCACTAATGGCTTCCATTCCTCAAAAAAGCTTGGAGAAGGTGGCTTTGGCTCTGTCTATAAGGTTTTTTTTCTTGGCCTGCAACATAAATTCTGCAAATTTGGTTGAGTTTAGCTTGTGTGTGTAATTTAGCTGTGTTTTGCTGATATGGGATAAATTTTGGTTGAGCTTTAAAGGGTCGGCTTAGAGATGGCAGTCTTGTGGCTATAAAAGTGCTTTCCACTGAAATTGAATCTATGAGAGGAGAGAGGGAGTTCATTGCAGAATTGTCTGCTCTGTCTGTAATCAGACATGAAAACCTTGTTAGGCTTCAAGGGTGTTGTGTTGATGGAGCTGGCAGATATTTGGTCTACGATTACATGGAAAACAATAGCCTCACACACACTTTACTCGGTAAACCTATGCTTCTAATTTCTAAATTTGATTACCTTAATGATCCTCATTTTAACTATTGGTATTTTAATTGGTTGATTTTAGGAGATTTTGTTATTTATCTGAAGCAATTATTGACAGCTACAATGAATGCAAATGAAAGAATATGATTTTAGGAGACTTTAGTTTCTCATATTGGTACATTAATTTGTTTATTTTAGGAGATTTTGTGATGTATCTGAAGAAAATTATTGACAGCTACAATGAATGCAAATGAAAGACTATGATTTTTTAGGCCAATTGTGTAACAATGTATGTTGATTAACAGGTGGAGAGCAAAACAGGATGAGATTTAGTTGGGATGCAAGGAGGCATATTTCATTAGGGATAGCTCGAGGACTTGCCTATCTGCACGAGGAGGTTGAACCTCACATTCTGCACAGAGACATTAAAGCCAGTAACATACTTCTTGATGAGAATTTCACACCAAAAGTTGGTGATTTCGGCTTATCAAAGCTGTTAAGAGACAACCATTCTCACATTAGTACTCGTGTAGCCGGGACAATGTAAGTTGTTAAATTGCTAATTCTTCTTGCTTCATGCTTCTCTGCCTTTGGATTATTATTTGAAATGCTATTGCATGCTAATGGGGTGTCTCACAATAATCCAAAAGAGGTTATCTTGCTCCAGAATATGCGATTAGCGGGCGTTTGACGCGAAAATCAGATGTTTATAGCTTCGGAGTACTGCTGTTGGAAATTGTCAGCGGCCGTGCAGTTGTGGATTTCGACTTGGAACATGGGGAGCATCACCTGGTTCAGAAGGTAAGCAAATTAGAGCAATTTATCACTACCCGCTTTGGCCATGCATTTTTATTCTGTCATATGGTAGAACTGAAGCCATGTTGTTTGTGAATATGCAGGCATGGGAAGCATTCAAGGCTGGTAATCTTGTACAATTAGTTGATCCTACACTTCAGATGAACTTTCCTGAAGACGAAGCCATCCGGTTCTTAAAGTTAGGCCTTCTTTGTGTGCAAGAGATGGCCAAGCTCCGGCCGCAAATGTCAAGGGCTGTTAAGATTTTGTCTGGTGAGGTAGACATAAAAGATTCTCAGATTTCTGAACCGGGACTTGTTTCTGATATCATGGAAATCAAAATGGGGCAACAGCAGTCATGTGATCAGAGCACTTTCTCCAAAGCCTCCACAGCCACTAGCACGCAAAACCAGAGTAGATCTGAGGACTTTGTGATGTCCTTCTAACCATCCTGTAAGGCTTATTTTTCTCAACTTTTCCCAGGAAGATCATGTGAGCCTACAGAAGATTCATTGTTTTTTGTTGGATTGCTTTGTGTATATATATAATCTGCACGCCAACTCCATTTGGACAAGTCATGTAGATATATAACTCAAGACAACCAATTTTGTTTTTTTTGTTTTTTGTTTTTGTTTTTTTGGGGGGCTTTAAATTGGCTAATTATTTGTGGGATGTGGAGGTATTTTTCCTTTGTTTCTTGCTGTTGTTGATAGTACTTTGCAGAACAGATGTGTACAAAATTACCTCCAATAAATTAATGTGGCCACCTGCTCAGGTGTTTTAACTTTCTCGAGCTGTTTCTGTTATTTACTATGCCTAAAGTTCATAAACTGCGGCAGAGACGTTAGTAGTTGAGGAAGCATGTTTAAATATGAACCAAAATGAATCATAACAGTAAATATAACAACAAAAAAGCAAAATTTAATGAAATATACAGAAGGGTTAACTTTAACAAAATGATATTATAATGTAGTGCTCCATTATCTACCCAAATAAATGACACATGATATGCATGGCTCCATGTATGCCATTCACTTTGGCCGCCAGTTTTCTGGTGGACTTAGCAGATGGCATACAGGGAGGGAACCATGCATGCCATTATATGCATGCACATAAATATGTGATGCAAGCCAATTGGGTCTAATCCAATGGAAAAAAGCCTTAACTTACAAATTAGTGATATAGGATTCGAATCTCATAGCACATTGATAGTGTGTATATGAGAAATCATCTCTTTTTTGTAGTTTAGACTATCTCTTATATTCAAAACAAAAACATGTAATACAGAACACAAAGCTATTGAGTATGATGAATGTGAAGCAGTACTTAAATAGTAGTGGAGGTGTCGAGAGCAGGTACCACAAGTGGTGGCCTTCCCCTCCTCCTGCTTGACACCTAGGTTAGAAACCCCCTTGGGGGTTTCTGTCCTCCCAATGTAACCAAAAAAAAAATAGTAGTGCGTGTCATTTTCTATAGCTGAAATCAGGCATAATAAAGTAAGCTTATAAAAGGGACTAAATACGCCTCATATACCTCCCTTTTAACTTTTTCCCCACTATTTCCTCAGGGTTCATATACCAATCAACTACCTTTTGAGTTGGCAACTTGCATAAAGCAAACAGAGCTCAACAAACCACTCAATCTGAACGGCCGGTACTTCCTTTTCTATCTGTCTTCAACTTGGTTAAGGTTGCGCGAGTAATGTGGGGCTACGAGAGAGAGACAGAAGCTGAAATGGAAAAGGGACGGATGAGGTTGAAAATCTTTCAGAGGCTACCATAAAGTTTCTGGGATCTTTCATTCTTTTGTACATCATGACTTTCTCTTCTGAAACCCATTTGTCTTAAGAGTGCTTGGATGAGTTGGATTCCCATTTCTCAAATAGGGACTGCTAGACAGAGATTGGTCTTTCAATCTATTCAATTCAGAATACACTGTAGTTTTCACATTTCTTAATTCTACAAGGTGTTTTGTTTTAAATTGCTAGCAAAATATTCAACGATAGGAAAGATGCAGTTTAAAGTAGAACCTTTTTGGGGGTAGCATGGAGCGTTAGCTTCTACATCTGGTTTAATTAGTAATGTGTGTAGTCTCTGTGTTCATGTGCCTACAAGAAACATGCGTCGAACGGATGAGAGCACCGAAATGTTGCACCACTTCCATGTCAGTTACCAGAAATTATATCCAACTCACAGCATATATTTGATAAGTAATTCAACTACTGATTAATTAAGCATTTCCCTCTTGTGCAATAAATGCATTTTTGCAGTAAAAACATCTAAGAAGTATGATGGTGGTGGTTGACAAATCTAAATCAGAACATTGTTACCTTCATAGCAAAGCACTCAAAAGGCAATGAGGTCTCAGATGCTTGAAATCATTGTAACAAATGATAGAATCTCAGGGCATGTTCAAGCATTAAAAATTCTCTCCAATGCTTTACATGAGAAGGAAGGTTATTAAATAAAGCTTCATGCGGAAACTAATGTAGAATGGTACAAAAATAGTGTTCCCTTCACTTTTTGAGGATTAAGGGAAAATCATAAACAAAGAAAAAAGAGTAAAGAGGGAGTAAACCAACTTCATTTACAAGAAGCTCGTAAGATGTACAGTTGCAGAAGAGCAGTACTTACGGGAACAGTTGTAACACAAATTGTTCAATTCATCTTTGATGAATATCCGGCGACCTGGTTCAGAAATTAGAAGGTCAAACCATCTTTCACAATGTGCTCCAACCAAGATGCAATATCCGACATTGCAGGACGCTCGGTAGGATTTTCCTTTACAGCCAATCCTGCAATATCAGCAAGCTTAAGCAATGGCTCAACATTTCTTGGAAGAGCTACGTAACGATCAATTATGGCAGCTGCCTTGTTCTGTTTAATTAAAGGTACTGCCCACTCGACTATTCTAGGAGGAGTGTAATCTCTGTCGAATGCTTTCCTTCCACTGAGCATCTCAAGCAATACTATTCCAAAGTTGTAAACATCACTTTCTAAATCTCCACTATGATCCTTGTCATTAGATGTAAGGAGCCCGAAATCTGCAATTCGTGCATTCCATTCAGAATCCAAAAGAATGTTTGAGGACTTGACATCCCGATGAACGATGGGAGGCACAAATTCCTTGTGAAGGTACTCAAGCCCCTTAGCAGCCTGCATTGAAATTTTCAACCTGAGGACCCAGTTCAGGGCAGAAAGCCCACCATGGAGATGGTCATGAAGTGTCCCATGGGGCATATACTCATATACAAGCAGCCTCTCCCCCATCTCTGAGCAGTAACCCAACAAGTTCACAATATTACAGTGGCGGATTTTGCAAAGGACCTCTAATTCCATTTCGAAGTCCCGACTGTTCGTGTGAATTATAGTGGCAGCATTTGCTCTCTTGACTGCAACTTGCTGTCCATCTGCTAGCACAGCTTTGTAAACAAAGCCATAGCTTCCCCTGCCAAGCTCATTGAACTCCTTGAATCCGTTGGTGGCATCTTTTAGTTCTGAGAGTCGGAAAACTTGAGCCATTCCAGGACAGGAAACTACAGATGGAAGAGGGAGTGAATCCTCATTATTGTCAGCTTCCAACTCTGCTTTCCCAATGCAAGATTTAAACTGCTTTTTGTTCCCTTCTTCTTTTCGAGAAGTTGTTAATCGGGGAAGAAGACACCAACTAACTAATATCAACAAAAAACCCAAAGCAGAAGACCCAAATATGATCACCAACCTGCGCACATGATGCCAAAGCTTCTTCTTCATTTCCGGAGGTGTTTGAAGCCCACAAATATCCCAACAAGAGCTGTTTTGGCAAAGAGAGCAAGCTGTGCACACTCTGTCAGCATGTTCAGTGCATGAGCTGGACAAGAAGAATCCTTCAGAACAATTTGACCCACAAGGTGAACAAATGGTTAGATCTTTCCTAACACACAAGCTTGTCAAATCAGCCTCATTAAGGATGCTGGCATTGAAAGCAAACTTCCCTTCCCCACAAGAACCAGGAGTGCAAAGACCTGGACTGCACAATTCCAATGGAGGATCATACTCAGGTGGTGAGGAAGAGGCATTAGCGGCCCAGCAATCAATCACCAAATCATCTTCCCTGATCCCACAAGTAGTAAAATCTGATGAAGCAATCGCCACGAATCCGGAAGACTTTGGAATCAAAGAAGAGTTAAAGATCCCCCAACACTCAATTCCATGATTGGCTTCTCGAATCCCACAAAAATGGTGCTCACCAGCTGCTAAAGACACATACTGGGTTCCATTTGGATGACCAGCTAACAAATCAGTATCACCCCAACATTTCAACTCACCAAAATCTGAAATCCCACAAAGTGAGGCCCTCCCTGAAGCTAAAGCTGTGAAATTATCTACTGGACCTGAAACCCCTAGATAAGAAGAATTGGGTCCCCAGCAAATAAGCCCTCCATCTCTAACCCCACCACAGCTAAATCCTTCACCAGAAACAACCTTTTTGAACACAATATTGCTAATAGAGTGGTCAGAAAACAGAGTGCTCTGTTTGGAACTCAAACTTTTGTTCCAAGTTTCAAAAATTTCCCAACAATCCACTGTACCAAACTCATGATCAGAGTAATATGAACCTCTAATGGCACATACATGGTTCTTCCCAGCAGCAATATGAGAATAAGCAGTGGTCTTGAATATGGGAGGTACGAGATCTATACCTGGGGCAATGGAGCTCCAACAATATGCCAGCGACGTGTTCGCTAAAATGCCACAAAGAAAGCCTTCACCCCCCGAGAGGGCAGCCATCGCTGGAATGTTGCTGAGAAAGGCCGAAGCCGAGGAAGAAGCCGAAGATGGAGTCGATGAAGAGCTGTTCTTTCCCCAGCAAACCACGTCCTGCTTGCCACTAGCGTCTATGGCACAAAAAAAGCCATCTTTGCCAAAAGAAGCAGAGATGGGGCCCATTGATCCGAACCCAGATGCGGTTGTGGAGTATATGAGCAGGAGAAGAAGCAGAGGAGGTGCAGAGCGAGAGAACCCAGAAAGGGCTTGGTGGGTTTGCATGGTTTTCCTGGGTTTGGATCAGCGAAAGCATGGACTGGTTTGATGGTGAGCTTGCATGGTGCGGTTGGTGTTTGTGATGGTGTTGTTGGTTTTGCTGAAGTTGAGTCAGAGCTGTGAGTGTGAGGATGGTGACGATGAAAGAACGTGGGTGTCGCAGCCATTTTTACAGTGTTTTTGTGGACCGTTAGAACGTCAAGTACTGAAAGTAGTTACCGCGCCGACTATATTTTAATGCTATTTGCCTCCATCTTTCTTTTAGTTTACTCCAAAAGCTTGAAGATTGGGTTTTCTATCAGTCTGTGTTCTTACTGTGTTAGCGTTAAACTAGGATTAGTCTGCCACTTTGTCGGGTACATGCATAAACAAGTGGGGGAAGGTGCGATTTGACTATCGAAATCACTTTACTTCTTTATATATATTGGGCTAGCTGTTTAATTAGTGATCTATGAAGCAATTGCTATAAATTTGTCATCCGCCATGTTAGTTTTGAATGCGTGTTATTAACATCTCTTAGAGTTGTCATGTTCATATCGAACATATATCATCAACAATAATTTAGAATCGAAATTTTCATGTTTGTGTCGAATACCGGCTATGATATCGACATTGCCTAATGTTTTCCTTAAAACTTTTTTGATACTTGATATTGACATAGTTGAGGTCAAATTTCATGACTTTCATTTATTCATTTTCACACTATTCTTTTTCGGTGCTTCATTTTCTCTCTTCCCACTATGGCCTACATCAAATGCTTCTAGTATTCTATAAAATATACCGTCACTCTTATAAAATAATTAGGCCACCAACATGGGTGGCATCTAATATGTAGCACAAGTTGACTAAATTATTTAGATAGATAACTTAATACTTCCCTTCACTATCAGTCAGATAGCAAAGCACATTGCACAAAACCGCACAATCCTGTTTCATTTGCTGTGTTTCTACTTTGTACGTGGTAAGATAACCTTGTTTAAGAATATCTTGTTCAAGCCCTTATACACATAAGATTACACTTAGAAACAATTTTTAAGACATCATGAAATAAGATAATATGCAAAACTGAAGAAAATGGAGGATCTAATAGACATGTGCAAATCGTGTTTGATCTGCATTTGATGTATTGAATGAGACCATATTGAAAAGCTGCTATTAAAAATCATAACTAGTACCATTGAGTAAGAAAGTGGGTTTGGTTGAAAGAAATTTAAATGATAAAATACCAAATTTGTAATGGAGAAAGTGGCCCACTTGACAAATATATTATACTAATCCAATTGCTATGTGCTTTTCCATTCAACCCAATTACCTGACCAAGATAAATAAATAAAAAGGGTGTTAAGCCAATTTTCTAGCATAGTGGAAAATGTTATTGATTTGTAGATCAACGATCTCAAGTTGTCATAATATGTTGGCAGTGTGTGAGAAAAATCTCATTTCCCCAATATCGCTTGTATTAAAAAATAAAAAAAAGGGTGTTAATGAACTTATCCTAGTGAGAGTTCAAATTTTGGACAGAAAATTTGGAGCTTTTTGTATGCGTAATTTGTGCTGGTACATTTGGTGCCAAATAAGACGTCCTAGAAATTCTCAACTGTGATCTTATATCACGTGATTGCCAGGTCATATATGTCTGGCCTCTATTTGGAATTCCCCAGCCCTAATGTCTCTGGTCAAAAACACTTTATTCAAGTCCCTACATTATTTGCGTCCTCTTGCCTTTTCAGTTAAAACAATCCCAATGGGTTTGTCTCCAAATCCTATTGTTACAAAACCACTTTATTCTTGTTGGTACAGTAAGCAGTAAGGTGGGGACTTTGAAACGATCTGCTGCTCTATCCAAAAATCCAATTCAATAATTGCGACAGTCACTCACCTGCACATGAACAACTATAGATTATTTATACATTATAGATTTTAATTATATTCACGATTGATAGTTACTCATGTGTGCACATACTGTACACGACTGTTATTAGCATCACATATGAATTCAAATACAAAGTTTTATGGATGTCTTTTAACACAATTGAAATGAGAGTTTTACCATGTTGTACGTAAGCGACTATTCATAGTATCACTCATGTATTGAAATTTAAATTTATTGTCCACTTATATCATAACACATGTGAACTACAAACAACTCGCAGTGTTGTTACGATTTGAGACTAAAAATAACATCTTTCTTCGTAGGGTTGAAATGGTGGGTCCTGCCAATGATGCCACCATGTTAACTGTGCAATTGTCTCTATCCCCATTCTAGGCCATGACCCATTTTGTGACAGTCTTCAAGCAGCAAGATCCATAATAAAATACAAGAAATAATCAAAGGGCATGGAGAATGGGGGCAGCTTACTTGGTGAACATGAATGGGACCTAGTTGCTTCTTTGGCACCCATCCATTCCATGTGATCTGCCGTGGAAGATGATGCCCCTGAACCTTATCTTAGATTTTCTTTGTCTGCATTTTGCAGTATGTTAAGATTGTATCTCTGTATGGTCTACATGGGTTGTTCTTTATTAAGATTTAACACAATGCCAAGATTTCATTCAGAGTATTAAATTAATAATCAACTATGTGCTTCTAATGCAGTTCAAGAAAGAAAAAGGTGACTATATTCCCAGCACCTAACTACTGCATCTCTTAAGAAAACTCAAAGAGGAGTGTTATCATCAGTCGCCGCGTGCGATGATTTTCAGTTATTAATCATTGTGGGTTCTATAACGAGACTCATATTTATTAATAGCTGAAAATGCTCCACTCCTCCGCGCAAAACTGACTGTAGCATTTTCAAAATCCAAAAATCTAGTCACACTGAGTCCTCAGCGTCATTCTCTTTTGCAAATGGAAGAGAAGATTCGGGTGGGGAGAAAAGTTTTTTTTGCTCTCAAAGTCGTAGAAAATATACTTCACTAGCTCAATAGTTTTAGCCAAGTGATTGGATAATCAAATATTCTTTATCTACAAAGAATTATGAAGCATTACCTTATTGGTATTCCTTTTCTGGTGCAATAATTCAGAGTAGTTAGATTTTGAGTTGGGATAGTGGGTTGGATTCGACATATCATTTTTCAATGGCATTAGCTATAACGTCTTGATTGGATGGATCTGTTTTGAACCTGTCGAAAAGATACCAAAAACATAGGCCAGCTTGAAGGTTAATATAGCAAACCCTTCAATTCAAAAACTGGGGCTCAAACAAGTTCTGAATTTATTGATGAAAAGTACAATTTTGGTGAAATTATTCAAGAAAAGAAAAAGTTACGTGAGTTATTATGGGAAATAAAATTTCAGAACAGCTAATGACCCACTAGTGCAGTGATTTGGAGTTCTGGATTCGAGTCCAAACATTCATGTAGTGTATGTGAGTTTAATATTCTATCGCCCTTGTCAATAATAAAGGTTTTAAAAAAATTAAAAAAATAAATCCAGAACAAGTTCAAACCGGTGGAACATGCATCTAGAAGTCACTAATCGAAATAGTAACATAGAATTCCATAAACAATTGTAAACATTAGATTTCACTCCTAGAGGCCCAACAATTTCTGCAACATTATTGTTTTCTGAACATGATACATATTATAAGCTTATTTGCTGAACAAAGTGATCCACAACATACGAAAATAACCAATCCCCGGATAGCAACAACCACAACGCCACAAGTCTAAAGACCAGGATGAATCAGGCAAAAAGAATACAATACTTGCAAGAGTCTGGAATTACAATTGTGCGATCAATGGGATTAATTCTTCACCGTCGTCACCTGCTTCAGAAGCATTTGCACAACATCACTTGAAATCCTTGCAGCCTCTGTCGAGAGGTGCTTGATCTTCTGCTGGGTTTCAAGTTCCAGACGCTTCACATTAGCCCCTGAATCTCCACTGCTCTGCTTGGTGGCCGGGTGAAAACACAGGAGCAAAAGGGAAGAATTAGCACAGATGTATCGGCAACAAAAGTCTAGGGACAGCTCAAAGTATTAAAAAGACTATGGGGGAGAAATTTATAATTGGCATGTTCAATTTCTAGAAATTTCAAGGCACATATGAAAATGACATGGCCAAGCCTTTGGAAAACTTAGAATGCCAGACCTAATGAACATTCAATGCATAGCTTTCACCAAAATACACATACCGCTGCAACTTTCTTCTGGAACTCAAGCTCCATTTGGGCACGGTATTCAGCAATCTCCTTTGCAGCCTCATCTTTAGCTTGTTTCAATCTAGCCATTTTTGCTAGCAACAGAAAACAGAAAACCAACCACCAAATAAATTAGGAAGCAACTCAAACTGCTAAATTTTGGCGTACAATCTAATAATCCTTTAAAAAAACGTATTAGGACTGCATATTCATACATGATTTCGCCCAAATAACGCTTTTGATTCATATTTTGACAACACCATGCGTGATACACAACATCATGGACAACAAGAAATATCTTCCAACAGGGAAGTTGGAAGCATAGAACTTCTCCGATTAAAATCAAGAATTCATCCTTCCACACAACTTCACAAGAGGCCAACTCATAAACAATGCAACAAATAGAAAGTCCCTTCTGTTCGCAAAATGCATCAAGTTTGCGAATAAAATGCAGAACCAAACAGATAATAGAAAGTAAATCTAAGAGGAAAAAAATACCACTTCTGGCAGCATTGACAATGTGTTGAGCTTCTTGTTCTGCAGCCAACAATTGCTGAATTCCACCTTGACCCCTGTTGGATGCCATACTTTCTGGAACATACAACAGTTGATTATAACACTAAACCAAACGCAATAAGCAAAAATCTTACTGAAACAACAACATAAATTCCAGCCATGAATGGCACACCAAAACAGGTGCTTGCATTGAGACAATTGTACTCAGAAAAATCTTATCTTTTTTAGCATCTGATTTACCCAATTCATGCATAAAACTAAATAGATCTCCTATTTGGATACAGAGATCCAACCTAAACTGAAAAATCAATGAACACAAAGAACCTTGCAACCGATTTAAACACTCAGACCAGTAACATCAATTGGATGATTCGTTTCAAGTAACCACCAACAGATCGGAGTTTCTCAGATTCCTCATAATAATTCAAGAGATTTTCGTGCATAATCATAATAATTACAAACAAATTGAAGACAATTGGATCCAAATAATTCACACAAAACGAAAGCACAGACAGAGCAACGTAAAGTCAGTACCTTTGGAGAGTAGAGAGAGAGAGAGAGAGAGAGAGAGAGAGAGAGTTTGAGCCCGTTTGAGAAGTTGAAGTGAAAGATTCAGAAAAAAGCGGGGGCACAGATGCGAGAGATTTTTCGTGTATGTATAAACGGAGATGACCGTACCAGACCAGGCCAAGACTCGGGTCGGTAAACGGTGTCGTTTGGACATACCCTTTACTGTTTTTAGGTCTTTTTATCCCCAATTCCCAATAGAATTGAGCTTCTGAACTTATCCACATTATACACGTGTTCATCATCTAATCTCCATGTCCAAGCTCATGCGAATTAGAAAGTTCAAATTTTTGGTGTCACGCACAAATTTAAATTTTTTTTATCTAAAGAACAGAACCAAACCTACTGTGACTAAAAATTAATTTGTGGTAAGATAGATCTGTTCTTGCTAACAAAAAATTATAAAATTGTTTAATTTGACAGTATTACTCTTAACTTTGACGAAAAAATTATGCACAGTTTGACTTTTGGAATGACATTGATGTGCAGAATAGAAGATGAGAATGATAGTGGTGGAATTTGAAAAATGATAATTGGTATGAAGTGTTTGGAATAATATACGGACTATTCTTAATATTGAAAAAACCTTTGATTTAGATTAAAAATTAAATTATGTAACAATTGATAATAATACATGCAAATACAAGTAGTTGAGGAGGTGTTCAATTACAAAACTTGATGATCAACTATAGACTACATAATTTAAGCCTCTATGGAAGTTGCATGTAGCTAAGTGCATAGGAGACCAAGCTAGCCAGAAGCTCAAGCATCCTCTCCCTTAGTCAATTCATACTCATACTCTGCCTTTGCCTTACTGTACTTCTTATCCTTCTTGTACACAAGACCTGCCAACCCAACCAAGCAAACAGCCCCAAGAACAAAACCCACCATTGTTCCTCTGTTCTTAATCTCATCTGAATCATTAAAATCTTGTGCATCAAACTCACTCTCGTAGTCAGCTTTGTAGTTGAAGGGCAACGCATTAGAGCCCGGCTTTGAAGAGTGTGCAGGTGCTGGAGATTGAACTGGACTGTAAGTCTCATAGTAACCTTCAGGAGCTTCAACTTCAATGTATGTAGGAGGAGGAGGAGAAGGGTAGTCTGTGATTTGATCAGAAGCACCCAAGTCTTCTTGGAGGGAAGGTGCAGGGGAGGGAGAGTAGTCTGGAGGGAGAAGCTGGTCATCTTGAGTTTCAGGGGACAAGGCTTCAATGTAAGGTTCTTGTGGTGGTGGTGGTGGAGGATTGTATGAATCTGGTTCTGGTGAAGAGACCACATAGCCTCCGCTTTTGGGAGCTGGGTTTTCAGGGTAAGGAGATGGAGATGGAGATGAAGCAGCTAGGGAAATTAGCTGCTCATCTGTAGGCATGACGTCGTTTGTGATTGTGGGTGGGGATTGCGTTTGTGAAGACATAGCATGTATTGCCAAAGAGAGGAACGTGACAATGCAGATACATAGCTTGGAGAGCTCAGCTGATGCCATGATTAAGGATTTTTTGTTTTGTAAGATTCAGAATGTGAAATTCTGCTGCTGAGTGGTGTGGATTCTGGAGGAGGGCACTTTGTTTATATATAGAGGTGATCAAAGAAGAGATTCAGGTTGCAATTATGACAAGTTAATTGCATTAATTGTTGGCAAATCATGGGTTCAATTTTCTCTTCAATCTGAATAATTTGAAAGAAAACGAAAAAGAAAATATTCCTTTTCCAGTTTTTAATGCTTAATTTGGATAATTAATGCACTGTGAAGGCTAATTAAGGCATGGCATTAACCATAAGTTATCAGTCATGGCATTAACCCAGTAAGAGAAATTTCCAGGAAAGAGAAGTTGAAATGATGTGTATGAATTGATATGAACCTTTTAATAGTGACAAAAAATGAAAGCAGTACAATACAACACAAGGAAATAGTACAAGAAGCATAAATCCCCCTCATAATTTTTAACCATCTCTTAGAACCTCAACAAACAACTGTTTGCCACATATGTTGATTCAGCTTTCTGTTGCATTACCTCTAATTTTCCATCTGGCAAATCAGATGCAAGGTACTATGAGACCGAAATACGCTTTACGGTTAACAAAAGGTTTATAGTTTAGGGTTTAAGATTTAGCGCTTGAGTGAGGGTTTCATAATTTCGTTTCTTACTTATGGAACAAGTACTAAAGTTTTCCATCACAATTCACAACAAAGTAATTGCTCATAATTAAAACTTCTTGGTGACACAATAACCAAACTGAAATTTTGTAAAAACAGAGCAGAAAGCAACATTGAGGCACATTTAAAATGAGTGCCTTGTACACACAGATTTACAAAATCCAAGCTTCCACTCAGAAAACACAACCAATCCTCTGAGAAATTATATGTTGGAGGAGCTCCTGAAAGAGCCAAGAGCTTTAACAGCTCCTGCTCTCAGTATGTATTGGTGATAGAAGGCAGCAATGGCAGCACCAATGAATGGCCCAACCCAGAAGATCCACTAGATTAAACAAAAAATCACAAAAACAAAAAATTGTAAGTTAGTTTCCTGGTCAAGCAAGTTTCTTTATATGTGAAATTAAAAGGGTAAAAAGGTCACAGGTGCATACTTGGTCATCCCAAGCCTTGTCATTGTCGTAGATCACTGCAGCTCCAAGGCTTCTTGCTGGGTTTATGCCAGTGCCAGTGATTGGGATTGTGGCAAGGTGCACAATAAACACAGCAAACCCAATTGGCAGTGGTGCCAAAACCTTTAATCAACCAAACATAAACAGAGATTAAGAAATTAAAATGCAATTTCCTTCAACTAAAATTGGATTTAGATTTTCTTTAAAGTATTTATCGTACTTACTGGGACATGTGAATCCCTTGCATTTCTCTTCGGATCAGTGGCAGAGAAGACAGTGTAGACAAGAACAAAGGTGCCAATAATCTCAGCAGCCAAACCAGTGCCTTGGCTGTACCCATCAGCAAGCCCATTGGCCCCTCCACCATACTTGGTAAAGTAAGCATTTTGGAAAGCTTTCACAAGCCCAACACCACATATGGCTCCCAAGGACTGAGCCACCATGTACAATATGGCTCTGACCAGTGACACCTTCCTAGCCAAAAACAGCCCAAATGTGACAGCAGGGTTTATGTGCCCTCCTGCATACATAAATGCACACATTAGTAAACCATATGCTAAATGCCAATTTGGAGAAATTTTTGCGTGTGACTGACCCGGTGTTACTAATCTATTCAAATTATAACACATAGTTTATAGTATTAAGAAATATACACGTGTCATAATCTAAGTGAATTGGTAACCTACGTCAATATATGAAAACTCACCAGAGATGCCAGCGGTGCAGTAAACAAGGACAAAGATCATGCCACCAAAGGCCCAAGCAATGCCAAGAATGCCAACACCACCACATTGGTCTCCATCAGATTGGCTCTTGTATCCAATCACTGTGAGCACAGTGATGTACAAGAACAAGAGGGTAGCTATGAACTCAGCTATAATGGCTCTGTAAAAAGACCACTGGCCAAGCTCCTCTGCATCAATCAATGGTGCTGGAGGAGGGTCCTGGTAGTCTTTTCCTGAGAATCTACTATGCCCTCCACCAACTTCAATGTCTTTGGCCATGGCTAATTGGGTAGCTAGCTAGCTCTTAGCTTAGGTAGAGAGAGAGAGAGAGAGAGAGAGAGAGATGAAAATGAAGTGAGTTTGGTGTTTGTGATGGGGAAGAGTGGAGGGGTTTGGGGGTTTATATGGAGAGTTGAATGAGAGTGGAAGTGGTATTATTAAACTTTAGGTTGGCCGTCCAAAGGGCTCACAAGTTTGCTTTTCTCTTCTTTTAGGTGACCCTACATTTTTTTCTGTCTGATTCGAGTTCTCTAAAGACAATTCCAATAAGCTCTATAATGCTCTATTATGATCGATAAACTTCAAGCATAAGCTAAACTACTGTTTAGGAGATTAGAGTCCTAGCAATCACTAGACCAAATTGTTAACAGTATGTTTTATACTCGCGTATTCATGTAAGGTTGTGTAAAACTATGACAAATCGCTCGCTGTCGATGGTATAGAGCGAATATGAGACAATATATATACTCAAACATTCTAAATTTTAACTTTTAACACTAATATGCAAACTATCTTAAGACCTTATACTCGATAAAAGAGTAAGTCTTCTGAAGGTGTATATGTTTGTTAGTAAAAGTCCTAAGTTTAAATTTTTGCAGGTACATAAATACACTCCAAAAAAAAATTCAAATACGTATGAATTACATGTAATTACACATATTCGAGATTTACTATAAACTCGATACTCAAACAAAATTATGGCACCCATATACTGATTATACTAATTAAGCTAGATGATGATGTGGATGATTAGCTGATTAATCAGCAATCGCCTCAGACTTTGAACCGTTGATGGAGCGACACGTGTCCAATGATCTTTGCAGCCGCCGGAATGGAGGAGGATGAGAGGTCAATATCACATGATTATTGTGAGTATGGTGAGAAAATGGACTTAGCGTGACTCGTGAGTGAGCGAACCGACCATTCACCACCGCCCCATTCAAAGTACCCACCTCACCTTTGATACTCTCAACCACTCAAGTTTCGCTGCACCGGCCCATCAGCAGTCATTGTTTCGGATGAACCGGTTTAGTGGAATTTTAATTTTGTTATAATCAACACTATCCCAATACAAACAAATAACTAAAAGACAAATTAGAGATTAAAATGCCTACCCAAAACTATCAGCAAAATTATATGGCTCTCATTAGGCCGCGTGCAACAACAGGAAGGGCATTGTCCAGAACCTTTGTCTTGTTGCTGTGGTGGCGACGTCTGTCCTGTACCTCAGTGCCTGGTGGACGGTAGCAAGAAGCTTCGCGAAGACTAAACAGACGATGGCAGCGATTGGAGAAAGAAGAATGCTTTGGGCCTGAGAAAGACTTTCACTAAGCCTACACACATGGCCTAAATAACTGAAGGAGCAAAACTCTTTGAAACAAAGAGAAAGTTTGCCTCACCGTGAGAGCAAACAAAAAGAAAGAAGCTTGCTTACTTGATGTTTGTGCCTTTACAGAAACAAGCTTGACCAGAAAAAGAAATTGTCTGCTATTTCAAACCGTGGAGTTGTTTGTCTCACTGAGTGAGCAAACATTGAAGCTGAGAACGTTATGGTCATATAGAAGCATAATTGATGAAAGAAAGGTCCGGCACCAATCAAACAAATCAAGCCCAATAGCTACTCAAATGCACCTTTTAACCTTTTATCATGTAGTTCATGGTTTTTAATACTTTTCCGTATAAATTAGTGTAAATATTGTCTACAAAAACTCATTAACCGTTGTGAGTTATTGGGCATTCCCCATTTCAATCATCCATTTTATATATCAACAAGAGTCTCTTTGTTTGCCATTTACAAACTGAATTCTTAAGCACCACCCAACCCATCCAGATTTCTTGAGATACTCATATTTCTTAAGATATATGAACCCAATGAGCTACCGAACCTAGTGCCACCACCAAGCTACCGAGCTCGGTGACACTCTCCATCCATCATCTCATTCTAAAAGCCTTGTGGTCAATGCCTAGAACCTTATGGCCAAGAATCTATTCCTATCTCAGTCACAGTGGCTCGAAAAGAAGTCAAGACCGTAGCACAGAGCAACATTTATGTGCTCATTCATACCCACATCCACTTGCGACTGTGGTATAGCACGCCACAGGACGCACACTAAAGAAGGATGTCTTTGTTACCAAGTGCACTCGGCCCGCTCGATTAATTTATAGGAGATAGATGCAAGAAGTGACGTCATTAAGTATAGGTGTAATATCGATACAAAAAATATGAAGTGGAATTTGTTGAATTGGTTGGGTTTCGATTCAAATCAAGTTTTTTTATTTTTTATTTTGGTTTTCTAGATTGAAAGGTGACAAATGGATTGGAGTATTTTCTATAAATTGTGACTTCAAAAATGATATGCTACTTAGTTATATCTCTAATATTATTCACCAAACTGCAAATGATTTTATGGAGGTTGAGTGCCTTGAAGAATATTGAACTTTTGACGCGTACCTTCTGCCATCTTTTACACGTCTCTTATTTTAGCCGAATTGCAGAAAGAAACATCTTGATATCCTTCCAAAGATGTAGCCATAAAATTGCATCAACAAGAGAAATAAATGATTTAGTTTAACTGCTTCCAAGTTCCAAAGGTAGCAAATAAGATTGAAGTCATTGAACTACAAAATTCTGTTCATTTGTTTCGATACAAATTCACACACAAAAAAACCCAAAAGTAAATAAATAAAACTACATAATCAGCACAGAAGAATTCAGTAAAATTTCAATCTGTTTGGCCTCTTGATCATACTCCTCTAACTCCAGCTCCCACTCTTCAGCTATTGTCTCCAATTCAGGACAAGTTGAAGTCTTGTTGGGAGATATCAGAAGGGCAGGAGCAACCTCAACCCAAGAACCCAACAATCCCATCTCCTTTGCCATTGAAATCAAACAAAACAAAAACCCTTCTTTCTTCTTTCCTGCTCTGATCAGCTGCCTCCAAGCTTGAAGATGAACAAGAAGTGGCTCTCAAAACAAACAAAAAGGGCTTCTGTTGCAGATTCTTGATTTGGGTTTTGTTTCTAGAAGCAGTTTGAGTCTCTGAGAATGATTTGGGTTGAAGAGAAAGTAGAAGTAGGTGGCCTTTTATAGGGAGTTGAAGAATCATATGATATTGGTGAGAAAAATGAGTGAAGGAAACTACACCAGCAGCTGCACCAGAAAGTTACAAGGCATGTGAGGAACATGGAAAATGCCGATAAATAATTGTGACACGTTTGATAGCTATGATGGCAAATTTTTCCAGCAACGCCAAGTGTTCGATCTACGTTGAATCTTATTAATGTCCAAGGCTCCCATCCAATCTATGGTGACTGCCCACCATGCCCACCAAATTGCTTAAATTCTGCCATACACTACAAGAAAGTACCTAAAATCCCATCATTTTTGGCTTCTTCTAGTTTTCACAAAAACGCAAGTTCTCAGCATCCTCCTCACCGACACCTTTAAAGCCAATTAATCCACACCTACCCTTCTAAAAAAGAGTCCAAAACCATTTCTAGGTTACAGTAATTCGTGTATTATTCACGTACATATACATATATATACATATATAAATACTAACATTTTACATGTACTTTTTAATTATATATAAAAATAAATTTTTTTAACGCAAAAGTATTATTCACGCACATATGTATTATTTACTGATATTCTTCAATAATACACATATTTTATCTGTATTTTTCATACATTGTTGAAAAAGAAAACTATTTGAATAAATAAGTTTAAATTTTATATAATGATTGAACTTTTCACCGTATGTTCTTAAGAATTGTCGAATATATACATATGTATTATACTCGTCTCGTATTTTACTACCTATACTACGGAGATATTGCTCTTGGAAAAAATTCAGTTAAATCAAAAGTTATTTAATTATATAATTTTGATGAAATAAATAGATTAGCACAATATTTCTGATATTTCTGATATTTACCTAATCTAATTTAATTAGCACTCAATTGTCTTGTTGCTAGCTTGCAAATCATCACTATCCTCCTAAGAGCTGCAACTGCGAGCTACAGTTTAGTAAAGCAATACACATACTTCCCAATAGTCTGACACGCATAATTATTTTGGTACTTTTTATTAGGAAACTATATTTACATACAACAAGATGGAAACTAAATGTATATTTACAATACAGGGTTCATTAGACAATGTTCAGAGAGGAAGAACTCCCACTGCATTGGTCAGAAGGACAGAATTGAAGGCATTCATTATCTAAACCATTGCAGTTGCTTCCCTGATCCATTTCTGATCTTTCAGATGGCTAGATCGTAGCTCTGATCAAAGCATTCCATCAAACCAATGCCGAGGCGTAGCGAGACACATCCAAAGCAAAGCATTTTCAAATATGCGATCATAGGTCTGCATCAAGGATCCATAACCAAATAATCAAGATGAGCTTAAAAAGTTATGAATCGTCGTCGGATTCTTCGATGCTCTCTTCGAAAATTGTCTCCAAACCAGGTGAATTCGAAGGCTTTTGTGGGCAAATGATGGGGGCTGGAAGAACCTCCATCCATCCACTCAAATTCTTCATCTCCTTAGCCATTTATGCTTGTACTTGGAGAAGAAAAGGGGGCTTCTGTTCAATGGATTCTAATTACAAATGACTAGCAAAAAGATGACCTCTCTTCCCCCTTATGTCAAGAAAGAAGAGAGAACTAATTTCCCTGAGATCTATCAAAGAAGGGATTTGTCTATACAAGAAGAGCAAAACAACTTGGGAAGGGTATGAACGAGCAGGCCCTTATATAGCAGGAAATCTGCCGTGATTATCAGTGAAGGGTCCCATTTTGATTGATGGTAATCCGCATTCGTAGCGAGAACCTAAAAAACATGAGGTTAAGCCTACTTATGGCATTGACCAAACCCAACATTTACCGAGTTTCTTGGCAAACGATTTAAACCAAAGAACTAAAGAAACGTGCAAGTAATGTAATGAGAAGGAGAACCTAGCAAAACACCCTCCATCATAATTGTATAATTGAATTCACCGCATTTTCTATCCCTTCCCATTTCTGTGCCAACAAACCATGATCTCCATGCGTTACACAGGAAACTTCTCATTAACGTAACTTACATCTGCCTTTTCCTTGAAAACTAAAACTACCGCCAAAGATACTTATAACTCAAGTGGTTATTCAGTCCCAAAAACTACTCATCTAAGCGGAAGAACAAGGAGCCCGCTGGATATCTGGCCCTATGGCGGTTAACATTTTCTTCGAACCAAATTATCAAATGGGTGGCTGATATAAACATCTCAATTATTTGGTGTAGAATCAAACAGTATTTTCATGAAGCATGTTACCGAGTTACAATTTCCTTAATATCCCTGTGGATATAGACTTAAACAATAGGGCTAATGCAAATCAGCAAACGGAAGCGCTATCCTTCCAGAAACGTTTGAAAGGTTAATTCAACAATCATAGGATTCATTTCACAAACTGTACTAGGACTGACACTAGATAAATTCGGAGCTTCAAGCACCGATTCGAAGACATGATCTAAAAATTAAAATCTGTGAGACTTAAAATAGTATTAGCATAGAAATGCCAATTTCAAATCATGCTACGATAACAGAAACTACCTAGTGTATCCTGCTTTATAGGCTCCCCCTTATTACCTCACATCTCAGCTTCATAAGCCCTTCAGCCCTCGCCTCACCATGAAACTAAAACACGTTTGCTCACAATGGTGTTTAGGTCTTTCAAGTTTCAACCTAAAAGCTCCAAACCTAAACGGTACTATTGATTTGTGGAACCACTAATCTAAACAATTGTTCCACAAACCGGACCCGGATTTGATCATAATTCAAACCTCAAGTATGTTTTCACAAATGGCTTACATTGAAAACATAGAGTTCCTTAATCTACTGAAGAGGCACAGATAGAACAACTTTCAACCAGTGAGTGATGCTTTATAGTCATACAAAACTTAAAACCTGCACAATTCATCCAATTTTCACTTCAAAGCATCATTTCTAAGCACAATTATACCACATTTCCAAATCAGAAACCCACAACATACCAATGAACATCAACCACCTCTATTGCATAAAAAGCAATGCATTTCAACATTAAAGCACTAAACTTTTTACGTCCAGAAATTATCAGAGGAAAAAAAGACATTTAACACTAAAAGCATTACATCTCCGCATTTTGATCAAAACCATTCGCTGCATTATCAATCCATAACTGGGAGAAATTATAAAACAAAACCCAAAAATATGAAAATCATTCTATTTGAAAAAAACTGACTAAATATGTGAAGAAACCCAAAACAGAGAGGGCTCAGTCCAAGGGAATCTCAACATCTCCATCAGCAATCTCCTGCTGCAGATCCTTGGGGTCTTTACCATCCACAGTACACCCAACAGAAACGCAAGTGCCCAAAATCTCCTTCACCGTCCCAGCCAACTCCTTGGCCATGGACCTGTGCTTCATGATCTTAGCAATCTCAATCACATCATCCAATGAAATGTTACCGCTGTGCTTGATGTTCTTCGTCTTCTTGCGATCTCTCTCTGGCTCCTTCAGGGCCTTGATGACCAGAGCCGCTGCTGAAGGCACCACAGAGACCTTCGCCTGACGATTCTGAACGGTGAGCTTGACGGTGACTCTCAGACCCTTCCAGTCCTTGGCTGTCTCTTTAGCAATGTCTTCTCCGATCTTCTTTGGGGAGAGACCCAGAGGACCGATCTTGGGAGCGAGGGAACTGGCGGCGCCGACCTCGCCTCCGGTGACGCGTACGTAGACATCGACCACTTGAGATGGGTCGAACTTTGGAGGCATGGCTTCTTCGGCGGCGCTCTGGGTTTGGAGGGGTTAGGGTTTTGGATAGAGGAGGCAGCTTGCGAGTGAATGTGTGGTTTTTGTAGGGGTAGCTTCATATAACGCTAGGGTTTTGTGGATTGAGAGATTGCCAAACGGAAATGACAATGATCTCCTCAGCTTTTGTTGGGCTTTCGCAAAATTTTCCTCCTAGTAATCGCATTGGAACCCAAAAATATTTTGCCTCTCCACACCCAAAATTTAGTCGCCACACTTTTAGCCCAAGTTGACCCGTATCTTTTGAGTCATTGACGGCCATTGATCCACGGACCACCGATCTATTGGACTTTAGCCCCATTCAGTCCAAACTTGCTAGTGGGTGGGTCCATTCGACTATCCTAATATGGTGATTGTGTTCAAGCCTAATTCCTCTTCGTCCAAGGCTCCATACATTTGATGAGTCATCTATAGTGACGGGTTATAATGAGACGGTTGTTAATAGTCATCCGATGTGCAGTATTATTAATAGTTATCTGGTCAAGTGCTGAGTTATTGAATCCCTCAATGTAGCCTCTCATTAAAGAATCTCGCGTCACTAATGATTCTTGGGCTTAACCAGCGACCCACAACTTCTCAATTTTCTACACTCTCTCTTATATTATATTGCTAGAAGTATATAATAACAGTATCAAGTAACTTTTGGTTTAGTGGTACCAGGCCTAGCCTATCGCCTGTGTAGATTAGGCGATGGCACAGTGGCCCCAAATATTTGGGGCCTCCAATGTTTTTTTCCAACCCCTTCTAAAAGAAACCCAAAAAGCCCTTTATTTATCTAGACTTCAATTTTTTAAGGGTACTGATTTTCCCACTCTCTTTTTATTCACTTAAAGCATCTCCAGTGAGGGGTTATATAATGAGGTGTGTGTTAAATATACACTATTTGTGATCGGAATCACATGCAATAGGGAGGAGTAAACGATTGTAAATTTGCATCACAACATGTGCATCCTTTTTTAAATCCCTTGTAAGTAGGGCCTACATCAGAAAATGTGAACAAAAATGAGGAAAATCAATTATACATTTTTAGATTTACATCTTTCCCATTTGAGCAAAAACCACATTTACAATCCCATATTTACAATCTCATAAGGTGTAAAGGGAATGTAAAAATGACTTTTTTTTAATAGTATGTTCTCACTCCTTTTTTGTTCACCACCTTTTTTTAAAATAAACCCTTTATGCCTTTTGACAATCATACCAAAGAAAGGATATATAAAAAAAAGGAGCCTTTTGACTAAAGAAAACGGTCCCCTGTTTTCAATTTCCTAACCCAACAATTTTTTTACCTATTCGTTTTTAACGTTTTTCAGATTTGTTTTCTCTGGGTTTGTTCTTCCTTTTTCTGGTTCTCTCTCTGTGTTTTTAACGTGTTTCAGAATTTTTTATTTTTTTTCTGGTTTGTTCTTCTTTCTTCTAGTTTTTTTTTATTCTCTCTCTCTCTCTCCAGAATCTGTCTTTTGAACTTTTATTCTTCAAATCAACCAAAACGTCTTTTGAACCTTTAATATTCAAATGAGCCAAAACTTTGTGATTCAATTCGACCCTAGCTCTCTAAGTTGGATGTTTTATGCAAACTTTGAAATTTGAAGGCATGATTATAAGAAACTTATAAAATCAGGTGAATCCCTAATTTTTTAACTTTTTATCTAATGCCAATGAATTTTGGACTTTAGATCATGATTTTTAGTTTTAACCCTTAAGCTTTTTCCTTAAAAATTCACCATGAATGAGAAAATAATGTTATTTTGTTCATAACTTTGTCATTAACGTTTTTTTCTTCTCTGAGAATATCATAACTTTATATATATATATATATATATATATCATAATATCTTTTTCACTTGTATATATAGAGCCTCAATGTCACTCTTTATACAAGGCTTTCAAAATCAATGGATGGCCCTATGTGGTACTTTTCAATTCAAATATCAAGCTCTTAAATTGGCAATTCACAACCGGGAGAGACTACAATGAGGAGTTTAAAGTGAGGAGGCCAATCCCACCATCAAAACATTTAAAATGTTTAAGTTCCATGATTTCTTTACATTTATCGATGGTGAGATTGATCTCTTCAAATATCCTCCTCACTTTTAACTCCTAATTATAGCCTCCCAGTCCCAACCTAGTTGATAAAAGTGTGTTATCTCAGGTAGAGAATTATTGTACATGCAATGGATTTGGTCTAGCCCACAATCGTTTGTGGCTAGGACTGGATATTTAGAATTGCGTCCAATCTTGGATAAGAAACTTTGTTGTTCCAAATATGTTAAAATGTTATCCAATTTTATTATTATTGAGGCACGTTTGGTAAGCCGGCTTGGACATCACATATAAATTTTGAGTCCTGTCCGTGGAGTCTCGAGGCACTAGAATGATCTGAATCTCAAAAGAACTCAATATATAAGTTAACGATGATGCAATTAAAAAATTAATCAAGGATAAAGTTGTTTTGGGTAAAGTAAAGAGTTGGTGAACCCTTCTTTACATGCTAGATGCTACACTTCACCAACAACGACAGTCAGTTACACAAGTCGTGATTCACGACAGATAGACTTCACGCATGCAATGTGCGTTTTCCACCGCACATTTACAACCCTACATGCAATGACGTAAACTAGTGTGATTTGTTTTTTTACAACTTACTTTTCATTAAAATAAATTGACAAAATAAATGGCTCGTTATTATAAAAACAAATTATAATATTTTATTATTGTTGTTAGCTTCATTATTTGGCCAAAGCAAACATATTCAAAACAAAGAAAACTTTTGCTCGTGCCACAGTGTATTTATATTATTGATCACAACAATCAGTCTGCTAATAATCCAGAGTCCATAGACCAAATCTCTTCTCAAAAGATATGGTAATTTAAAAAGCTCTCACACACTACGATTATTGGACTTAATCCATTATTTCTATCACCATATTCCTTGGGATCCCAACATGATTTCCCTAAACAAACTAAATTAATGAACAGTTATCCCTAATTTACCTTACGACCTTATCCTCATAACGATTGTTAAAAAATTTTATCGTCATGTAAGAAAATAATATGTCGCGTCCTATGTAGCACAGACATTCCATTAGGCCGAAGTGTTAGACATGCTTTGGACACGGGTCAGCGGTCAAGACACGTTTTGGATACGATCAATACATTTTGGACACGGTTAGCAAAAGTCAAGATACGACAAGGACCATTTTGAAAATTATAAAACAAAAACTGGGGTCAAAACATAATTATTGAAAACTATTAAAAGTGGGCAAAACATGTAAACTATATTTTTTTTTTAAATATGTTTTTTTCTTTGTTCCTTCATATTAATTTGTGTCGTTAAAATTAAAAGGGAAAACATAGAATTAAAATTTATTAAGTACAGACTTTCAAAAGGGAGACATTTTCTCTTCATCTCAGATCCTTATTTGTTTCTTCTTGATACTCGTGTCTGTAAAACTTCCACCAGTTCAGCAAAGTCTCTATTTTTCTCCTTTAGTACATCTATATGTAGGTTTGATTGTTTGAGGAGCCTATGCAATTCATCAACTTCAACCTTCAAGGATGCAATTTAAGCAGTCAATGAAGCACACTCTTGGTTCCTTGCTAGTAGACGCAATCCTAAATTTTCTACCGAAGCAGCATAATGAGCATTGAAAAAATTGGTCTCTTCCACTGCAATCTTGTCAAACCTCCTTGCCATTACCATAGTTGTTGAGATTTCATTGTGCATATTTGCTGCTTGCACAGAGGTAGAACCTATATGGAAATTGGAGTGTGGAAACATAACATTTTCATTTGTTGTTTATTGGGTTGAATGAGGAGCAATAGATAAATTCAAATCGGTGGAGCCTTGAGGTGGAGTGTGGGAACACAACATTTTCATGTGTTGTTTCTTGGGTTGAAGGAGGAGCAATAGATAAATTCAAATCGGTGGAGCCTTGAGGAATCGAAGGGAATTCCATATTTTAAGTTTGGTAATGTTTGTTTCAGATTAAAGGGCGTCCTCGTTTAAATGGTAATGAAAGGGGTGTTGAGCCGACAATTTCACGGATTTTGCGGTAGTCACTTGGGGTTTGTGAGAGACACATCTACGGGTTTTGCGAGGGCCACTTAGGGTTAATAATCATAATTTTTAATTTAATTAGAAAAAAAGACTATTTTATTTTTCATTTTTACTAGGATAGTTTTTTCAAATGATGTAGAAACATTATAAATATCAAATGATGTAGCATATAATCACAAAGTTGTGTGTAGTATGGTGGATAAGATGTTGGAGATGAATGAAAGTGGTAAGGATTCTAAACCCCTTGTTATTATTTTAATAGCTTATTATCACAAAACGTCCCTAAGGTTTACGAAACTATCAGATACATATATATCACAAAACATCTCTGAGGTTCACACACCTATCACAAATAGTCCATACAAATTTTTTTTATGTTTTAATTTAAAATTCATAAAATTTTGGTTTTCTTTTTAAAATTATTTATAAAGAAAAAACCATAGAAGGATTTTAATCTTGAGGACCATTTATGAACCCTAAACCTTTAGTTTTTTCATTTTTAAATTTTTTAATTTTTAAATTATTTTTTAAAAACTCCATTAGTTTGTTGATGTGGCATATATATGAAGCCCACATCTACAATAATATAGTGTCACATGTATTTAAAATATAATATATATTTTAAAATAATGTAAATTCATAAAATTTTAAAAAGAAAACAAAAATTTTATGAATTTTAAATTTAAAAAATTAAAAAATTTTGTAAGGACCATTTGTGATAGGTGCAGGAACCTCAGGGATGTTTTATGATATATATATATATGCCACATCAACAAACTAACGGAGTTTTTGACGGAACCTAACAGCATGGACCATTTATGATCATGCATACTAATCTTGAGGACTACGAATGACAAAAAAAAATTTAAGGATGCAATCTGATAGTTTCGTAAAACTTAGGGACGTTTTGTGATAATAATCCAATTTTAATTGTCGTGTCCTAACCGTGTTCGTGTCCTAATTTTTAAAAAAATTTCAAGTCGTTGTGTTGCTGTGTCGCCATGTCGCGTTTCCGTTTCCGTGCAACATAGGCCGCATCTTTGAAAAAGAAAATCAAATTAATTAGTATTTGACGATAAGACGTTTACTAGAAGATGGTGACTTAACTATATATTGCATTAAACGGGGGGTGAAGTTGTTGGGAAGAGACCAATGCTTTCTCATTTTCATATATACAAAACATCATCCATGTCATGATCGATCAATTTTCTTGAGAGGAATCAGTTTCCAACAAGTTTCAAACTCATGGCCAAAGGCACTTGTGTCTTATCTTACTCCCCATCATCACATTGTGGAAAAATGCTCATGCTTCCAATTTTCGTGTTTTTATCTGAAGTGGTTTATACGCTCTCTACTGCTATATGACAATTAGAAAGATTATCAATCTATGTTAGTTATTGTAAAGATATCCAACTCAATTTTTTCTACACTGACTATTAAATCTGTGTGTGTAAGAAATATAAACAAACACGCCAAAACTAACCAACTGCGGAGAATGATGGCAATTCATTGATGTTGTCACCAAGTAACACTAAAGATTAAGAAAAAACTGTCAGAAATGTTGATTTTCTTGCATCATCCTAATTTGCACAAATCAATGATTGATTGATCTGACTTAAAAAAAATGCTTAATCAACGAAAAATCACAAAACAATTATCACCATAAGATTTGAACTCATGACATCCGCTAAATAACACATCACTTAAATTTTCTCTATCACTACAAACTTCTTGTTTCAAATTTAATTTAATAATTAAAAAATGTTTATGGTACATAATAAATTACCCCCAAAAAAAAGTTCTTATCCAAATATAACATGCATCCCAAAAATCTCAACAGCTCTCATAGCTGTCAATCACGGAAATGCCAGGCTGATCATTTTGATTACAGAGCTCACAGTCACAGCAGATTGGCCCTCTCCTTCTACAGGCGGTAGCTTCCTGCGTCGCGACAAAAGCCCTAATTTTTTTACCCCAAAAATGAAAGAAATTGCGTAAGTGACGTGGCACGATTTGGACATTCCAATCCTTTTATGGACGTCGAATGGGCTGCGGGGCCCGCGCCCTTGACCTACAGCGTGGTTAAAGACTATACGGAAACCCGAGCGTGTCATGGGCTCACTGGTTCAATCATAAGTCCCAATGAATTTCGAGTCGTTCAAAACGAAACGCTGGTTGGTCCACGTGTCGTTTACTTGCGCATGGATAAATTCGTCCATATCTCATCTTGCTCAATCGATTTTCTTTTTTGTTTTGGAAATTATGTACGGATAATTAATCGATAATTGTCTAGAATGACGTGTCACTTTGTTGCCTGCCTAATCTGTAATTAACTTATAATTAAGTTGACACGTATTGTCCTACGTGTCATTCGGCTGTAATTGAGGAATTTTTTAACAAGTGGAAAACATCATAATACTAGTAGAAGGTGTTGTTTGGCATTTTGTTCGACAAATAACCAAACAAGTTCTAAACTGTTAAAAAAAGTATGGCTCTATGTAGATAAGAACATAATAAATATATTATTAAAACGAAAACTAAAAAATGGTTGAGTAGTCCAACTAAATTGAGCTCTTAAATTGTGGATAGGGTCCTATATTATGGATAAAACCCTAAAATTTGGATACCAATTATTGTTACATTGTTTTATTTGGTTATTGTTAGTTTCACAACTAAGATTTTGTCGTATCATTTACTACATCGATCGGAATTGGATTTGAGAAAATATATGATACATACAAATATTCATACTTTGAGTTACATCGTTTTAAAATATTATTGTCTTGTACGTCGACACATTAAGAATTACTAATCACTCACACGAACATAAGTAACTTGTGTACCATGAGGGTCTTTTTATTTTATTTTAATCACTTGCTTACGTATGACTTAATCGTTATCATATATTTTGATGTGCATCACTAGTCATCTTCTGGCATAAAAAAGGTAGAGAAAGAAAGTAAGAAGCAATTAGGGCAGGAACATGATGTAGCATCTCGTCTCCATACCAAACATATGAGGAGGCCCACATTCTAGCATTTACCACTTTTGTCGTTTAGCATGACAAATGTAACTTTGTACGAAGAGCGAAATGGGGAGCTTATCCATTACACTCGCCATTATAAAACGAAGAGCAATCAACGTTTTTGGTCATAAAATTTTCTTACCAAAAAATAAGCAAAGAAAAATAGTCCAAACTGAGAACAGAGCAGAGCCAAGGCTTCAAAACTCGGTTCTTCATTCATCAATGGCGTCGAGGAAGACCATCTTCCCCACCTCGTCGATCGGCGACAACCCAATTGGCTCAGACGGGCTCTTCGAGTTCGACGAGGCCGATATATGGAGCTCGTCAAACCCGGTTGCAGAACAGAAGAAGAGCGCCATACCCAGTTACAGAGAGCTGAAGAAAATGGGGAGGAAGACGACGATGCTGATGAGCATGGCTGATCAGAAAAATAGTGCCAAGGTGACGTCAGCGTCGTTGCCGGTGAACATTCCGGACTGGTCCAATATTCTGAAAGAGGCGTACAAAGACCAGAGGCAGAGGGACAGCGATGAAGACCGCAGAGAAGAAGATTTTGACGGTGGCGATGATGATGACGATGGCGGAGATGGGAGGGTCCCGCCTCACGAGTACTTGGCGAGGACGAGAGGGGCTTCGTTTTCTGTTCATGAAGGGATTGGGAGGACCTTGAAAGGCAGAGACTTGAGGCGAGTGAGAAATGCGATTTGGAAAAAAGTTGGGTTCGAAGATTGATCGGTAGCAAATTTTAGAACTAAAGGCCAAGAAAAAAAAACAGAGACTTACTGGAAATTTTGGTAGGGCAAGGCAACCAAAGAAAAATTTGAAGTCAACGATGACTGGTTTCTAATTTAATTTATATCTACGATCTCCGTTAAAACTGGTTTGATATTTTTTTTTGTTTGGGTTTGTTTTGCTTTGGGTGCCTGAGTTTTATGAGGAGGACCTGAGTTTTGCAGAGCCCAAAGTCTCTTAATGATATTTTGGTTTTGAGATCAGATGATGATGGCATTTTCTGGTTCTTCTTCTTCTTCTCCAGGTTGTCATATTGATGATGACAATGAATGGAAATATTAATGATAATTTTTATTTATTTATAAATAATTTTGTAATTTATTATTTGGTGTTACTGTTATTAGGGGGTTAATGGATTGAAACAGAGTAATTGCAGAGGAAATTAGAAAAATTGAAGGTTCGGTTGGTAAGGGTGGTAGGTATAAAAGATACAGAGCAGCTAGAAGAAGCCTTGAAGTGAAATTTATGCTCCCTTGGGATGACAAATGACCCATAGCTACTTTGGCATTCATTTTCCGTATAAAAAAGAAAAATAAAAGAAAGACGAAGAAGAAGAAGAAGAAGAAGAAACATTGGTTTTCATAGTCGGTCGTTGTTTGTACTTGGTATTTGCATGCTTAAAACAGTCGTAAAAAGTGTCTATCAACTTTTGCTAGGCAGATGGACTATTGGGAGTTGATGTCAACATGTATATCCAAATGGCCCAATAAAAAAAAAGAAAAAAGAAAAAAAAAACTTATTAAGTTAGAAGAGAAGTGTGTTATAAAGTTAACTTATGATGACATAGATTTACTATTCATTGGGGCTTGGACGAGGTTGGAAAACTAGATTCAAGACGTTTTGAGGTTGATTTGCACCGATTTTGGATTTTAACGATGACTTTATAAATTCAAATTCCCATTCAAAACCAATTTCGGGTTTACGGTTTAAGATTCATATATGGTGTTCTTTGAATTTGGATGGATATGTGTTGATATGGTTTTTCTTTGACAAATCTATTGTCTTTGCATTGAATATGAGCTGGTTTTGAATGTGCCTCATATTGTGGGGCTACTCTTTGAGGTGTTGACACTTGATTATGATAGATATATTGTTGATTGGCACGTTGGGGTCATGGAGTGATTAGTTGACGCTCTCCATGTCATGTTCTCGAGGAAGATTAGTGATATTTGTTATTCCTTTTTGTTAGCATTGTTTTAGATTTGTAGTCTTGGTTTTTTTGGTCCATAAACTTAATTGAGTTTGTTGAGTGTTTTAGTCTCTTTAGGAGATTCATGTCGGTTAGTGGCCAGTTTTGTCCTTGATGTCATTAGACTAGATTTGTGGAAAATTATGATAGTAGAAATGAGTCATAGAAAAATTGTTTTTGAGAGTGATTCTCTCTATAAGATCATTTCAGTTTTACTGTTCGCTCAGGTCACTGAGGAAGTTTTTATCCATGTCTACTATATTGCCATTGGGATGACTCCCTTTACAATATGCATCTTTTTTCCTATTGATCTAATAAGATTCTATCGCCTTTTTTATAAAATAAAAACAATGACTTTATATTGGTTGAAAGAAGTTAACCATAAAATCAATAAAATGTATTATAGAGAGTTGGATTTAATTTTATCATGACTTAAAAAGACTAAGTTCAATGAATCAATTGGAATCATTATATTCCCTTCACATTATTCTCCCTCACACAACTTTATACATATTTTTATATATTTATCAAAGGACTGGAAGGGAGATTTGAATTCGGAAAAGTATTCGTTATTAAGAACCTTAACATGAACTAAAATGCAATTGAAATCCCACAATCCAAAATGGAGCCATTTATGTTATGTGCAATGAAAATTTTAAATTTTCCTTTAACCTATTCATTTCCATGAATCACCAAAAGCCAAAACCCTCAGCAGTCAGCAACAGCAGTAAGTTTACTATTATGTGAACCTCTCTAGAAGTCCCTATAAACAATATGCTAATTATAGCCACAGTTAATAACTGAAAATATAAATTGAAAAACGACAAGCAGCAGCATGTCAAAGTTAATCCTTGACCAGCTGGGCATCTCCACACCAGGAGACGAAAAGAAAACTAAAAAAAACAGAGCATCTCTCTCTCTTGAGCCCAAAATAAAATGTTATTAAACTTTGACATCATCAAATGGTTATATCCAATCCAATCCAATCCAACGAACTGCAATTAATAAATAGTGGTGTACTACATATAGGTTCAGTAATAAATCAACGAAACCAGGGGCGCTGCTTGATTTGTTTTCACACCCTCTGTTTCCAATTTCCATTTGTTTCTTCCCCACCGATCGTTTTGGTTGAGTGAAAAGGATATAGACAACAATAACAAGCAAAATGCGTCACGTTTATTTTAGCTTTCACTTTTCATGATGGGTTATTGGAACTGCCAAAACCATTTGGGGTGAGTGAACAATTAAAGCAGCTTTTGGGTTGGGTAGATTGGAAGAACTTTTGAGCTTAGTAAATGATTGTAAGTCGTTGATACGTTACGAGACATGCGTGTATTAACAGTTTATAGTTACTCGTGAAGGTGAATGTAGATGAATGTAAGTTATACATGCATTGTAAGACTTGTGTGTATCAACGGCTCACTATCACCGTGTGTGTCGACAGCTGATGATAAGAAACCTCCAAAATAAACCTCCAAAATTTATGTATCTTTAAACTTGAAAGATGCGACAAGCAATAGATGAAAGGAATCTGTGGGATGTGGTGGGATGATGAGATTTGACACAAAACTCAGTGATGTGCTGGTATTTTTACAGATATGTGGGCCTGTGTATATTGGTTGTTTCTGTGAGCTTAGTAGATGATTGTAAGCCGTTGATACATTACGAGACATGTATGTATTAACGGTTTATAATTACTCATGAACATGAGCGTAGATGAACGTAAGTTATATATGCATTGTAAGACTTGTGTGTATCAACGGCTCACTATCACGGTGTGCGTGGGCAACTGATGATAAGAAACCTCAATAATTTATGTATCTTTACTTGAAAGATGCGATAAGCAATAGATGAAGATGAAAGGAAATTGTGGGATGCAGGATGATGAGATTTGACACAAAACTCAGTGATGTGCTGGTATTTTCTCGGATATGTGGGCCTGAGTGTAATGGGTTTTCAAATTATTGGGCCCCCAGAATAATGCTTAAAAAATGGAATTAGATGCTTTAAGTTGCTACATGTACAACAGTGGGGTTGTTATTCCCCTTATCCCAAATTTGTCCCGACCATAAGGGTCTAAAACTTAATATTTGCACATGCAAATCCTAAACGATTTCTTTTTCTATTTATTTATTTTTTATTTTTTATAACTTAGCGTAGCTATCCACTTAGATAGAACAAGTTTTGGAAACAAAGCGGCTTCTAAAAAATGGTGTTTACGATTAGAGTTTGAGGCTTGCGAATGGTTTTGGAACAAGTTCAGATGAGTTTGAAGATTATGATTTTTTGGTTCGGGACTTGGATTTAGGGTTTGAAAGCTAAAATCAATTTTTAGAATACTAAAATAATTTTCTAGGAATTTTTTTAAAATTAAACTATTTTTTTTAAAAAATTTAAATTCCACAAAATTATTTAATATAATTAAATACTATTTATGAAGTAATTTATGAAATCAATTAAAATATTAATTCTTCACTAAATAAATAATAATTAAAACGCAATATATTTCAAGAGTATAGCCGCGCGGCTATACATTTTAAATATTCCAATATATTTAAGGAGTATGGCCGAGCGGCTATATTCGAATATATTAAAGAGTATAGCCGCGCGGATATACTCTTTATATACTTTTAAATACTAATTATTCACTAAGTAAATACAAACAAAAACATAATTACCTATTAAAGTAATTAAATAAGAAAATATATTACTATAATTACAAATATTAAACTAATTTTCTAATTTTATATTTAAATACAAGTGATTCTTTGGGTTTAGCGATAACGGTGCCCAGAGGAGGATTTGAAGGTTCTTGGTTCGTTTGTATGAAAGGGTGCATCAAGGATGGTGATGCGGATGGACTGGTTACCCGTGTTCGTTTTCTTCACCTTGATTATGGAGTGGAGGAGACTGAGTATCGGTATGGTTATAAAATTCCAACTCATTATTGTTTTCCTAGATAATCAGCCTGGGCGGGTCGAAAATAAATACCTCTTGATAGAAATGATGTCTTTTGATCTCTGAAGATTTTCAATTCCCATGGCAGTTTTCACCTTACCTTTATTTGTGTTAAGGGGTTTGCTGGGTATTTTATTTTTCCACGCTAGTTAGTAATGAATCATTGCCCTCACATGCAAAAGGCAAAAACATTGACTCAGTGCTTTTCCTGCACATGTGGTATGCTCTAGATTCAGCTCTTCTTGCGGTTGGAGTGACGGAAAGGATTATGACTGTGAAAGAGAAACTCTTCTTCAAGTTGCATTTGACCATTGTAAAGATCTACAGAACCATTTGGTTTGCATTTGACCATTGTCGATGACAGAAAGTCTTCATCAAGTTGCATTTTCTCATGTTTATGCTTGATAAGTTAAACTTGAAATTACACGAGGAAAATGTTTCCTCGGGCAAATCTGTTGCATGTTGTCTTTGAAAGTTTGTGTGTGTGTGTGTGTGTAAAATATAATAACTGAAAAATGCATGGAAAACAGATTATTTATCATTCATGTGTCTGATGCTAGAGAATTATTTATCACATTACACGTGCTTTAGAGCCAACTGATCTAACACGCGAAGAGGGAAACAATTAGTTGTATCTTTCACGGGGGAAACTACTTGATATATTACATCACTGTCTTTCTTTCCTTCAACTATAACTGAACTAGATCATGATCTAAGTGAAGAGTGGGAATGGCGGTTGTCAATTTTGCAGCGTCTTCTTCCGTTATCTGAACTCCAGTGGCGGTGGAAGGAGGCATTAACTGTATAGATCACAGATCTGCAAAGATGTCCCAGCAGCTTTTGGATCAGGCAATGCTCAAATAAACTTGCGGATGAAGATACTTACATCTTATCTTCATATAAACTTGTCTTAGATTAATTTCATTTGGAATTTTCTAATTTCCAGAAGATAAGTGGTGTTAAGAAAACCAATTGGGATTGAAACCTAAGTCTTAAAGCCCTAGGTCGAGTTACTTGATTATCCAAGCCTAATCAAGTCCGAAGTACCCTACGATGGGTTTACGGTTATGGTTCGAGGCTTGCGAACGGTTTTGGAACAAGTTCGGATAAGTTCGAAAGCTAAGCTTTTTGGTTAGAGACTTGGATTTATGGTTTGGAGGCTAAACTCTATTTTTAGAATACTAAAAATAATTTTCTAGGATTTTAAACTAATTTTAAATTCCACAAAATTATTTAAGATGATTAAATATAATTAATTACTATTATTAAGTAATTTATGAAATTAATTAAAGTATTTAAATACTAATTCTTCAATAAATAAATAATAATCACAACATTATATATTTAAAGGGTATAGCCGTCCGGCTATACTTCTAAATATTTTAATATATTCAAGACGCCTAGCCGCACGGCTATACCATTTATATTTAAATCATATAGCCGTTCGGCTATACTGTTTAATATTTTAATATATTTATGGACTAGCCGTCCGGCTATACTGTTAATATTTTAATTCATTTAAGGGGTATAGCAGGCCGGCTATATGTTTTAATGTATATACTGATAGAGTATCGCTGCCCGGCTATACTGTTTAATATTTTAATACATTAAGGAGTATCGCCGGTCAACTATACGATTTAAATTCGCCTATATTTAACTAGTATAGCCGGTCGGCTATACTGTTAAATATTTTAATATATTTAAAGAGTATTACTGAGCGGCTATACTATTTAATATTTTAATACATGTGAAGAGTATAGCCGCGCGGCTAGACTATTTAAATGTGAATATATTTAACGACTATAACCTCGCGGCTGTACGTTTTAATTTTTTAATAAATTGAAATAGTATAGCCGTACGGCGATACTGTTTAATATTTTAATATATTAAAGTATAGCCGATCGGCTATACGGTTTAATGTTTGTATAGCCGTGCGGCTATATGATTTAATATTTTAATATATTAAAAAGGTATAGCCGCTCGGCTGTACGCCTTAAATTCGAATATATTTAAAGTTATAGCCGCCCGGCGATATTGTCTAATATTTTAATATATTTAAAAGGTATAGCCGCCCGGCTATACGGGCTATACTCTTTATATACTTATTTAATCAAACGCTAGTAATTAATATGGAGAATGAAGGGAATCATTTGCCAGAAACTGAAGAATGAAGGGAATGTAAGCGTTTATCAAGAACTGAACTTCCCTGAAAAGCAAGAATATGAATGATAAATCATCATTCACCCAGTCAGCTTTATAATACAAGCTAAATCAAGACCTTAAAAGAATTTGATTCACAAAAATACATCCATACAATGATCTGCGATCACCAAATTCCAAGTAAACCTACAGACAGGAGGTCAAATTGAAAGCTCAACGAAAAACTGATAAGAAATCTGTGCAAAGGGTATGATCACAGGTAAGAGGCTCATTTCCACACAAATTGTGTAATCATATAAAAACTCTGTCAAGAACTCCTGATGACAAATGGGGTTTTGACACTTGTCAACTTCCTTTAACTTGTTTGTTTTCTTTTGAATTCTTTCAACTTTTATTTGTTTTGTAATTTGACAAGTGTCAAAATCCCATTTGTTATGAGGAAAAGCTCCTCCTTAGTTTTAAGGAACCAATCAATATATCCACTTCTTCGTAACTTTCTTCCTCATGATCATCATGGCCGTTGAGAAAGAGGTAAATTAGGGTTAGAAAGGGAGAGATGGTGTCACGGTGGGTGAGGTTCGATAGCATTGTGTTGTGTGGGTGGGTATCCTGAGAAATTGAAAACAAAAGCCAAAAAGTTATTTCTGGCGACTGTACATAAGGGTATAATTGTCATTTTAAAATAGAAGAACCTCAGGGATGTCCAAAGACCCTTTTGAGTGCAAAATAGAATCACTCAACAAAAAGCGAAAAGTATAGGGTCATGGGCCATTGCCCAGTGTAGGCCCAATTTACGAGTGGTTGAAGCCAGGTTCTTACCCGCGTGTTTGTCTTCGGTTTGGTCGCGGAACAGAAGTGAGAGTGAGAGAAACAAAAAATGGGGGGTGGTGGTGGGAGCAAGAAAATATTGGTGGGTTTGGTGGTGCTGATGCTTTTTGGGGTTGCCGTGTACTTGAAGCTTTGGACCATCGACTATACCGTTTCTTCCGACGAAGCTGAGCTCTTGAGGTTTGCTTTGCTTTAATTCCCATCTCATCTCTCTGTTAACCTCAAATTTGTTTTTAAGGGTTCATGTTTTTGTGGATTTTGTGAATGAATGAATGAAAAAATGATTGCCCTTTGTATATAAGATAAATTTAAGCCCAAGTTCTTGCATTACTTCCCATTATAGTGATTCTGATGGCATAGTTGAATATCAGTTGTGAGAAAAGACAGAAACTTTCTTTTGATTCTTGAGCTAATTGATCATAAATCCTAAGTTGAGTTTCTGGGTTCGCTCCTATGTTTATATTTTGTAGTATATGATTTTACATGTTCGACCAAAAAAAAAAATGAATTTACATGTACCCTTTCATTTCTAGAGTTTCATATGTCAAAAAATTAGTAGTGTTTGCCATAAAATGAAATGGATTTTCAGTGTTGATTTGGGTTTATACGGTCGAGTTTCTTTGTTATTTCTATTATGATTTAAAGATTTTTTTTAGTCAACTACATATATTTTTTCTCTCAAAATATGGTAGGCGGCAGTTCGACCTTGCTAATAGGGAAGCAATGGATGAATCTGCTGAGTGGAGGCTGAAATACGATGTAGAAGCAGAAAGGGCTACCGAGTGTATGAACGAACTCAAACAGGTCCGCACCTGATTTTGCCAATTCTTTTCAATTATTTTTCATGATTTGTTGTACAACTAGAGCTTCATATCTGTGTGTAGAAGACAGTATGTTGTCGCTGTTTTTCACAAATCTCATTGGAGCATAATTAGTGTGGCAAATTAATTTTCATATGCACTTTGGAGGGTGACTTTGCATGCTGAGAATTGCAAGGGTGCCAAAGCAAGATGTAGTCTTTGAAAATGATTGCTACATTGACCCAAAAGATAATTAAAACCACTTTTGAAACTATAGTATGGTTTTTATCATTTTGTTTTTAGTATTCATGAGGTTTTGGCAAAAAATTGTAGAAGAGGGTTTGGGTCCAATCTTTGGAAGGGCATCCTGGAGTTGAATGACTTGTTAAACAATGCTTCAGTCTAACAGCATTATCTTGTCAAGTAAATAATAAACCTTTTTCCTATATTTTTACTTTATTGTTTTGATGTGTTAAAACTGCTGGTACAGATCAGGTGTTGTAATTGGCTTTCGTTTAGTATTCACTTGCACTGCTCCTCTCCGACTTCTCACCTACCAATGATAATAATAATTCTAAAGCACATTTCCGGTCCGGCCACCAGTCAAATTATTGCTTCAAACGTATCTTCTTGAATTTTGTACTGAACGGTGATAGAGCAAATCCCTTCATAACCATCGTATGCCCTCAACTAAATTACTAGGGGTCTTTAGCTGTTAATAGTAGTTGAGGCCCATATATCTGTTTGGCATTTGATAAGCAGGTCTGTTTCTTATTAGCAATAGTATGTATGCACAGAATTGGGAGTCTTTGTCTTTCCCTCCACCCCAGGGTAAGATTAGAGTCTCTGTGCCTATCATAATCATCTCTTTGTGGGCCGATGAATTATTCGTTGTTCTCACAGATAAAGGGGTCTTTTGAGGAGGATGATGGAAATGCTGCTAGCCTCAACCGGAAATTGGTGAATCTACAAAAGGTGACCCTTTTTTCCAGTACAAAATTTAATACAAAAATTATCATGATGTCTCATAACAAGTCCTATAACCAAGCAGTCAAAAGAGGGTAAGAACTAAAAGCTGTAAGATCCAATGCAACCTTTCTCTTTTTCATCCATCCACTTTTATGCAGCCCTTGGCAAACCTGGTTTAAGGAGCTAAGTAAAAACAATGCTGAGAATGGTTTGCTCATATTATCAGACTTTAAAATTCAACTTATGTTATGCATAAACTGCGTGGTTTGATGTTAAATGAAAATCTGGTTTTTTTTCCTTTTCTTCTCCCTTGCTGGCTCTGATAGACAATGATATGTTAGTGTGTTTAAAAGTTCCTTTAGGTTTGAATCTTGTTCCTCTTCTTACAAGCCCTGAAATGCCCAGGAAAATATGGCCTTGGTTGAACGGATGGAAACCATGAAACAAGAGCTTGAGGCTGAGAAGCTGAAGTGCAGCTTGCAATAGGTTTTCTGATCATCAAGGGTCAAAAGCTTCAGCATAACCAAATTTACCTCATTTTTCATTATTGTCCAATCCGTGTGCTCTCCACCAAGAAACTAATTTCATGAGCTCAATCTCCATTTTGCAAATTTGCAACTTCCAATGGTAAGCACGAGAGACGTTTTTTTGCACGAGATGCACGTGGCCCCTTACAACTCTTAACTTGTGCTGCTTTCTAGGAAACTGAGAGGTGTTCGATAAAATGACTCTGCTTTTCTACAATGAATATACAATGACTTTTTTTCCACCTTTATTTTCTTGCATAGGAACCAATGTAAGTTGTTCAATCTTCAATTTATATTTTTCTTTTTCTTTTCCTGGAATGATTCCTTCTTGTAATAGATCTCCAGGAATTTCGGACCCTGTAATTCATTTAATTGAAAGATGTGAAATTTTGGATGTCCGATTGTGTGTCTTGTATGCTTTTATTCAAAAGACTGCGCGTGTCGTACATGGTTTTCTTTGTTAAGTCAATTTCTCTCTCTTTCTTAAATAAAAATGTGCTTAGGCCAGTTGGTTAGGGCAATACACACACTCCTAACTTCCGAATCCTCTCTGTAGATTAGGGAAGGATTGTGTAGTTTAGAGAAGTTTAAATTATCGCATTGACAAAAAGGAAAAACATTTACTGTAGAGAGTTTCGCCTGGAACACCTGTCATGCGCTTTCAAGAGATGAATATCATTACATTTTAAACCATGCTAAGATAGCCAGTCAAGCATTCACTTAAATTGTAATTATTAGCCACTAACCAACACTAAATACAATTACTAGTTAAGATGGCAATTAGATCATAATCATCTTTACAAGCAACCTTCTCCCTACAGGAAGATAACTAATTTCCATCTCCGGGGGCTGTGGAGCAGTCAGGTTCTGCAGGGTTGGTTCTCAAGTCCTGGAGAAATCTTGTTATTGTCTGTGCAAACACTTCATTGTCCTCGTGTTGACTTGCTGGGGCAGGGGCAGGGGCAGCAGTTGTAGAATTCTGTGAATTGCATGCACATACGTGAGATTTAAAGATGAAGATGGAATTATATAAGAGATGTTACCAGAAGATACCTTTCGTCGCTTCGGCAGTCTGCTCCGGGTGTTCATCATCTCAATCAGCTCATCAAACTGAAGAACAGAAATCAAACCCAAGTTTCCTGATCAATTTATGTGTATAAGTTGGAACAAAATGTCACTCCAAAAAGAAAGAAAGAAAGAAACAACGTTCTAACTAAGGGGTTGGGAAGCATTATGATTTCCAGGCTAACTTATCTCAGTAATTTTCATTTTCAAACATGGTTAAATTTAAATTAGGGAAAGGTAAAATCCAGTTGGTAAAAGTAAACATACTACATTGCACACTCTACCTGTTTTACAATTTTTTCATATTTCCTTGCACACTGATATAACCTTCTTTCCTCCTCAACTTCCTTATTAGACATACTTCTCCAATCTTCAACTTCAAGCCCTCTAAACCCTTCTCTCTTTGGGACAAATTGTTCAAAGATAACAGTAAAGGTTGAAACATATATACAGATGGTCAAGTTGCTCAAGGAGCAGGTTAATAGCACGGAAAGCCATCTTTGCTTAAATCTTTTATGGCCGTTACCAACTGTCTTGACTGTTCTTCTAGGCAGAGAATTGAAACGGGATGAGAGACCGTTATCTTGCTTGCCATTTCTTTTCCCTTACGCTTTCGATTAAACACTAATCTTGTGTTGATGAGAGATGTGTCAAGATTTAGCCTAATCCTCAGTTAATCACTTACTCAGAAAAGGAGATTAGAAGCTAACAGAAGAGTTAGAGACTTACCAAAAGAAGAGACTTCTTAATAAATTGTAACTACTTCCCATATATAACCAACCACGAACAAAAAAAGTGAAAAAGAAAAAGTTGTATTCTTAGAAAGTTGAACTTCTTCAGTTACAGTTATATTAACCACTGCACAACCTAATGTAAGTTGTGACATCTACATATGTTTTTTTTTACTTCTCCTTTCGGAAAGGCAGTATTTGGTAACTGATTTCACCGTTAATACATCTACGTCCCATAACAGGTTATGTGCTTGCCAATTAACCAAAAATGGGGGTGCTCGAATACTACTCCTAACCGGCTAAGCGCTCGCCAATCAACCGAAAAGACTAGCATGTCATGTTAGGTGATGTTGCATACCTACTCTTGAGGGACCTCATTCTTCTGGACGTGGGATTCTTGACCATGACATTGGGTTATGTCATTTGATCAAATCTACATGGGTTTAAGTCTTCTTCATTTCAAGAAAGCAGAATGATATGGTACTTGACCTAAGAAATGCTTCCATGAACTATGGAATTTTATTTTACGCTTTTCAGGTCAAGCCATACATAGAGAGCAGCAAAGCAGAAGAACATGCAATTCGTGAATTATGATTGTCATTTCAAACAAAAGCAACTTCTTGTATTTTGCCGACTTGTTTCCGTTTGTCATTTTCCAAGACTAATAATCATAGAAGCTTTAACGGAACGCATGATCATCTTCATTAACCTTTCACTAAAGCAAAGCTGCAGAATAAACTCAGGCATCTCCACTTGGCACCTATAAGCTTTTAGCCTGCAGAATTTTCAATGCTGCTTTTGGTGCATATAGATCCTAAGAAGTTTCAAAGCAAACCAATAGGAAAACGTTTTTGGAAAAAACAACAAAAACTATCACATGACACCCACAATGAGGAAAAAGATTCAAAATCCAAAATTATACATATCCCCATGCTAAAGGTTATTAATCTCTCAACAAACTCTGCCAGAATATTTCTATGTACAGAATAAGGGCAATCAAACAAATACCCTGCACAGCCATTAAAAGAGGCTTTTTTTTTTTTTTTTTTTTTTTTTTTTATATAAGAAGACTCGGCTCACTGATGAATTTTCCCCCTGCCGTGTTTCACCGGGAAGCCAGTGACCAGAAGTTTAAAAGAAAGGATGGTGACACAGCAAACCAACTGATAAAAGCCATAGCTGTGGCAGTCTCAAACCTTTTGCAATGGTTCACATCACATTTGTTAAGATCATTGGCAATGAGGACAGTAATTCCAGCAGAAGCACATGCGGCAGCAAATGTAAGCGTGGATGTGATCTGCATGAAAAGAGCACCCACATTTCTGTAAGCTGGGGATGGACTAGGTCTGGACAATGTACTCCTCATGCACAAATTTTCACTTTCCAACTTCCAAACAAATGGACATTTGCACAAGTACATATTAACAAAGCATATTGTTACAAAATGAATGAAGGACTGATGTTAAGTCATCTTCCATAAAAAGAAGGCCACGCATCAAATTTGACAAAATCCCCAGAAGGGATATCTATTAGTATCACGTAAGGAACGGATGAGATGGCTATTGAGTAAGACTTTATTTGACATTTTCCTAAAACAACACATCATATCAGTAAGCTGAGGATAGACTGATATATCCAATTACTTATGCTAGCCATTTGAGTTGGTTGCAGCTGCTCATCTGAACGAATAAAGCAACAAAAAAAAAACAAAGTACAGTTGGCAGAACTGACTTTGATCATCATTATATAGAGAGCTCAGCTCTCATTATCCCTGTAGCAGAGCATGAGTGAAAGTGAGGTGTCAGGTGTAAGTAAGAGCGTCTATTTAAACGAGTGTGCCTGCACAAGTGTCGTTGTTTGTGTGTGTATTATAGTTGTGCATTCGTAGTATGCAAGTTATTCAAATTCTGTTGACTTCCCACATGTTTTGTTCAAGATTCTGGTATCAGAGCAAGGCAGTTAGGGATCTAGTTATCGTGCCCAAGCTGAGACTCTGAAACTTGTCTGTGATTAAGCTTGGCACCGAGAGAAACTAGGTTGGGTCATCATAAGCAGCCTACAAATGGTAGGTGGTATCAAGAGGTTCCACAACCAGAATTAAAACTTGTGGTTGACATGCATGGAGTCATATCTCTAAGGTCAAGAGTATGCTACCACTTTGAAGAAATAAAATGAAAGATAGGCAAGGTAATGTTCACAATCAAGACAACAATAGAACAAAAGACGAAACTGCAACTTCAGAAAAACGAGTTGTAACATGTCATGTCGCAGAGATTTTACCTTGTTATACTATTGGTTGTTAAATATCTGATTAGATCCACGACTGGTATTTTCAAATGTACATGAGAATAATAATCATCCACAGGTGGAGACCTGAATATAAAGGTTTTATTACTCTTGTATAGTTTGTAAAAATGCAACCTTATTTCATTGTACATGGGTAAAGAGAGCAAGCTAGCTGGCTACTGTGCTGCTGATTATTCCAGAGATCAGAAGATGGGCCAATCAACTAACAGAAACATTTTAGTCAGTCTTAGATGTAGTAGTGTCTTGGTGTACTAAGAGACAATTGATGGTAACACTATCAACTGCAGCATAATCTAGAACAGCAACTATGTCTATGGACCCCCGGAGTAGCAAATTCCACTTTGAAGCAATGGTATATGGATATATTTGGGTAAGCAGATATGAACAAGGCAGCTAACAAATGGATGCAAAGAACCCTATGCTATTTCCCAAATAGCAATTAGATAAAACATTAGACCAGAAATCAGATAAAAAAAATTACAAAACATATCCACATGAAGCTTCTGACATAAAGCACCGTTATCAAGTTTGGGAAAATCTATCAATGCCACATTTGGTAAGGGTTGGGTGGCACACAGGCAATAGAGAAGGGGTAGCTTCAAATTCTGCCAATAGAGAAGGAAAAACTCATATACTTCTAGCTGGTTTAGCAGGCTTGGGCTAAATTTCACATGGAACCTAAATAGTTAATCCAACAAGAATACCAGCATTGCTTTGCTGCAGTTATGCAACAAGACTTAATGAGTTTGAATCTTATCTTACCCCATCTCCAATGGTGAAGAAACCCACAACCTTGCAGTTGCGCAAGCTCCGCCTCACTAAAAGAGCATACACATCAACAATCGCCAGTGACAAGCTCCACACACATTGCACACTAACAGCAGCAACAAGGTAGCTGACCCAGAAAAAAGCAAACACAATAATCATCAAAGACTTGACTTTAACCAAAACCCATGTCTATAATCAAGTAAAAATCGTGAAATCATGAACACAACAAAACAAGCATTACCAAAAAGCAGTGACAGAGGGAAAATCGGAGGTGGTGGCCATGACTGAGAGAGAAATGGCTGCAAAGCCGAGCTGGCAAAGACGCAACACGAGACCACCTGCGGTGCCAGGCATGCCTTGAACGTCCTTCATCCTCACTCTGAGAGCATTCTGGGCTGCCAAGTCAGTCAAGGGTGGGGCCTCCACGGGGTGAACCGATGGGCGGCTCACGTTCATCGCTCCAATCTCTCCCCTGACTCCCTGCACGCTCTACAGAAAGACAAGAGATCTTGATATAACCATGTTCAACAACAACAAGAATCAACAAAGATTGGTCCTTTTTCAGCTGAAGATTGCTCCTTTTCAGCTCGATGGGTGTTGGGTTTTTTATTGTTAATTGTTTCAATAGGAAGGAATTGAAGGAATTGAAGGAATTGAAAAAGGGTAAGAAGAAGTTACAGTTCGGAGTGTCGGAGGTAGACGAAGGTGAACCAGAAATGGTTGGAATTGGAATTGATGGGATTTGTCAGCTTCTCTCGTCAGACATGACTCATGACAGTCACCAGTGGCGTGCTGCTGCCTCGTAGTGTGACCCAACACTTGTCTATATTTGTATATGTGTTCTTGCTACACCCATTGCAATTGGCATATGCTTATTTTTTTCATTATCTTTCAATTTTTTTGATCGGGCAATACGCATCTTTTTTAGGAATTCCCCTTGATGGGATTTATGATAAAGTTGAAACCTTTTTTCTTTCTTTCTTAGTGACAAAAGTTGTGACCTTCACTCTTTCAGTCATCTTATCTTCATGTGGTGTGGGCAATGTTTCCCATAAAAAATAGCAAGCTATATTATTTTAATTTAATTCTCCATTAATTAAGCACTTTTAACAAAAGTATTTATGTTCATAAGCGCTTTTAACAAAAGCACTTTTATTATAAAAATCTTGAATTTTCATTATATATAAAAAAAAATCCAAGTGCTTTTTCAAGTGTCTCATAAAGAAACACATAGCATGTGCTTCTTTAAAAAACGCTTCTATGACCTAAAAGAACTTCTAATCTTTTCTGCTAAACGCTGTTAAAAGCGTTTTTAGTTGTCAGAACGTACTTTTAGCTTTTCCAGAAGCACTCCCAAACAGACCATTGAGACTTAGATCATATCCTTTCTTTGTTTTGTCTCTTTGGCTTTTAAAATAAGATTGTCAATTAAAAATTCAAAAGTCATAAATTATAGTTTAAACTAAATTGTATTTTCCTTTGCTAATTTGATTGAGAGAAAAATTTATAATTTGTATAACTAAAAGGGGTAAATATCATTTGTCAACCCAAGCTCAACCTAAATATACTCTGGTATGTTTACTTACTTAGAATTTATATATATATATATATTTTCGATTTATGAATATTCATACTTTTACTAACACACATGAAATAAAAAAGTACGTTGATCTCACATTACAATCCGTTATTCAATGCTTGAAAAATCAAGAATAGAGATGGTTGATCCCATACCAATCCCTTAACGCATGCTTGAAAATATATGTCATCTATTTGTTTAAATAATTCAACATGTTGATTCAAAGCGACATGAGCTTAGTTGAACTTAATAAATTATTTAGGGCCTGTTTGGGAGTGTTTCTGGAAGGGCCAAAATCATTTTCTGATAACTAAAAGCGCTTCTGACAGCATTTAGCAGAGAAGTTTAGAAGCGCTTATGGGTCATAGAAGCGCTTCGTGGGGAAGCAACTGTTATGTGCTTCTTCAGGAAGCACTCCCAAGTGCTTCTTCAGGAAGCACTCCCAAGTGCTTCTTCAGGAAGCACTCCCAAGTGCTTCTTCAGGAAGCACTCCCAAGTGCTTCTTCAGGAAGCACTCCCAAGTGCTTTTCCACGAAGTACTCCCATGTACTTTTCCACGAAGCACTTTAATTTTTAAAAAAAATTCAATATTTTTATAATAAAAACGTTTTTGTTAGAAGTGTTTATGATAAAAAATACTTCTTAAAGAAGCTGTCCCGAACAAGCCATTAGTAGAATGAGCTATTCATTCAATTTTAAATATAGTTGAGTTTTTTTTTAATTATTTTTTTTTATACAAGCGATATTAGAGTATTGGAAGAATCAAATCTAGAACCTCATACTCATAAATAAATATTGTTTGTTTATACCAAAATAAACAGCCAATAAGCATCGGACACGTGGACCAAACTGGAGCTATGGAAGCCTTCGGCACCTAGCTTCGGTACCGTTCCTACCGATCGCACGATTAGGGCAACTTCACCCCCCAGGGACACGTGACAGTCCCACAATTGGAGTCCACAGTCCCACATCGAAATTCTAAACAACTTGCACACCTCCCAAGGCCTATAAAAGAGGACAACTATCCCAATTGGAGGTAATCAATCAAAACTTACGACATACGGCCTATTGATCTGTAGTTCAATCTTACTTAATCCGTACTTATTCAAGCATCGGAGAGCCTTCGGTCGGTACCCCACCGGTGCCCTAGGTCTTACCGAGCGTTTGTTATCTTGCAGATCGAACGCCCTACCGAGGCCCAGAGCATACCAAAGGCCCAACATCACTAAGTTGCGCGGGAAAGTGCCGAACCATTTTTCTGCGTCAACATTGTTAAGTACTTGAGATACAAAACCCTTGCTTAATACGATCGGATTAGTTTGTAAACAATTTCAGATTTTGTAAAAGAATCATTATTTCACGCGTAATTAGAACAATTATTTAACATTATTTTATGTTGAATGAGTGCAATTGTGAGAAGGAATAGGAGACCAAGAAGAGGTGGGAAAGTAGAATTGTAGACCTTTGTAGGGCGGCGGGAAATCTAAAAGACCATAAAGCCCCTGGAAAGTTGTATATTAAACTCGTTTCTTTGTTTTGTGGTGTAAAATTAGGTCTCTCAATCTCTCAGTTGGCGAATTAGGGTTTTAGGCTGTCTGATTGATTGTTGATTGTATCGAAGATGATTGAGGTGGTGCTGAACGATCGTCTCGGGAAGAAGGTGAAGGTGAAGTGCAACGAGGATGACACCATAGGCGACCTCAAGAAGCTCGTGGCTGCTCAGACGGGTACCCGATCCGACAAGATTCGGATCCAGAAGTGGTACAACGTCTACAAGGACCACATCACCCTCAAGGACTATGAAATCCATGACGGCATGGGCCTCGAGCTCTACTACAACTAAAGGTTCGGATGAATTCTCTGCAATTACATCTATTATCTTGCTAAAGTTTGATCTTTACTCAATTTGGGGCAGCTCAATTGACTTTTTAGGGTTTTTAATTTTTTTGGGCTCATGGAATCTTTAGGGGTTTCTTGTATTAGTTAATTTCCTCGTCAAATTTCAGTGATTACTAGTTTCTATGGCTGTGACATAGTGAAGTATTGCATGCTAAAGTTCTTATCGCATTTTCTTGATTTGTTGGGTTAATGAGATTTGGGAGACTTTGGAAAAACACAAAGGAGAGAGAAATTTTGTAAAAGAAGCCAAAATGGACAAAATTGCCCTTATTTATTTTTGGATTTTCTAAGTAATCTTTTACATTCGCATGTCTTTGATTTGAAAGTTGTGAGGTTTTTCTGTCTTTTTTGAAAAAGCTTTGACTTTTTCCAAAAGTGAAATTTTTTTTTGCTAAAACCTAAATTTACTATGAGATTTTTAGGGTTTCCTGTATTAGTTTATTTCCTCGTCAAATTTCAGTATATATGTCTGCGACACGGTGAAGTAATTCTGAGTAATGCATGCTTCTGATAAACTCTGAGCTAATTGAGCAAAGGCTGGAACTTTGATGTGTATACTTTTGGTCCCCGTAGACATTAGTAGCCTGCAAATCCAGTCCTTCCTCATATAATAAAACAAACAAACAGACAGACCGAACAAGACCAAGCAGAGAGGCTTGGTGGTGGTTTATCGGGGATTTTGCTGTGTTCAGTTGTTAAGTAAAGAGAAAGCTATAAGAGGCTTGATTGATAGCTTGGTTAGGAGTGCAAGTGTTTCTTTCAAATGTTGTTCATTCAGGTTGCTAGGGTTATTGTGGAATTTGGGAAATCAACCAACCCTATATGAATTTCGGCATGCTGAACATGTACATACCATACAAGTCTTGATTTGCCCAACATGAGTATCTCATTTAAATTTAAGTGTCCATCTGAAACAATACCCACCTTGTCAATCTCTATGCCTAGCAGCACAGAGCCGGTTTTGGCCGACAATTGTGCCATCTCCTTTAATTGGAAAATAGAGAAGCCTCAAGTGGTTTTTTACTTGATACCAACTGAAGAAAAACACCAAAAATATTGCTTTAGCAGCATTCTTTCTCTTTTCAGTTAATAAATGAACAGAACTTTAGTTGTTGCTTACATGCATCACTCAATGGTTTCTATGGAAATACGTATGCTAATTAGTAGATAATTTGTCGTGATATCTAATGTGGCCTCTGCCTAATTGTTTTGCCCAAGTTTTCTTCTCCTTGTTTTTGAAGTTTCAGAATATTAACATAGAAATTTCTGTGTTTTCAGGTGTTACGTTCATATAACAATGCACTGGCGGTGGGATTAGTCTCGGTAAGAAGTGGTTGTATGTATTGCAAAGCCCTAGGATGGTGCAGATTATGTAATCCAAAAACTCTTTTGAAGCGTTTGGACTACTTATTATATATATCTGAGTGTTAACTGCATACATTTGTGTAATTGTGTTGGATGAATTGAATTTCCTTGGCAATCGTAAAAATGATCTTCTGCTGCTGTGATATGCAGAATCATTACTTTACATATATAATGTGTCTTTGTATGTGGCTATATACTTGATTTAAATCAGGTTAAGAGATTTATTATGTTTCTGCTTCCACTGAATTTGAGAATTTAAATGCTATGCAACTTTTGGTCGAGGTCTGCCAAAGGACAGTTGCCCCGAGCTTAATAGCCGTGTGCTCCTCCAATCTTAGTTTTCTCCCGTGTCTAAGTCCAATCAAAAAGACATAAGCATCGCTAAATGGAGAAAATCTTAGTAGCATGAGGATAGCACTATTTTGTTATTCATAATGCCGTCATGTGCATGCATGTCATAGTGTTATAGGCTAGGAATAGCAAAATAGTGTTTTTTTTGTTTTATTGAAGTCTCCTGGCTATACTATGATATTTCTTTTATATATAAAAAAAAGTAGTATAGCCGGGTGGTTATATAGTTTTTACATGCAAGGGCCCCTCTTTGTGTGTGTGTGTTAAATAGTATAGCCGCGCGGCTATAATCTTGGGCATTTTACAAAACAATACTTACAGTAGTACAGCCCGGCGTCTATACTGGTTTTGACAAGTGGCCACTTAAGCGCTAGGTGGAGCGGAATGAATATTGTAGGGGCTTTTTTCTTCCGGCAGCTACAAATGGGATGGGCTGTCGTAAGGAGGAAACTGAAGAAATTGTCCCCTATGTCTGAGATCGAAAATTAAGCCCCACAAATGCTTCGAAATGGCAGTAGAGCCTTAGGAAGCATCTTGGTTACCTTCACCGACTAAAACAACAGCAACTTACAGATAATTTATGCATGCTTACAGATAAACTCTTATGCTTAGCGTGAGTAGCATGTGGCATGAGAGCAAAATCAACATGAGTTTTGCACTAAGAGAAAATTTAGGCTTGCCCTGAGGGAAAAGGAAATGTTAGGGTATGAAAGGAGAAGTTTTGTGAGAGATTTGGCTAGAAAAGGGAAAATGAAGAGCAGAGTTCTTCTGGCAGCTGCCAGAAGAACAAAATGAAGAAGAAGATGAATAGTGCACGAGGTTGTTGGGTTTTTGCAAGTTAGAGAGAAGGCTTGCTCTATGAATATGAGTTGCTTTCGTTAGGTAGGATAAGCCTCAATTTATAGCCGCTGGAAACCACCATTTTTCAAGAAACCCTAATGGCTTCTACCCATTTTGGCTAAGCTTTTTCCTCATTTCTCCTCTTCTTCTTTGACTTCCCTATCTTGGCAAAAATTGCCTCTGTCTATTTGCACGAATTCAAGAAATTTGGGAGCTCAACGCCTCCTTTCCCACAGCTATTCAGTGAGAACTTCCATTCTTGGCTACTGTTTTTTCTTCTTTCCTTCCCCCTTCTTTGGCCAAATCTAATGAAGAAAAGGAAGTGAAAATATATGCTGGTCCAAAGGGTGCCTCTGACAGCTTGCAAGCAAGTATTCCTTGATTCTTTGAGCGTCTCTGGCTTGGAACTTGCTTCCTGCATGTGATGGAACCTCCCAGCAGCTTTGCTCAATGAATCTGCCAACCTTCCTCACGTGGCTTCTATTTTTTCAAAAGGGTTGAGACTTTTGTGGGTTGATTTATTACCGTCCATACCACAACTCACTCAAGCAAGCCCCGGGTATTTGAGTGGCTTGGGCCCACTTAGGCTTGTAGCGTGGTTGGGTGTATAATAATGATTTCCTGCTTGACATGGCATATCGCTTGGCATGCTTTTAATTATTATGCTTGACGGGATAATTAGCATGGATTTGCAAAGATAATGCATTTTATAATCTTAATCTCGATTCCTAGCATGACGGATTATTTATTTGGCATGGCGTGTGTAGTGTGACTCGTATATGACGAGCTTTCGTGTACTCAGATATGTGACTTTTCTTAATACATTAGCGTATTGGACCGAAGACTTATTTGGGCCCAACCATGGACTTTTTTAGGCCTCAACAAACATCAATAAAGTATAAACTAATGCAATTAGGAGAGTACTTTTTTCTGTTTTTTTTAGTAAATGGTATAGCCGCGCGGCTATACTACGATATTTGTTTTTTTCAAAAATTTGTCTGGTTGATCGACTATACTGTTTTTGACACTTGGGTCCTACTTTTTAAATACTAAATAGTATAGCTGCACGGCTATACCCGAGTATATTTTTTATTTTAAAAACTAGGATAGCCGAAAGGCTTTATTACGGTAATTGTTTTTAAAAAAATAGTATAGCCGAGTTTTGACACCTGGGCACCTAAGTGCTAGGCGGCGCCCTTTTTTTCTCCCTATAATAGTATAGCCGCAGCTATACTCTCATATATTTTACAAAATAGTATAGCTGCAGGACTACCCTAGGGTTTTTTAAAAAATTTATAATAAAAAATATCGCCGCATGGCTATACTTGTTTTCTTTACCAGTGATTACACCTAAGAATTTCTCCCCATATTGTTGCCTTGCCCTTCATGCTGCATGTCCAAATCCAAATCATATCGAAGTCTTATAGACCAAATTTGGCAGGCCTTTGTGTCAAATAGTGGAGCTTTCCTTGTATGGTCTTTAAAAGAGTTGGCAGCTCCTCATAGTTTGGGCCTTTAAACCATTTGAATTATCAAGCATTAGTATTTGTACTTACTCTTTTTTTATGTACATATTTTTATTTATAATTATTTTTCTGCCTTATTGCAACAATTATTAAAATAGACTGAATTTATCAAAAAGAGGAAAATAAAATTATTAATATGTGTATATATTTTCGAATTATATATATAAAAAATTAAATTATTTTCAGTGTGGATACATTTTGAAATTGGGCTCACTCCAAATATTAGCCCAAAGGCAAAACATTCAAAGGCCTCAATTCCCAATTGGTAACATAACATAACATGCCAAATTTAGACGACACGTCGCTGTCACAACGCAGGGCATAGTGGGCAGAGATTGTGGGGACCACAGCAGCACGGGGGCGTGGTTAGTATGCCACGTCATCAGAATCTCTGTCGTTTTTAGAAGAGACTTTGGCGTTAACTTGTAAGAGTACGACACGGACATGACCAAAGCATACAACACCCGGAAACTCCAGAAGGAGAAGGGCGTGGAGGAGAGAGAGAGAGAGAGAGAGAGGAGGACAACAAAAAATTCAGGTGATGGCGGGCCCATAACTTGTACCATAAGCCTCCATCATCCATATTCAATTCATTTCTGACTCTCCTGCTGGTGGCTTCTTCTTCTGTAAATTAAATTTTAACTCAGTTGGTAAATCTAAAATCAACTGCGACAAGACAATTTAGATTATCATAAAATTAGAAAATCCTTTAAATCTTTTTTTTTTCTTCTTCTTAGGTTCTTCAAAAAATAATGGACTTATCAATATTCACTCACGTCCATGTTTTGAAAGATAATTCATTTATAAGGATTTAATTATAGTGATAGAGCAGTTTCCTCTCACATCAATGACGACAATGAACTCAATCTTTCCTAAGACTCGGATAATTATAAAAGAATGTAACTTTAGATAAGCGTCGAAATAATTGAGAAATATATACAGAAAACAATGGGCAAGATAACAATTTGTCAAAGCAAGCAAGGAACAAAGAAAAAATAATTCCCGCATGATGCATTTTTAATTGAGAATGTGTTGCAAGCGTAGGGTTTTTCTCATGAGGCAACACCAAACCTGCAGTAGCCCCCACTCATAGACATAAAATAGATACTATGAATTTCAAACCCAAATTGATTGATCTCTTGAATGAAAACAACACTAGCAATAGCAAGTTTTGTTTGTCAGTGGTGGAATATTGAATACTTCTTTCTACTTATATACGTATAAATGTGGGATGCTTTGTTATCGTGGTGCGAATCCCACTTCATTTCATTTATATTATTCACTCATGAGAAGCTTCCTAAATTTATTTATTTTTTAAATAAATTGATGAGATATTTAGTTATATATTCATTCTTAACATTAGTGATATAGATAAACCCTACACTATTTCATTTTTATAAATAAACACACAAAAAAAACCCAAAAAGTGACAGCTAACCCTATTAAATTTAATTTTGATTATTAAATTACTTTGATACCTTATTGAGTGTTTTGAGTTGTTTTATAAGGTTTTAGGGTTGAGCTTGTTTTAAGAAATTGATGGCAGTTTTGTAATTTATAAGAAATTCGAAACCTCTTTATTATGTTGTAAATGGGCTTTGGGTGTGTTTCGAAAGTCCATTTCATGTATTTTTTTTTATATAAATTTGGCGCGTATATTGGGTATAATAATGAATCTCCCAAAAATGATTTGAAACTACGAAAATAAATTCATAAGAAAAGTACTAAGTACTTACAAAGGATTTTTTTTTACTATTCGTTACAATCCTTACTTATACGGAAAAGAACATGAACGGAGTTCATAAGAAAAATCAATAACTTTAAAGTTTTCTGAGTAACAATCATTTATACATATGTCGGCGACTCTCAACCCTTAATGCAGTTGTCAATACAGCTCTATAACTAAAAGCTACTGCACGCGTGTGAGCGGCTGTCCTTCATTCCGCAGTGGAATTGAAGTGGGACATATGAGAAAAGAACATGGTGTAGTAGTGGCAAGGGGCAACAAACCCTAATGGGAGGGGGGAGGAGGTGGAATATTATAAAGAGAGAGCAAGGACATGGAGACAAGTTTTAGCCAATACTCATTGAATGTTGATGACGTATTTGTCCCTTAAACAATGCCCTATTTCCCGTTCCTTGGATCTCTCAATTCTCAAAAGAAAACCCACTTCCAAGTGAACCCTTCTCTTCCTCCTTCCCTTGTGCATATTTCTGTGCACCAAAACCTGACACTTCCTTAACGTAATTCTAAAGTCAAGTAATCCCTAGGACGAGATTCTCTCTCATCTCATCTCATTTTATGAAACAAATGAATGTGTTTTGTTTAATTTTCTAGGTCGAAACCATGCCATGTATAGTGGTGGAAAGTGGGTTCTGAAAACAAAGTGAGTTAACACAGAAAATAAAACAAACAATGCTTTGGCCTTGGGAAAGAAAATGTCTCCTTTTTCTCTCTGTTTCTGCTTTGACCACCGTTTATTTGACTATTTGTTTTGGGCCATTGGGGTGTCAAATTAAATGCCAACTTGCAAGAGTTCAATGAGGTCAAGGTAAGGTAACCGCTTGCCTTGTGATTTTTCTAAATTTTGGCTTCGCTCGGTGTCTCTGATTAGACTGAATTATTTTAATTAAATTGAATGCGTATTGAGATTGAAATTATTAAATTAGACAAAAGTCTAACATATAATGTTTTATAATTCTCATTTACGGATGTGAGATTTAACTCAAATCCAATTCAAACCGAATCAACACGTTAAAGAGCCATTTGTAATAGGTTTTGATTTGATATTTGTTGCCCAACTTGGCTTCCAAAACCTCTAAGCTACCCAACCCGTGAGCGTGATGTTTTTGGTTTGTGAATTTCAACTCAAGTTATGACATGGGGTGAGGTGAAATGATGGATAGATCCCAAATTTGATTCCTTCAACCTTATCAAGGACAGAGGTAATGTTGGGTTGGGCCTACCAAAGACTTGTCTATCTGGAATTACCTGTGTTTTGGTCCTCCCTATTAATTAAAACGAAAACGACTGAGTTTGATGATTGTCTCCATAATATATAAAATAACTTAATTCAATTTCTACATTATTGATTACAAGATAATCCCAGTCAGTCACATGATGTGACTCTCATCATTTCCAAATTGAAGTAACTTTACCAAACACCTACCGGATTATTTGCAAGGGGGTCCGACCCAAAAAGTCGGTGATTTAGGCGACTACGGTTGGTAGTTAGTTCGTGGAAGCTCAAATTCACTACAAACTTTCTTATATGCGACGGTAACATATTGTGTCATGTTTATATAATGATACAAATTCACTTAAATTGCAATTTGAATAAACTTCATTTCATGTTGACATGTTGCGTGAAGAAGTTGTCGTACCGACACATGTTATGCCACGTGATATTACCGTCTCGTCTCTCACCTATTAATTAATTCAGGAAGTAAAAATGTAAAAATGGAAAACAAAAATTGAGAAAACAAAGGAAAACAGCGCGGTCAACGAAACGGCGCAAAACAAGCAAAAAGTCTCTCTCCTTTTCCGAGCTGACGTTGCCCACACGTGAACCCCATTACTAAATTAAATTAAATTAAATGGACGCCGCGTGGGACCCGCGGAGTTCTCACGTGCGGCTGATTAAGTTAAACAGACAGAATGTGTTTTCTGTTTGTTCGTTTCTGCTTTCCAGCTCCTTGGCTGCTTCTTCTGTTTTTCCCCACGTATTAGTTATTGACTTTGTCTTTGACAATTTTTTGTTTTACAATCCCCATAAATAATTAAAAAAAATAACAATATTTATTTATTTATTTTACTCACATATTGGTTGGTGGTTTAATAATTAATGAGTAATTAATTACTATAAGTATCCCACACTTTGTGGCGTTAAGATTGGGACAATTAATTAATTAAATAATTAATTTTACTTTGAGTTACTTCGGTTTGGTTTACAACTTTCAGCTGAGAGAAACACAAAGCTTTGGTTGTCTTCAAATCCACGTGGCAGTCTTGTAGTAGTTGTTGGGTGTTCTTGATTAAATCCCTGAAAATCTGCTGTCGTGTAAAACATCTGATTCTATTTAACAAACCATGAGATTAAGGGGAGGATTAAGTCAACTTATCTTGAAAACTTTGATGGTGAAAACTGATTAGACCTTCAACCAACTCTTTTTTCTTGGTCATGCACGGAACTAATTTAATCCTTGTGCCTTTTGTTGTTTGAGAAGAAAGTTTGGGATCCTTCTCTCATTGGCTGAATGGCATGAAGTTTCAAAAACTCATGCAAGAAAGAAACAAAAACACACAAAGAAAAAGAGGCAGCATCTTGAATTTTGATTCACAATAAGGGAAGATAACAGATTTTAAGAATACTTAATTAGCCTAGTCTTTCTGACAATTGTTAACGTTAGCGAGAAATACTTCCTTTATGGTGTTCTAACTGCTTGGAGTATTAGGTCTTTTTTTAATGAAGATTTACTTGGAGTGTGTAAGCCTCTAGCTATTGTTTAGTTTTTCTGTTGGACGTTAGCCCTGTTTCTTCTTCAAAAAAAAACAAAAGAGATAGTGTTCTAACTACATATAGAAAACAACAAATAAGCCAAACTCACTCATGGGAGCCTAATGTACATGTTCCACTGAAAAAAAAAGGCCTTCTTAGAAGGCTTCAGCCATTATCAAAAGAGTTTTAAGTACATATGCCAACTCCTACAAAAATACTAATACTTGTAGGATTTGGCTGCCAAAAAATTACAAAAAAGGGAGAAACCTCAAAGAACAGAAGAAGAAACAAAAACCTGATCAAATTATGATACTGTTATCAAGTTCTAAAAATGTAAACATTCTTTCTTCGACAAAGATAAAAAAAAATTAGGAAGCCGAAAGGATTTAGATTGGAAGCTCAAAAATTGAATCAGGGCGGCTTCTCCCAGAACTTCAGGAAGGGTAAATGGTCAGCATGGAAACAAAGGATTTTATCAACCAGCTGTACAATTGAATCAAGGTTTTATTCTTTCTTTACATTCCTACATTGTTGCTGCCTGAATCCATTAGAATCGTCAATCTCCTTGCTGTTTTCATGAAGTCACTGCAACTTCAACAAAAAATTGATCAACATATTACCTCGAAAACCTTTCATTTGATAAGTACCAAGGATTAAAACCTCCATTCTACAGACCCATTACACAATTCAGTGGGAATTGATTCATACCTGAGTGGTTCATCTCCGATGTGTTTGACTGCACCAGTAGCATCTCGATAGAGCACATGGTTCAGCGTCTCAGAATTTTCTATGCCAAACATGTCGGCCAGTTTCCTATACAATTCATCGTAAGATCCAAACACTGAAAGGTCAAGAGTGCGACCTACATCTTCTGATTCCATGAAGACTTTACAGTGACCAGTTTCCAAACTCGATTCAGTTTCTTGCCGAGTATCCTTATACCATTGGAAACCTTCACAATATGAGCGCTCTTGTAGGCTTTGTTGGTGAAGTGCAGATCCAGAATTATCAGAAAGATTAGCGGTTTTATCCGCATTCCCATCCGATGAACTATTTCCAGTAAGAACTGGTGAGACTGTATCACCAGAGCAGCTCAGAGAAATCTGCTGCTCAGTAAGTATTGGTTTACCAAAGAGTACAAGCTGCGGTGGCTTTACATCATCAGGTTTCTTTGAAGTCTGGGTAGAATGTGCCATCGTCAACAAACAAGAAACATTCTCGCTCATGGTAGGTTTTTGAGTCATTGTGTTATTGGAGAATTTAGTTGCTGTAGCAGCATGATCAAGAGGCGTGAAACCAGCCGGAAATAGACCTGTCTGCAGTTTATTGAGGTGCATATCTGATAAGGATAGACCATAATGACCATGCCTGGCTCCCTGCATGCCAGCAGGAGTTTTGTCGGGCAGACAACCAAAGGGGCTGCTGGGTCCAAGGAGGTTGCCGGAGAATGTCGGCATAGGAAGTTGGCCTTCAAATGGGAAATCAGGGTGTTGAGGCAGTCTCATCTTCTTCCTTGGTGGTGAGAAGGGTGTCAGATGGATGGCGGGCATATTTGATACCAGTTCTACCAACCATGGGCTAACACGCTTCACATTTTGAAGTAAATCAGGTTCATCCCAGGTAACCTGCAACATATGAATTCAGAGAACCGAAGGAATTGAATTCAATGGCTAAAAATCATGGCTCTTCCTAGATGCAATTGTTCATCAAACTTGAACAGCATAATGTGCAAAGTCAAATGCACTCTGTGAGGAGGGGAAAAAAACACTTGATTTAGACTAGGTATTTGGTATGGACAAGCACCTAAAAGCTAATAAGCTCGTCGGAAAACAGATTAAACTATAACAGAGGAGCCATAAGGCAAAGTGAACTGAAAGGAGTAAGGAAAAGAGAGCGAAATTGGACATTAAATGAAGATTGATGAGCCAATGTTCCACGGCACAGTCTGGGGATCAGTTTTCTCCATTCCGATGGAAAAGAGTTTGTGCTCATTACCTTAGATGGAAGAAAATGAGGACAAGTAGTGAAGAAATTGATTATAAAAAAAACTAAAATAAAAATGACCACAAGAACTTAGAGAATCGTAATTACAGAGCACATTCTGTTATCAGACAGAGAGAGGGAGAGAGAGAGTAGTACCTGGAGAAGCCTCCAAGGTGACTCAGGCCAGCGCAAAGGCTCAGCCAACTGAACAGAGGATATAGTTCCCATGAACCAACTTATCCGGGAAGAATCCTCAGTTTCAAAAGCCATCTTGAATCTCATTCCGGGACACCACCGGATCTGCAATGCTGCTTTTACCAAAGAGGCTTTCACACAGAACTCTGGGGTACTTGCTCGAGGGTAGTAAACAACCTCAAAGGGCTGTCCATTTGAAGCAAGTGTTGCGGCTTCAAAAACCGATTCAGGCCCGACTTTCCCCTTACCCCATTAGACTTCCATTCGAATTCGAGCCATTCCCATTGCCATTTCTCATTAGCTTGTTCTCATCCTCCCTCAAAAACGCAGAGTATCCACCATATGGCATGGTACAATTCCCACCCGTTGGATTCCACCCTGAAGATGACTCAGGTCCACCTCCAATTCCCCTCTTTGCTCGACGAATTCCGACACAAAGATCACCATTCTCTGCCCTCAAAAACACAATTGAATCCCCTGCAACAAGCTTCTTATGGTTCACAAAAGTACTCCACCCCGTGGTCAACAGATGCCTCCTAGGGGTCCCCCTGTAAATGTGCCTAAACTTCCAAGTTTCACCATGAACATCCTTAGCCAGGATTGTCTGAACAGGGGGATCTGCGGAGTAATCCAATCGCGGGAAGATGGTTTCTGCACAATATCTCGGGACAGAGAAGCCGCCGCCATTGTTTGCATCGGATTGCGTCAGCGTCTTTGCAAATGAGGCGGGTTTATCCGGTGTTTCAGACCCATTAAGCCCTCCAATTCCATCATCCTCATACCCAGCCTCACTAGCACTCGAAGGAACCAACCTAATTTTTGCATAAACCTCATCAGTCTCAGGATCAGCCATGAACTTAATAGCAGAGACCCTGCAGAAGATGTATGGAGGAACCCTCGGGCAGTTCCTGAAATCAACAGGTCCACAGGCATGCTCAGCATGGCCCTGAGGGAAGTAGAAGACCTTGGCATTCACTGGAGGCATTTGAACCATGCCTCCAGCACAGGCATGCCATAGCTGAGGATCTAAGCACTTCTCCCCCTCCTTCAATTTCTCTTTTGAATCCATAAACGTAATCATATCAATTCTCTTTAAAAGAAAAAAAAATTGCAAAAATCCCTCTTCTTCTTGCCTCTCAGTAAATGCTGCAAACCACATCAACCAAGCCAAATTAGGCAAAATTACTCACAGAATTCAATCAAACCCTAGAAAAATAAAAAACAACTAATCCAATTAATGAAGTGCATTTCATAAATTTCTTACCTTACAAAAGCATACATGAATCAAAAGCAGAGCCGAAAAAGAAAGCTCCTCGCCACGTTTTCACTAGAAAATCTTCACAACCCCACAGCAGTATCTAATTTTCCCAACAACCAAACTTGAACTTGAAAGTTCAAATCCATGTTTTGTTTTCCCAATTCAGAGGGTCAATTGCCCTGCCACGCCAACCCTGAGAAATACACAGAATTCCAAGCTGCTTCGTCTCCCACCCAACTTTAACAGAAGACTGAATTCACAATCTCCAAACCCTTTCACTGAACCACTCCAAGCCACCAACTTTTTTATGACAAAAAAAAAGATGAAAAAAGAAAAACTAAGACTCAAAAACTGAACAAACACTCTGCTCTGTTCGAAATTCCAATCCACTGAGCCCTCAAGCCTCAATCTCTGCGTCTTACTTTGAACAAAACTCAAGATCTACAGCGAGAAAATCAATCTCTGCTATCCACGTAATTGGAAAACGAGAGCTTGCAGCTCCTCCAAAGTATCCGGCTAATTCACAGCAGAAAAATCTCCGACGGAAGAAAGAAAAAAAAAAAAGTCGGCGTTGAATATCTCTCAGAATCTTCGTTGTCTTCTTCGCTTCAAGGACTTCAATCATCAACGACTGTTTGGCCAACACAGAAGAAGATAAAAAGCCATAGACACAGAGAGCAGAGCACCTTTTGGATCATGCAAGAGTCCAAAGCACACTCAGCAAATAACACCAAAATTAAAATAAATACATTCATATATATATATATATATATATATAGAGAGAGAGAGAGAGAGAGAGAGAGAGAGAGAGAGAGATTCAATTTTTACTGCAAATACCAAAGCAGGCAGTGGTAGTCAGTGTCACTGTTTGTGTCAAACGCATTTACCACGATTAGTATTTCGATAAAAAATATTTTGCATATTAAGTTTTAATGAAATATTAGTGGATGTGTCTTGTGGAATAAATATTCTATTACAGCGTTATAATATAAGTAGACGATAATATGTTTTTACGTTACTGAATATTCACGTGTAATAACACGACTAAGTTACCGACAAATTACTTGTTCAAGACAATACTTTGCATGTAGTCGACCTTGAGTAGAATAAGTTTAGTCTTAATGAATATTCACATGTTATAAACACAAGATTAGACCGAAAATTTTACTTGGTTTAAACAATTCTCCTTATGTAGTCGGTCTTGAGTTTACCATTTATTTAGATATTAATATAGTACACGTATATAATTCGGATGAATCGTATCCGATACTTCAACATATTTATCGACACAAAGCATTTATACTAGCAAGTGAACAATTAGTTAGTAATATTTTATTTATTTAGGAAATTAAATTTTGAATATGAATTTTGATTTCTTAGCTTTTTCTTCGGATCTGAAGAAAGTGTATCTTGAGAAGCCAGCAAAACAACAAAGATGTTTAAGGAAGCTATACTTTTTTAATTTCCTCTTATTATTCTATGGGCACCAATAAATTATTATTTATTTAATTCTATTCTGAGCAATCAAATGGGGTCTTATTTATATTAGATTAGAAGATGAAGCTTCAAAGTTTCAAACTATTATTATTGATTTCCGTGTCCCGCGAGAAATTGAAAGTCGCCCGAGTGGAGTTAAGTGTTCGCTTTTCAGTTTTGCTCTAAAATCAAGGCAAGGTAGTCGTTAACTCCTAACCGCGGTTAACGACTAAACTCTACTAGTCAAAGACCCAAGGTTTTCCTTACTTATATATTTTTTATTTATTTAAAATTTTGTCTTTTTTTAAATACAAATGGAGATAGTAATTATTTTGAGGATAATGATTAAACAAGTACACTAATAAATAAATAAATATGAGTCCTAAAGAATTAAGTGTACATCTTTATGCATAAGGGTTTGGTCGTCAGACTATTGATTAGTCTATTATCTCTCAACCGCAAAGCAGGAGAATCGACCTTACCCCTATTTATTTTTATTTTATAACAATGACCTTTTGTTTTTGGTTAAATCGGAGACCCAAGTGTTAGTGATCCTAACCATTGCTAAATTTGAAACTTTAATCTAAATGGGGACTTAAATCGTTCTTAATGAGGATTCTAAATGTTTGAACTCTTTATGTTATGACTTTTTAGGGTTCATATTGAAAGATTGGGTGTTCAATGAACATCAACCCAAGTAATTTTACCTAAGTCAATAATTTAGTTTATACAAATCAAATTCATCTTTCACTACAATATTAATGTTTTTATGTACAGTGAACACTTATTTTAGTCATTTGTATGGAGGATTGAATGAATTCATAGCTTTAGTGTACAATGAACACTATTTTTAGTCATTTGTATGTACAATCAAACTCATAGACGTGACCAATTGGACTTTTTCACTTTCCCAAGTCCTCACTCTTTTGAAGACACCATAAATAGTACATTCAAAGTAATTGTGGCATACGTAATTTAATTTCTAACTATATAAAGCTTCGTAAATAGAAAGGCTTTTCTACTTTGGGAAATCCAATATTATGAATCTAAGAGATATTATACGTTCTATGAACAAGACGTCCGTTCTTTAAGGACGAATTGTTGACATGATACGATATTGTGTTGATATCATTATCAATGACAAACCCCGTCTTTTAACAAGAACCCGATGATGATGCCCAAAGAACTGTTATATTATATGGAGACATACTATTCTATTGAATAACCGATCATTACTGCATCCAAATGGATTATGGTTTATATGAAACTATGAGGTATCGACTTAGCTATCTGGTCTCGTCACCATTGAGTGGTCATATATCCAGTGGGAGCAGTCCCTTTGATTCACAACCTCCAAGCCGACCCGATTATGACAACACGTACAATTCCCATTACATAATGCTTGCATTTTCTACTTTCCTCTAGGTGATCATTATGTTATGAACTAGGGCCACACCGTGAGAAATGTTGCAAACTCCGAAGATAGAGACCTCCTAACCAAAAACACATGAGCTCCTGCTTCTTTTCGGGACCTACCAATTTAATTAACCAATTAGACAATTGAAAAAAGATAGTGGTTGGGGGCACCAAAACAAAAACCAATACCAAAACCACACAGCTCACTGGGCCTCTCCACTCTCCCCCACATTCATTCATTCAAATTTGTAACCCTAGCTAGCAACCGTAATTTTTTTTCTCTGATATCAAATTTAGGTGGGTTTTTGTCCCTCAATTTATCAGTGCTCGCACGACCAAGCAAAAAACATTTAAACCCATACCCATCTAACCCACCAGCATAACACAGACACCGCAAAATGCCAATGGTTTGTTCATTTGTTCTAAGATATTGATTCTTTCTTTATTTTTACTCATAGCATTTTATTTTCTTCTTCTTCGGTGGTGGTTGCCTTTAATTGTCTCATAATTCTTGCATGCACCCTATGCCACATGACAATACAAGTTCAAGTCTCCAAGAGGGATTGTCAGCAGCGGTAGCGGGACTCGAATCAAGGCATGGATAGCAAATATAACAATACTTATCAACTCAACCAACTCTCGTTGGCAAATACATATACTTATGTTGTTGTTGGTATGTAAATACTTGCTTAAAATGGAAGAAAATGCTTTCAAGTATGATGGAAGTGCTGAAAATCTAATCAACTCCGTCTAAAACCAACTAATTTAATCTAATTTAGTCGTTTTTATGATTTTGACAGATCATAAATTTCTTTTAAAAAAATTATATTTTAAGTTTGCATTGGTTGACAAGTTTTACCTGGATCATGAAAATAAAATAATCTTATCACACCCCAATTTTATTATAATTTGTAGTAGAATTTGAAATTATAATTATAAATTTTAATCCCAAAAAAGGAGTTATCTATTCTTCTTCTTTTTTTCAACGTGGTAACATTATTTTTATATTTAACATCAAAAATAAAATAAAAAGTTATTTGCATATTAATATATTATAACTATACTTTTGGAGCATTCACAATGGACTCTCTAAACTACCACCTCCTTAAATAAAAGGGAGAATGTGAGAAAATCCACCTCAAACCATGCTTCCTATTCAACTCCTAAATAAGGGGACCTCTAAGAGCTTCTACATCTGAGGAGAGAGAAAAGACTCATCGTGGCTCCCTATAATTAAGAGTGCTGCTATTTCCATCCACCTGTCTTATTTTCCCACCCACTTTATGTTCAAAAATTTTAAAACAAATTTATCCATTTGCAAAATGACTTTTAAGGACAAATTTAAAACTCTCTCTATTTATTTATATAAGCTTGACACATCATTAAAATTCAATATGAGGGTTAGAAAAAAAGGACACATCGCCAATTTTACTTGAGGAAAATAAAACAAAGGGAACCTAATGTCCCGCCTCTTTCTTCAGAAAGGATGAACAGAACCCACCCAAACTCTGAAACTCAAATATCCATTTTTATTGTCTAGTTTCATGCCATATTGAAATCTAATCCCTTTTGTTTTCCTTCCGGACTAGAATTAAGAATCTTTAGTTTTTTCTACTTGGCTAATTTGTTTTCAAATCAGACCTAATATACTTCCTTCTTCCAAAACAATAGAACCTTCAACCATATCTAGGCGTCAGAACTCAAAAGACAAAAAAGAATTCCTAATTGAGTGAAATAATTGGAAATAAGATAAAATTAATAGTTTATTTTGAATATCAGAGAGAGAGAGAAGCAAAGGAACCATTCATGATCATGGGAATCAAAATACAATGAGTACAATGGGTTCTATTTGGGTGTTGAGGGTTTATATTTTTTAAGGAAGAGAGGTTTGGGTCGCGGGGGGAGAGAGAGACTTAAGTGGGGATGGGCTAATTGAAGAATTTTTTAATTGTAATGGAAAATATGAAAATACAATTAATGTTTAAAAAAATTAAAATTACTAAGAGAATTTACTAGAATTAATAATTAAAGGGTATTTTAGGAATAATGGTGGGTGGAAAGATAAGTTTGTGTTCTTTCAAATTTACATGGTGGGTGGGAAGATAAGGTGGGTGAGAAAATAGGACAAGGGGGTGGAAATAGCAGCACTCATAATTAATTGTTGCTTTACTTTAATGCTTTTTTAAGTATTTATTTAATGCTAACTATTTTTTATTATTATTTTATATGAGGACGGAGCATTTACGCTGAACTAAAAAAGGAAATAAATAATTTATAATTCCCTAACTAAATAGCATGGTTGGAGTTAAATATTATAAGGAGCTCCTAAAATAGCTTTCTAGTGTTTTTAGTTAAATTTTAACTAAATAAGGAGACCTCTTAGAGCATCAACAATAGGCTTCCTAAACCACCTCCTTAGAAAAAATTTATGGAAGAATTGAAAAAATACAACTCCAACCATGCTCCCTATCCACCTCTTAAAATATGGAGACCTCTAAGAGCTCTTAAATCTAAGGAGAGAAAAAGAACTCCTAGTGACACCCTATAATTTAATGCTGTTTTATTTAATAAGTATTTCAAACCTTTAATTAATGTTAATTATTTTTTAATAGACATAGACCAATTAAAAAAGTGTTATAGTATCTATGACTCCTTAAATTAGAGAACATAATTAAAGTTCAAATTTTATAGAGAACTCCTAAAATAATTTTAATATATTTGTAGTTAAAATTTAACTAAAACATAAAAAAACATGATTGTGAATGCTTTAATATCAAGTAGATTACATTTATGAGGGTAAATTTAAATTATGGAGACATTTAGACATACATTTTAGTGACACCGCCACCATCGACATGCGTTTTTAATTAGTGTGTCGTTATGGGGTCCACTCTTAACCCTAATTCCAACGTACGTGGCGAATGATGATTGGCCCTTCACTGACACCGAGGACGGGATTCACCGGAGGCTGGAGAGAGGCGAGGCGAGGCGAGGAGGAAGTGAGATTTGCCACTGGAACACGCTAACTTGACAGCTACAAGACAACAAGAACAGGCAAATGCCCGGGCGTTGACCCCGCTTTGTTTCTGGGTGTCTGCCAGAAGAATCTAACACGTGTCAAAATGGTTATCGTCAATGTGACGTCGTTTTTGGTTCCATCACGGAAGAGGAAGATAGGTCGGTTGGCTACGTTGGTTGGGCCCACGCGTTTATGGTTTTATAAATTTTTTTACTGTGCTGCGATCCCCACCCGTCCTTTGGTATGGACCAACCCTAGCACAACGCCAATGCAAAAGACAAGAAATCAGAGAAGGGAATTATGTAAAAACTGAAAGTAGAAGTAAAAAAGATCATCCATGCACAAACCCTACGTGAAGGTTGGTCCGCGTCGAGATTAACCTAAGGCTGGAAACTACTAAAAGAAGTGATGTTGGGGACCGTGCTAATGAATCACATGATGTAACAGGTAATGTGTGCGATAATAACATATAATTTTGGTTCAAAAATCGGTTTCACAAATTAGTTTAAACTTAATTGCGAATTTGGGTTGTATTATACTGTTAATTTATGAAGTGATTAAGTTCGATTATATATAGAAGTTGACCTCTGATTGGTCCTCTTAACTATATATTTTGAAACTTTTTTTAATTCATACATCGATCTTTGAAGTGGAGTATGTGTCAGCTGTACTAAAAGATCATTGTTCGTAAACATTTGGGATTTGGTAAGTTAATTAAACTATATATCACATAGGGATTCATATTGAAGGTTACTATTATATTTGTCAGTGTTTAAGGGTTGTTCTGGTATAGAGAGATGCGGATACTATTTTGTATAACAACTAATTAATGTTAAATTTGTAAATAATGATAATGGGTCAACTATCTAAACTGTATTAGTGGGAAAATTAATATAGTTGTACACTACCCTTTTTTCGATTACACGCACTACACTCGACTTACATTTTTTTTTTTTGCAATCGTATTTTTATTCCGAGTGTGTCCAAGTGTGTTAGAGGTTTTAATTTTTTAATCACGCGCACTACGCATGACTTGTAAATTATTATTTTTCATGATATTTAAAGTCAGATAAAATAATTTGATTATTATGAGTCAATTAAAAACAGTGGGAATTTTTTTTATGATATTATTGATTGTTCTACAAAGGCTCGAAGTAATTAGACCCATGCAGAGTGCAATATAAATATATGTATTAGAATAGAGTAGTATATAGTTATGGATAGCAGGGTCGGGTTGGGGACAACATTAAAATCACACACGTGTTGAACAGGTTGGCCGAGGCGGATGCCGAGCCGCCTGGGCTGCCGATGCCGGCGCCACCACTTGATTTGATTTCTAATTTTGATTAATCATCCAAGCTATATATATATATATATATATATATATATATATATATATTAGAACTGCCACTTTTTTCAAGTTGATTAAATTTGAAAACAATGGGCTATATTATAGTAACACCATGGTCCATGAAAATAATAAATAAAAATAATTAATTCTTTGAATTAGTGCGGGGAGGTCTGGGTCCCCAACCCCAATATACCAACACATCCCATGCTCAAATCAAATCCCATCTTCCTTTGTATCTTTTCTAGCAACTTTGGTCTTGTTCTTGAATTACCAATTTACCACCTATACTAGACATAGCTTAGGTGCATTTCAGTTTCATCATCTAACAACTGAGAAGAAACCAAGTCCCCACGTGAACACTGTCCAACAAAACCTTGTTCCGGAAAATTGTCATTGCCCAAAAACATTTTTATGTAAACCAAACATTGAGTAACCTAATTTTCTTGCAGATGCTCTTGCTAATATGGGATATAACAAGCTTTACCCGGCTAACTTTATGGATCTCTTTAACCTATCCTTGTTTGTAATTTAATTTTATACGGTCTTCATTAATGGGAGTGGGAGAGGCGGATGAGAGTCGAATCCTTGTTATAAGTGTGGGGAGGCTTTGGCTACCCTTAGTAATAAGAGTATGTTTGTGATATTTTTAGAAATGTTATAAACGCTTTCAAATAATTAAAAGCGTTTATGACATTGTTTGATAGAGTGTTCATGGATTATAACTAGATGCATATGCTTCTTCAATTTGTTTTCCAAAGAGCTGTTGAATAAGAATTTGGACATACTTCTAATAAAAGCATTCTCAAACGGGTCCTAAGAACTCCATTATATGGATAAATCAAGTTGGAAAATTTTCCATCCAAGCCCAACTCATACTTTTTCTATATATACATGCTCAAAAGTCAGGTCAAGTCGACCCCATCCAAATTTCACCCTTGCATTCATATCATTAACATATATATGTAACTCATCTTCTAAATGGAAATACCTAATGTTATTATGACCGGAAAAATATTACAACATTTCCCTTGTATTATGTAATGTGAGCCCATTTAGACCAAAAAAAAATGTAGATGTGAGCCCAAGGTTTTTAGATGTTATGGGCTTTCTGAGCCCTGGTAGACGTGTCGAAAACCCAAGTGAAAATGAAGGACAACGCAACAAGACATGAAAGAAAAGCGCAACTCCAGTTGGAGCCACTGTAACGGTTGAACCGCTTCCTTCTCTCCTTCACTTCTTGCTTTAGACTCGCTACTTTCTCTCTCTCTCTCTCCTCTCTCTCTCTCTCTCTGCACTCTGAAAATATTAGCCAAATGATAAGTATGCCACATTCACTCTCATTCACATTTTCACCCATGTCTTTATTTCATGGTTCACTTAATTTCATGGTTCTAATTTTGCCCATTTGAGAAGACCACCACCTCAACAGATGGCTTGCATGAAGCTGGGAGCTAAGTCTGAAGCTTTTCATCGGGAAGGCCAAACTTGGTAAGGCCTTTATACTTTGATCAACAAACAAAATGGATGCAACTGATGAGCTAGAGATAGCCCACATGGTGTTTGTTAATTTACTTAATGAAATCGATTAAAAGCAATGTGGTCTCAGTCTTTACTCTGTTGGTTTTAGTATTTCAATAATGTAGAAGCAGCAAGTTATATATATGTCTGATAAGTGATAGCTTAAGCCCATTGCTACAAAATGCTTAAATAACCATGATGTCCTGCCTAGGCTACAAGGTTGACAACAGAAATTAGCTAGGGGTTTGTGCTAAGAGAATATGAGGTTTTCTGCAATCTTTTGATGCTATATTAGAAGATTTTAGCTTTTACTTATATGGATCCGATTTGTGTTTTTCTTTCAGGGTTTGCACAACTGGGCTTCCAAGCGATGTTATAATTCAAGTTGGGGAAATGTCTTTCCACCTCCACAAGGTGCATTTTTGTTTGATATGTCTTGACAGTTGAAATACATTGTATTGTATGCATGTGTGCGTGTTTTCTGAGAATAGGGGCATCTTTGTTTTCAATTTAACCTCCACATGGTGCATTTTGTTTGAATCTTGAAATAGATTATATTGTTTGCAGTGTAAGTGTGTGCGGGCTGAGAATATATTGTTTTCAATTTCATCTTTGCTTTCAATTTCGGAGTGCTCTATGTACACTTTTTCTAATTTGCTTATTGATTAAACTCTTATTGGCATCAAGCTATGCTCTCATTTTCTTGTCCCCTTTTTCGTTATTGCTGTAGTTTCCCTTGCTTTCTAAAAGTGGACTATTAGAGAGGCTTATTGAAGAGTGTTCTGGTGAGGAAGGATCTGCTTGTTCCTTGCAACTTCATGGCATTCCCGGGGGCGCTAAAGCATTTGAGCTTGTGACCAAATTTTGCTATGGTGTTAAATAGAACTGACTGCTTTGAATGTAGTCATCCTTAGATGTGCAGCAGAATACCTCCAAATGACTGAAGATTATGAACAAGGAAATCTCATTGCACAAGCAGAGGTTTTTCTTTCTGAAGTCTTCAGCAATTGGAGAGACTCCATAGTAGCTCTTGAAACATGTGAAGAAGTTCAACGATATGCTGAAGATCTCCACATTGCTTCAAGATGCATTGATTCCTTGGCCATGAAAGCTTGTGCAGACCCAAAGTTATTCAGTTGGCCTATAGTAGGAGGAAATGACGACATGAAGAACCCAACAGCCACTATCTTATGGAATGGAATAGTTTCTGATGACGCTAAGCCACAATCTCCCTCTGATGATTGGTGGTATGAAGATGCATCCTTACTTAGCTTATCTCTCTATAAACGATTGATTCAAGCGGTTGAATCGAAAGGAATGAGGCCTGAGAGTATTGCTGCTTCTCTCATATTCTATGCTAGAAAGTATCTCCCCTTAATGAATAGGCAATCAAGCTTTAACGACACAAATTATGTAAACTCAGGCACAACCATTTCTAACATTTCTGAGGCAGACCAGAGGGCTCTACTTGAAGAAATTGTGGGGTTACTTCCTCATCAGAAAGGAGTCACATCCTCAAAATTTCTGCTTAGGCTGCTACGAACTGCTATGATCTTACATGCAAGTCCATCATGTAGAGAAAATTTGGAGAAAAGGGTAGGTGCTCAGTTGGACCAAGCTGTGCTCGTAGATCTTCTCATACCAAATATGGGTTATTCAGTGGAGACTCTTTATGACATAGACTGCATTCAGAGGATTCTTGATCATTTCATCTCAATAAACCAGGCTTCACTTGCATCAACTTCCCCGTGCATAATTGAGGAGGGGCAATTGATGAGTGGCACTGATCCACTGACACCTATTACTATGGTAGCCAATCTGGTGGATGGATATCTTGCTGAGGTAGCGCCTGATGTCAATTTGAAGTTACCAAAATTTCAGGCACTTGCTGCTGTCATCCCTGAATATGCCAGGCCACTGGATGATGGCATATATCATGCATTGATGTTTTCTTGAAGGTAAAGCAAACTTAAGTGCATGGCTTATGAACTTATTATATTCATGATATAATGATATTTAGTTTAACCTTTCTTAATGTGAATGGATTCTTTGTTGCTGAAGTTTGACAGATACTTAGACTAGCATTCTGTCAATAGCATTGTACTCTAAAATTTTACAATTTGTTGGGTCCTAATATGCCCAACTAAGACAGTACTAGTAATGTGTTGCTAAAACATGCATGCTAATAACATTGCATATTTCACAACTTCAGGCACATCCTTGGCTTACAGATTCTGAAAGGGAGCAACTCTGCCGACTCATGAACTGCCAGAAGCTCTCACTGGAAGCTAGCACCCATGCAGCTCAGAATGAGAGGTTACCTCTTCGAGTAATTGTTCAAGTCCTCTTCTTTGAACAGCTTCGACTCCGTACATCGATTTCTGGATGGTTTTTTGTTGACAATCTTGAGAACTCACAGAACCCCAGTGGAAACCTTGGCCTCCCTACCAAAAATGATGTCTCTGGTCAAGTGGAACCTGCACAAGACCGGGCCGTAGGTGTTGATCATCATGACATGAGGGAACGTGTTTTAGAGCTTCAAAAGGAGTGTTCAAACATGAAAAAGGAGCTGCAGAAGCTGGTGAAGACCAAGAGAAGTTGGAGCATCCTTCCCAAAAGGCTAGGTTTTAGAAAAAAATGGGAGCCTTGTAGTCCAAAAGAATCAAAGCCCTCTGATAGGATGGCACCAGCACCAGCACCATGTTGCAATGGGCAACAAAATCATGAGAACAGCTAGTGAAGTGGCTCATTCAACTTCAAAGCCACAAAATCTTTGTATTTAGGTTAAATTAATTCTTGGATTCACAGTTTCTAATTCTTTTGCATGTGTGTCAACTGGATTAAGTGATGTATTGTCTAGAAGATAGGCTTTAATTCAATTTATTTACACCTTGAGCTCTTATTACCACCTTAACTCAAAATGCCAGTGATGATCAAAGTGTTTGTTCTCAAAGAATCAACAGAAACTGTCCCTAAATATTAAAAGTAAACTCATAACACTGGAAAGGGTGGGTCTGAGTTGTCCTTTTCATTTGCAGTATACATTTTCGTTGTGGTAGGGTTATTGTTTTTGTTTGTTTTTTTTTGTAATAATCTAGGAGGGGACATTCGAATTGGGATGTCTTTTAATGTTGAGAAGATAACTGACGTAGAACAAATGGCTGAGGCGATAGAAGAAGAGTTGGAACGTCACGCGCACAAAGACAAAACTAGCAAGTTACAAGTTTGGGCCCCAAGCTCCGATTTGGGACCATGATCCACCGTTTCAATGGGCATGGCACCACAAGTAAAACTCATCGTTTTGTCATAATTGTGAGCTTTTTCGGGTGTTCGAGATCATTCAGTGGCCCGAACGAGCCTTTTAATATTTTACAATTTTTAGAAACTTTTGTTAATTTCTCTTTAATTCCCTTTTTGTTTCCTAGGGCTTTTAGGAGTATTTAAACAAACTATAGTTCGTGACTAGGGCATTATGTTATCATTTTGAATTCAATAAACAAGAGGTTTTCTCATATTTAGTGGATTTCAGGCTTGATTCTTTTAGGTTATCCTAACAATTACTATACCAATAGCTAGTTGATATTTTTACCGCGAAAGTTAAGTTCGGCATATAGGAACATAATAAATCACACGTACATACTGTGTCAAGACAACTCGGCACACATGGCTTGTCCCACAGCATGACACGATTTGCACCTATATACTTTGCCACACCTTTAGAAATCGAATCTCATGATGCTTTAGTCAAGAATTGGTGTCATAGATGGAATTTCCTTGAAATTTGCCGTACATGTCGACCTAACTTGCTCAGAGAAACTTTCTGAGAGAGTGAACACTTCTTTCCCTCTTTTTCAATAAATTTTTGGACGTTTTAACAAAACAAATCAAAAGGGTTTTAATCAACAACAGATAGGACTGCCAGGATTTCGTCTTCTTATCTCCAATGTTTCAACATCATTTTGATTAAATTTTTCTTTATAGCTTTCACATTGTGTTAAGTTTGAAACCAGTATCAACCTCAAAAAAAACCTTCAAAAATTGACTCATGAAAGCACTTCCAAATTGTACACAGTTAGTGGAATCTACCACAGGCCCCTTAGAAGAAAAACTGGGTCCTAAATGCCCCAAAGGCTTTGGCCTTTTACTTTTCCACGTTCATAACATGTGGCCCTCCATAGGCCATACGTCACAAGTCATTGTCCCATTTGTCGGGCAGCAAAGGGCACTCCCTCTTTTCTCAAGATTGGCCCCCTCTCCTCTTCCCATCAACATTACTTGACTCAAAACACCTCTGGTTTGTTGGCCATAGCTGATAGCGCCTAACCTTAACAGAAAAGCATTACTTGAAAAGATGGGCTTTATATGTGTCTGCAACAAAACTTGATACCCCCCCTCCTTGTTTTCCTGGTTAAGGACACTTACCTTGTTCTAATGGGACAATTTGGTTCTGTGTTTGCAAGCGCAAGTCAATGGACTCCATTGTCAAGTTTGCCTTGTTTGGGAGGGGGATGGGAAGTGTCATTGAGGTTGGAACATGAGATCACTACTATGCCGACAAATGTTTTTGTCACTAAGCTTTGGCATTTTCAAGCTTCCTTTTCAATGAGCCAATAAATGTGATAAAACACAAGAAAGTAAAAACAAAGCATGTGGCAAGAGGCACATATTTAGTTTGGCTACAAAAGTAAAAAATAAAAGTATAAATTAGTTAATATAGGGGAAGGTTCACAAGCCTCTAGTGCTTAGTTACTTACTTACAAATTAAGAAGGGGAAGGAAATTTCCACAGAAGGGAATATTGAAACTTCACATAGTGGGGTCAATTGCAATAATTTACACAAGGAATAAAAAGAAAAGGAAAAAAAAATCCCCATATCAGAAATTTAGAGTTCTACAAATTAGCTTCTTCAACTTCCAAAATTCCAACAAGCTTAGTGTGTCTGAATGCTGCAAGCCCATGATCACCTAGAGATATCATATTCTTGTGTGTAGCCAAGCTGCTCCATCTCCCAATTCAACTTTGAAGCAACTCTTTCATGACATGGGACATAATCCTACATCAGCAAAATGAACTAAACATCAGAAGAAGTTTTCAACCAACAAATTAGTTATCAATGAACAAAAGTTGAGGTTGAATGCGCTAATTATGTATTTGACTAAATTACATCAAATCATTAAACAATGCTTTAGATAATTACCTCCAATTTCTTCACCAACTCCCTTGCTGTTGGTGCTGATATAATTATGTGGCGTGCACTGGGGCTAATAAATCCCTCTTCCACAGCTTTATCAATAAATGATAGCAAGGAGTTGTAGTATCCATCAACATTCAGCAATCCCACCTACAGACGAAAAAATAAAAAAAATGGTTTAAGCCTAAAAGTTCACGTGTTTACCATCAACATGGGTTTTTTTCAATATAAGAGAAATACGATAAATTGCATTTATAATGCATAAAAATGAATTACCGGTTTATCATGAATTCCAAGTTGAGCCCATGTTATCACTTCAAGTAACTCTTCCAGAGTTCCATAACCACCTGAAAGAAAAATTAAATTGGTACTTACAATCTAGATTTACGGTCCAAGCAGCTTCATATAAGATAATATTTGGAATCATTCAAATTATGCTTATGTTCAATATGTTGCACTATTTAAGATGCCTACAAAAGAGAGAGGCAAAACAAGACAACTAGTTCTCGTACCAGACTATAGACAAGGATTATGCTGTTAATAATTATTTCTCTGATCCATTCAAAAGAAGGGTAAAAAGACTGAAAATACTGTCTACTCCATCTGCTCATTTGAACCTTGGTGCAATATACTTTGACCATTTCAACCTTGGTGCAACGCACTTTGACCGCGGACTATGAATAGTTCACACTTTTACTATCAGATCCGTTTTGATGCTAATGGTCATGTTACATGCAGCTATGATGATTTACATGACCATGTATTTCCACCAGCGTTTTTTTTTTTGTTGGCCCAACCCAAGCACGCAATAATAAATCGAATTTTAAATTTCAGATACAAAGGTAAATGCTCTTAACAACTTAAATTATCCTTACCAATAAAACTCTGGATGTTAATGAATGAAGTTTTTGAAAGTGGTAAGCATCATTCCCTGTCAGCTTGGGGTGCTAGTTGGCAAAACCTATTTAGTGAAAGTGTTTTTATGTTATCTTTTCTCCATAAGGCAAGAAACAATTCATGCATCAACATTACAGGCTACAGACTATTTTTAGCAAAAGGAGATATTAACCACAGATGCAGGGTTCCTCAGAAGCTCTAATTTTCAGTGTAAGATGTTGATGGGTCATGGACTTTGAGGTTTGAAGGGTTGCTCCCTAATCATGTGTCTTGGGTTTCGGGACACAAGTTTGAGAAAGTTGTGTGTGATGATTTAGAATTCACACAATCACAATCACAGCATTATCAAATACTAGTGCATTTAAAGCATGAAAAGACAACAGCTACAAGAGTAAAATATAAAATATAAAGATAGTTTGACTTATTATTGCCAAATCCTTCTTCACTCCCTTTCTGCATTGCCTCCAAGCTTCAATTTTTTGTCATTTACTCAGTTCAAGAACGATCAAGAACATCCATCAAGACATCAAATCAAGAATTCTAAGTCTAATTAATAAGAGAATTAGGTGGTTAATTAGTCATAATGCCCTCTCTTGTGGTTTGTAGCTTTGTTGTGTCATTGACTGCTGTTCCATATATTTCCAAATTAGTTTATTGGGTTTTGGAGAGATTATGGTCTAATACTGGAAGGGGTCACAAGAATAAAAAAAGTGGACTTGCAAGCTAAAATTAGTACAAATTAAAGCCATGAAGGACCATATGTTCTTTGTTTTGTTTAAGAATTCTGGTATAAGTGAAAGTATGCAGGCAGGCAAAGAGAGAGGGGGAGAGAGAGACAGAGAGAGTTGTTCAGGGTTTATACTAACCGGGTAAGGCAATAAAGGCATCCGAATGCTTAGCCATCTCTGCCTTCCTTTGGTGCATGCCTGCAACTGCCTTCACTTCCCCCACTGTTTCACCAGTTAACTGCAAAATGGTATCAATGCACGGAAAAAAGATTAAAGAAATTGATGTTAAGAGAGACAGAGAGACAGAGAGACAGAGAGATTTGGAGCTTTGTGCAGCAAAGCAATGATGAGTGTTGCCGAAATGATGAGCTTAATACAAATTTTTTTTTGGGAAGAAGTTAATGCAAAATCCGGCTATTCCCTAGCCAGTAAATTTAGTGGTCACCAGATGGCAAAATCAACAAAGTTCGATCAATAGAAAAGGCCAAGGCAGAAAAGCACAAGAAGAAAATTACTTTAAAGCTCAAGTGACCATATAAATCTGATACAAGGAAAAAGAAATCAGAAAAACCAGCGGAGACTCAAAATGTACAATACTAGTGGGGTAGTTCAAGTACTCGAGTGTGCTATGGATAAGTCCCCCCAGCATCCATTGAAGAAACAGAAATGAAGGGAACCAAACAGAGAATAACAGAAGATAAAAATAAAAATAAAAGCAAGAAAACAAAATAAAGAAAGAAAAGCAACTAAAAGTGCTCACATCATCCCCCCACCCAAAAAAGAAGAGAAAAAGAACAAAGAAAGAAAGAAATTGATGTAGGAAAGAATTGAACATGAATCTAATAACCAATAAATTCTGATATATATATATATATATGTATAATATAATAAACCATGTATAAATTTCTATTCTTTACAATTGGAAAAGTTGAAGCGCTTTATCTGGCTATAGGAAACATACCTCTCGAGGCATGAGCGTCTTGGGAATAACTCTGCAGAGAGACAATACCATGACAAAATCAGTTGTTTTTTAGAGCAAAACCAACCATAACAATTGTCCCAACTCACTTATTGTTTCTTAATCTTTTTGTTTGTTTTGTGATTTCATTTGTTTATCATCTGAGATTTGATAAGGAGTAAAAAGAATACCCAATAACATGCCGACCACCATCATGAACAGCTTGTGAAACCAAACCCATTAGGCCTATGCTGCCTCCTCCATAGACCAGATCGATGTTCCTCGAAACCTTCAAGACATTAGCAAAACAAATTGTACTTTTCAAGAACCCATCTGGAAAAAATAGTGCACTTTTAAGTACATCTAATAAATTGAGAATGGAAGGATTCTTCAATGCTCATACAACAAATTTGTACGTTTAGTACACTAAGTTCATATCTTTTTATTCGTGAGGAGAGGTGCAAATGCCAAAACAACAAAGCGTTGAAGTGATTGAGTTGGTCAGTTCGGAATTATGACAGACTGAAAGTTGAAAACTTAAACACATGTAATGCAAAAGTGGCATCATTTTCCATCTCTAAATGGGCTTATTTAGTGTCGATGAGTTTTTCTGATAATGACAGAGAGAGAAGAGCATTTACCAAAGAAAAGAGAGAGAGAGAGAGAGAGAGAGAGAGAGAGAGAGAGAGAGAGAGAGCAACATTTGCATGCCTTCTGCTAGAGACAAACTTAATTAGGAAGAAAGTTCCAGTTTGAAGAAATCAAATCCTAATTAAAAAAAATGAAGAAAAAAAATCTCAGGAACCAAGTGACAAACAAGTTACAATCATAATGTGCTTGCCCCAGAAAACTAGAACAAGAACAACATGATATGTTACAAACATGAACAAGATGATCAAGTTTGAGCAACTTCCAACTAATTCCTACCAAAACCCATCTGACATAAACAAGAAACAAAAGCAAAAAGATGGTCAAAAGTAATCTCCAACAAAACCAAATGGGATAAAACTTGAACTTTTGATCTTTTTTAAAAGAACCCAAGTATGAAAAACCTCAAGTGACATAACAGAACCCAAAGAAAACTGTGTATTTGAAGTTTGAAAAAGCCATTGTATACCAGTTCCTTGCCAAGCTCAATGGCAGCATCTTGGTAGCTACTCTTCTTGCCTTGGCTACTCCCACAAAACACACAAATCCTCCCAAACCTTGACTGCTTCATTTCACTCTCAATCTCCATTTCTCTCAAATCACTCAACTGTTTTTGTTGCTTACAAAATCAAATTAAAATCCCTCTGCAACACAAAGAGATTCCTTTTTTTCTTTCTAAGTCCTCTGTCTCTTTGCTTCTAACCTTTTGTGTTACAGAAAAATTCAAGTAGACAAACGCTTTATAGCTTGCCCACTAGAAAACTTCTTTGGTGGTGCCGTTCTCCACATGCGTATTTATAAGCCGCTCACACGTGAGAACCTCTTAGCACGCTTGCACACGCAAACATTCACACGCTTGCACACCCACACACAACACAGCACAAGTGCATAAACACAGGCATTGGCACGCGTGGACCACTCTGTTTTATTTGTTTCGTTCCCTTCCCTTGATTTTTCATTTTTATTCATTTTTTAGTCCTCCCTTACTGCTTTTGTACCATTATGAGCATAAATAAAGATAAGCTTTCCATTTATGTATTATCCCAATAATATTACTGTATTTTCCTGTCTTTCCACTTGTTGGTTTTCAAAACAACATGTCCATCTCTTGTGAAATATGAATAACTTGAGGGAAGGCTTAATAGATTGGTACATACTTCATTCTTAAAAATACTAGTTATTCTCACGCTCAAAATTAGAGTTCGATTCTTGCATTTCCTTCTTCATAGATTAAGAAGTTTGAGATTTCATATTCAAACATAGGTTAGGTTGCGGAGGCTTGTTACTTAATATAATAGGTACCCTTTATAGTCACGACAAGAGTTTGATACTTATGCTGTTTTTTTTACCCCTTACAAGGTGGTGAGAGGAAAATTAAACATAGGACTTGGGATGCAAAGGTAATTGCTTTTAACTATTTGAGCTACAAATCCCTTGTATTCTTACGCTTGTTTAAATCAAATGGACTACGGATATTTCATGAAAGAACAAAATGAAGTCAATAACTAGCCATAACAAGCCAAGTAGCGCAATATAGTCTTCGAGTTTGAGTATTAGACCTGTACTTGATGGTGAAGATTGAGCTGAATTTCAAGTATAAAGCTCATGTACAACTTAATGGTTGAATATTTTGTTAGCGTGACTTGTGGACCCGCAGTTACTTTCTTTACACGCCAAGGATTCCTACATTAAATGTAATTAATTTACTTTAATTCATGATTTCATACTGTAAATATAATTATAAGTTATTACTTTCCTTGACCTATAAGGTTTATTTTATTACAAATACAACATCCTACAAAGAGAAGAATACGCAGAAAATTCTCACAAACAATATTCTCTCTAAGTTTCATATTTTAGCATGGTATCAAAGCAACGATCTTGGAATTACTGACTCTTGTTTCTAAAACATCACCGCCATCATGGGGGATGAAGATATTTTGCTCCACCATGAAAGGAGCACCACCGATTTCGTTTCTCCTTCTCAACTGAACATTGCGGCACTGGCCGCTCAGATGACCAAGTTCTTAAAGATACAAAACCAGAACGAGAATCTGAACCCGAACTAGACCTCGAACCCGAACCTAACCCGACCCCGAACATAATTGACACGCAGATCTCGAACTAGACCCTGACTGTTACCTATGAAGTTTTCAATGCCTCGATTGGCATCAAGTTGGATGGCTTTAACTACCCTCTTTGGTCCCAAGTTGTCGAGATATACGTCGCCGACAAAGACAAGTTGGGATACCTCACAAGGGAACTTCCACCACATGCTCCGACTGACCTGAGTTTCCACCATTGGCACACTGAGAATGTCATTGTTAAAGACTGGCTAATCAATTCTTTGGAGCCTCGCTTGATTAGTACCTTTATTCGCTTTCCAATTGCAAAAGCAGTATGGGATGTGATTGCCAAGATATACTTTTATGGCACCAACGTCTCTCAAGTATATAATCTTAAACGGCGCACTCACCGAATGCGACAAGCAGGTGGCTCGATTGAAACATACTATAACGATCTCCAAAGCTTATAGCAAGAAATCGACTTCCGTCATCCGAATCGGATGAAGTGTGATTCCGATATCAAGGAGCACAATGCCAATCTCCAAGAAGACCATGTGTTATATCTTCTTGGATAGCTTGGATGACCGACTTGACAAGGCTCGCATCTGGGTAGGGAGTGTAACAGATAGAAGATCCACATCTGGTTACTTTACATTCGTGGGAGGTAATTTAGTGACATGAAGGAGCAAGAAACAGTATATAGTAGCTTTATCTAGTGCAGAAGCCGAGTTCAAATGTATGATTAAAGGAATTTGCGAACTCCTTTGGCTACGTAGGTTGCTTAATGAACTTGGGTATAGACCTATATCTGCACTGAATTCAGTTCAACATAATCACACCAAACATGTTTAAGTAGATTGACACTATATCAAACAAAAGCTCGAATACAAAAAAAATTCTAACAAATAATATTCTCTGATAAGTTTCATATTTTATATATTTGGCATCAACAATATTGACTTTGCCCGACTTTTCAAGATGATGTGAATTGTGTGATAATGATTTAATATTTGGGATGAATAAGCTCCACTTGTCTACCCGTAGCCCATTCTGTATATTTTATATACAAGTTTAAGAAATGAGACAAACATCCATTTTTTAACCTTTGAAGGAAAATGCCAAAAATGGACAATCCCACAAGGGTAGATACATTTATAAAGATGGGCTTCACTGACTAGTTAATTGTATTTTTATGACATTCTAACATTTACATATTAATGTGAGGAAACAGAGCAAGTATGGGTAATTTCAAAAGACACGAACACACAGAGACTGAGTGAGAGATGGTGGGTGATATGGAGCATTGTGCATAGATGATTGAATAAAAACATTAGTGGGTTATGACCTATCACCTTGTGCCCCCATCAACCCTCCTTTCCTCGACACTCCTGTTGTATGCATAGGAAACATTTCATTTTTATTTCAGGCCCTCCTTCTCCCTTCCCCATATCCACCATTACCTCACTTCTCCAAGCATGCTGTCCCCAACTCTCATCTACACATCACTAAATTCATTGCCCTCTTCTCCACCAATAACATCTCCTCCTTCAAAAACCCATATGTTTATGTTTCAATCTAGATCAATCAGGAAACATATGATGTGTTATATTGTCAAACTACGAATCTCTATTATTTATCATGTTGATTTCAGCTAAAATATGTAATTTGTCAGATTGTGAATCTAGATCATTAATCATTTTAATTTTTTTATATATTAAAATATGCAGTGAAGATTCACAATTGGACAACACAAACATCACATACGAGACAACATATTCATTTTACTTTGTGGGCTGCTAAATAGACTTAGCATTAACTTAACCTTATATTTTAAGTGCTGTGTTCATTGCCAGGATTGCAGGAACTGAACACATGCCCTTAAACTAATGTTTAGTATCACATTCATTTTAAAATGCCCCAATCCCCAAAATTGGCCTTTCTGGCTGTTTCTCTTTAACGCTCTCTGTCTCTGTTGTCTGTCTACTTAATTCTTTGCCCACCTCCCTATAACTCCCTATGTTTGGAGATTATAAACTCATAATTACTATTCTTAGTAGGGATTGAGCTTATACTAATATACTATTTATGACCCTTGTGCATGCTTGCATGCGCGTTTAAATCATGTTTTTATGTGTTTCTTAGCCAAAAAAATTGACAGAAACAGAACAGAATGATTTGATTAAGTTTAAAATATCACACACCCACATACAAAACATACACGCACTATGTCATTAGTGCTAATGATACCCTTTTTTAAGACTATCCAGTGTTCTCCAACTGTTACTTGGATTAGATCCCATTGCTATTAGTAGAAGGAATATTCTTAAGTAGGTTAATTTGCCTCCAAGGTGATATCATAATTAGGTTAATATTCCATACATAATACATAAATTTATGGTTGTGGAAAATTGGCAATGGCAGCTCTGTAAAATGTGAGAGGGAGAAAAATTTGGTTGCAACAGAGATATCATTATTTTGTTATTCCTGTTTCATGCAAGTGTTTCTCATGAGAGGGGAACAAAAACATAGAAATAAAATTTGTATGCCTTGAATTTCTTTGACTGCCTTATAGACTCTTACCAAAACCTGACCTATCCCTTTATTACCTTCATTTCCCAATACTGACTTGAATCTTATTTGTTTTCTGTAAACTCCCATATCTTGCTAGATGTAGATTTCAGACATGTTATAGCAGTTGTTGGTTGCTTCACTCTGCCCCTATTTATTATGTACATTTCATGTAACCTTCCCTAATTCAAGAATATTATACAATATCTCAAAAAATTGAGATCTTTTCTTTAATTTAGACTCCATACGTGATCTTATTATATATGACGCAAGGCTGATTTGGACTTCTACTCATAAACGCTTGTTCCTATATTACACTTTTATATTCAAGAAGCACTTTTGAGTTTTTGGGTCAAATACTATCAGAATTGCTTTTAACATTTCTACAAGCAGTGTCAAAACATACACATTTTCACATTTTCAATTTGTTATTTGACTACTGACAAACTAAAATGGCATATGGACTTGGGGAGCTGCCATCATGCTCTGCATCAAAATTCACCTTATACTGCAATGCATAATCAGAAGCACTCATGTTTGGAGGTAAAAGCCTGCCCACCACATTGTCCTGTGCTATAATTGCAAAATTTCCCTTGCTCGACACGTGGCGCCACGGCATTGGATGACTGTAGCAAACTTTAGCTTTGCTCACTGAATATGTGTTGAAGAATCACACAAAAGTAGCAGAGTTGCCCTGCAACTTCAATAGTGTTCACTCTACTTAGGCTCACGGCCCCAAACAAGAAGTGACATTTGTCCCTATCACATGACTCATACCCAATCCACCAAATGTTTTGCTCCGTCTCAAAATTTTTGGAAGAAACCCTCATCTCTGTGTCTTTTTCTTGTATGGTCTCTCAAAGTTGAAGCACAACAAGAGACCCCCTTTTACTTTGTCTGTCCAAAAATAAAGCTAACAATTTCTAATGGGGGCATCTCAACATAAAATATGCTG